CATTTTTCCTACGGTCCATTAAATATTCCTCCTTACTTGATAGAGTATTTTGACTAAGAGCATTCCAAAAGTGCGGATCAAAAAGTAGTCCCTGGAAACGAATGAACACTGGAAAGTTGAACAGCATCATTCTGTCACTCAAGCCAAGTCCACTGAAGAAAATATAATATGTTTTTAAGCGAATATTGGGGGAGGGGGGGAGACTCAAAGCTACTATCGTAACTGTGGAGGAATCTCGGTAGTGATTTAACAAAAAAACAGCAAATCAGCCGTCATGAATTTTATACACAAAGAGATCGATTTTCAGTGGTACAAAAGCGGTAAATGTTGGTAACCTACTGTGGTAACCATGATATTCCTCCCCCCCCGTTTGTTACAAAACCGACAGCAGCTGACTGTTTATAGTGTTTACATATCTAGTAGGTCAGTTCAGGTACAATCTTTCATCTCTCAGAATTTCATTCGCGTGCTATAGTAGCTCCGACATAGATAAGGAAATGAGTAAGCATTTGTGATTAAATAGATTATGTTTATAAAAGGCAAGGGCTTTGCTTCGTAATGACAGAAAATGCCCAGAGTATTGCATATTTCGGTAAAGTTTCATGTCGGCTTTCCTTTCTCCATTAAACGGCTAAATAGCACGCGTGCCAAGACGTGCGGTGTTTGTTTGGCCAAGGAAAATATTGTACTTAGGAAATAAATGGTACGCTAATCCCTCCTTGAAAGTATTCTAAACTTAAGGTAGATAGCGCCACGCTTTTTCTTCACTTCCCCTGACCTCAATTGCTAGTTATCTGAAACTATACGCGAAACCAGCCGAAGTATAACTATGACCCTTTTTTGGGACTTTATAGTTTTCATCATTTAATGTTTGACCCATGTTTGACTGCATATCTTAATATACAAATATGCATCGCTCAAGAGTTTGTTTCCCGTTCATGCGCTGAACCCAAGGTAGATGAGCTCGGATATATAAATACTTGCAACCTTGACCTAGCCTCTAGGTTTTCATCCCATTCTGAATGAATCATGTAAACAAATATTTACTCCACTGCCATGTTTTACTACCGACTACCATATTTACTACTGACTACCATAGATCACTTTAATTAAAAACCTCTCTTGTAAAACAGCTTATTTGAATACGATGATACTTGATAGATTAACCAGACTGTCAACCAATGTCTCTTGCTAAGTTGCTAACTAATTAATCTGCAATCAGTGCCATGATTATTATATATGATATGTTACTTTGTCTACTAACAGTTAATTATAGTCATTAAGGGCGTTAACGCGTTTTAGCCAAACTATGTATGGTGTTTTTAACTTTTTACAACGTTTTAATTTGTATATTAACTACCTAAAAATGATTAAGTAAGGTGTGGCTGCTTTCGCAGACTAATTAAATTCGCCATTAGCAGCATATAATTATCGACATTACCACCTTAATCGTCTCATTGTTTGTTCGAGTCTTTGTGGCGATGAGGATTATACCCCCAGGAACTTTGCCTACTCCTCTCTCTTATTTCCCCTCCTTACTCTTGGTCACAAACACTGACAAGTTTCAGTATCTTTTTTTGTAATAAAGTTTTGTAATATCTTATAATAGAAAAGTTTATTCTTTTTAGACAACCGACAGGCGTCAGTGCTATGCAGCATGTCCTTAGTGCTCTATATACTCTACCAGATCGCTGGCTGTTTCCTAGTATATATTTAGTAACCCGTACTGCTTGACTGAATGCTTTAATAAATATTTCACTTTCAACTATAACTTCAATATCAGTACACCTTTTTCCCAGCTGGTACCCGGATACCGGGCAATTCTGGTTTTCTTAAATCAATATTTGCATACTGTCGAGTAACAGTGCCAATGGTGATAATCATAGTTCTTTTTTAGTTCTGAAAATTGCCCAACATTCTTAAGCATGTGACTCGAACATAAAGAGCCTCATAGCAGGGGCGCAAGGGCTGCCTGTGTCGGGGATACAATAAACCATTCAGAAGAATTGAATAGATCAGATTTGTTTTGAGTATTTTCGTGACAACCGATATAACAAAAATAGATTGCTTTTTAAGTTCTTTCCGACAAAAAAACAGGGAGTAATCGAGCTAAATATACAGTTGTGTGTTTATAATTTTTCTCTATTCATATGTGTGGGAACCGGAAAGTTATATTCTGTTTGACTGTGCAACAAACAGCGAAGTTTAATTTGGTTTAATTCCTCTTTTGGAAATGCATGAACGTGGGATATATTATCCTAGCTGGCCGGATAAAACTTTAAACACTTTATACGCTATATATATTGATCTTTATTTAGATCTCGGGAAAGATTGCATGCATGGTAGACGAACAAGTGATTAGTACATACCTGCAAATTAACGACTGATAAATGCAAACTTTCAAGCACATTATATAAGCCTTTGTCGGCTAGAATTCATTAGCCGAATGGGTCAGAAAAAAGGCAAAACATTGATATTGAAAATTGCTTTTACTTTGAATATAAAAGAATCCCATTAGGAATGGACAACATTCAACAGTAACAAACAGAGCTATTCAGTATGAAAGGTTAATGTATATATAATATGTGGTTTTGCTTCTGTAAAAGTATGAAATAGGCATACAAATTTTAAACTGCCCTCACTGATTGCCTGACGAAGACTTATTTAGTGCACTATTCAAAACATCGGCTCAGATCGAACCTTCTCGCTACGGGAAATGTTTAGGACATATATCCTGAAAACAAACGCAGGCATTACCACGGCTATTTTGATGTTTCACTAATTAACACGTTTTATCAGTTCAAAATCTGTTCCTTTTAAAGTTAACCTTGGCAATGCGGCAACTTTTTGTGGGGATAAAAACGTTTTCAATTCAGAAAATTCTGACGCACAATGTTCAAATGTACTTAAAAAGTCAGAGAATTGATGACAACGTGTTAATGGAGTAATCCGTCGGCAGGCTTTAATCTGTTGGCTTTTCGTGACACGGCAAGACTATCCCTGCATTTGTCATGGGATCATGTAAATTTGTAAAATCTGTTGGGTGGGATATTTCGATCGCCTTTTTTCAATAGAATTAAGGTGCTGAGTCATTATTACAACAAAACAAGATTTTGCATTCCGAGAGTTTTTTTAACTTTGTAGCTTTATCAATAGGATTTACCGATCCAAATTGAGTTCTATTTTTCAAATTCAAACCTTATTCCTCGATCAGAAACAAATTCAAATCTACGAGAGATGTGTGTCTTTTCGATATACGGTAATTAATCTGTTATTTTCAACTTTCATCGCTCGCTGAATAAAAGGAACATGTACTTTCAAGATGGTTTTCTTATTTTCTTTCCTCTTTCAAATAAGAGTTGCATAAATTGGGACCAAAAGCGAAGTAAATTAAGAATAATATTCTTATAAGCTTATTTTCCTTTTAAGGTCTTTACTTGGCACCTTCACGACGAGTGGCCGATGTAAAAAAGTGGCAAGCATCATACAATTGTTATTATCAATCTAAAAGCATGATTTGCAAACTGCGCTAAAATAAAAGGCTGCACTTCACAATAAACACTTGCCATATATGGCATGCAGTCAGTGTAAGATGATGCACAGAAATTATAAGAGATAACATATTTCACAGAAAACATATTTCACAGAAAACATATGACAACATCACAATATCGGTTTTCTAAAAACTTTTTGATTAACCAAAACGATTCTTTAAAATATCAAGATGGCAAACGCTGTTATGCCGTTTTAAAAACCTGTTACAAAACTTCAAAGATTTCGGGACAATGCTTTTTGTACCACTTTCTAATTTCTATAGCTTTGATAAGTTTTATTTTGATTAGAGTAATAGAATGATAGTGAATTTTCATTTTCAATTCAAAACTTTGTGTTGCCAGCTTCGAATCAATAATAGGTCTTCAAGGCCCAGTTACATGCACAATGCAAATGTCTTGTCACTTTCAACGCAACTTCACTTCTGAGAGATGTTAAATTGGTTACGATTTATCACTGATGTCTTGATGAGACATGACAAAGAAATACAAATCGACTTCATAAGACGTGCACGCTTATAAGTACATTTGACTATCATATAGCTCAAATCATTCCTTTCCTCGTTTCCATATCTCAGGAGTTACCTGAAAAGGTTGACCTTGTGTCTTGTTTGATCGGGCTTTAAACATCCAGACAACGCTAAATTTCCGCTCTGGCAATATTGGATGAGTGTAGTAAAGATTGATAATTGGCAATTATCCGCTTATGAATTCTATTTGGTAGCACACTTAAGCGTTTTATTTTAGTCGGAAATTACAGTTTTCCGTTCTGTTGCAATTAGCAAGTCTTCAAATGTAAATATGTTTTTTGAAACGAGCTCGTGTGGGAGGAAAACATTCCGAGTATTCACGTTTTAGAGTTTGGTAGCTTTCCTACCGGTTCAACACGGCTTTCGATTCAGTGATTTTTCACCACCTTGTTAGGGTGTGGAAGAAGTGACAGACCTTTCTTAGATATTCCTGCACCGCCATTCCGTTTGTTCCAAAACTTTTTAAAATGAACTTCTGATGACCCATAGAGGAGCTTCTAGAAAAGCATATATTTAACTTTAAAAACTAGCCCTTTTTTTAAAGATTTGTGTGACTGATTTTTGCTTTCAAGCAACCCACCCCGCTTATCTTTCGGATTTCAACGCCTTTACGTAGTTTGTGTTCTAAAAAAGATGAGTCTCGCAGGTTCGCCAATATATGGAGATAAATTTAGATGCAACTGACGCACGACCACGTGCAATATAGCAAATCATGGAAAGATTGGGTAGATAGCAAGAGTGAAGTTTCTTTTAATAGTAACAAATGAGTAACATAGAATTGATAAGCGATTATACCGGACATTTATAAAGAGAAAATAAATAAATTACCGAGTACATAATCAAAGATAATCTGGAATGTTAATTAGCGTTATCTTCAATATCGTGTATGAACTTCTAACAATTATAAAATTAAACGCAACACATTTTCCATGTCTTGGCCAAAATTGTCGAGTGGCCACTAACATTCCATTGGCATCACAGTGTTTACACTACCGCCCAGCTGTAATCGGATTTTAAAAGCACACAGATTTTCGCGCTCTATTCCTGGCCCCTATATGTATACATTTTAGCATGTTACCGGAAACGCATAAATGCACTAGCTGGTGTGCGACATTGGTGTCAACTTGTGTATCAAAAGTTGGCATGACGTCTGGGCAGGCAGGTCAAAATAATTCAGCTGTCTAGAGGGGTAAACGCATCAAGAACGCCGTGTCGACGTCTCGGCAGAAAACTAAATCAGGGTTCCATCGCTGTTGTAAAATTTTACACCATGAAACGACGAAGTGTTTTAAACACGATGGCAGAATTTCTGTTGATGCTGTTTCTTGTAAAATGCTTTCAAATTGACCAAAGTCTAGCGGACAGCATGAAGGCGAATGAGATTGACAAAAACCGTAAGTTTTATTTGAATATATCTTATAAGCTTTTGAGTTCAAAATATTCATACTTTACCTCAATATCTTGGCGGCTAAAAAATATTTTCTAGTGTCAAAAAATCTACCCTGTTTTTCTGTTCGGATATAGCACAGTTTGAGGGACTGATATTGAACGTGGATTTTCATAGCTAAATCAAATTAAAATTACTTAAGAACAGGGCTATTCGCTGCAGCGAAAGCTATACCAAGGTGGCAGCTCTTGGTATTTTGATAAAATACCAGCAAACGAATCTAGATCTGAATTAATCGGCTTATTTCGCGCCCGGTCGCGGTGATAAGTTTGTTGTATATGTTATTGCGTTTGTTTATATAAAATATTTTCATTCGCAGCTTGCATCTGTACGGTGTAGGGCAACTTCTCTTATGTATACTATACTCTGGCCAAGGCAATAGGGTGACGGATTTAGCGGGAGCGTCTCGCATGTGACCTAATTTGAAACCGTAGCGAAATTCGGACCGTCTGTGCGAGCACTAGTACGCGTACGCTTGATTTCCGTCGATTTGGTGCGATTCACAGGAATCCCTTCAAACGCGAAAGATGGAATAGTACAAATGTTGGCATTGTAGCGAATTTACGAGCCGTGCTATATACTGCATGTCACAGCGTTAGTTTATAGCGAACGGTTAATTGATTTAAACCTTGCCGTATGTATTGTTTATATATAATATTTTGGTTCGCAGTCAGTGTCTATGTTACACTGTCAAAGGTGACCACGGCGGATCACATCTGCGTAGCTCATTAAAAGGTAGTTGTCTTGTATAAATGGGATTTTAATGCATGCTTTTATTAAACATATACAACGTGGTAACCTAGAGTATTGAATGTCTTGCTTTCTTGATGGGATTGCGTTCACAGACCAGTGTTTCTGGGAGGAAATTTGTGCTTTCTTTTCCCATGTCCGCGTGAATTTGAAAATGTGTAAAGATTTATAGCTATTTGCGTTTGTTTGTTTTGTATTAGCCGGTGTTTGGTTTGAGGTTTTGTTTGATACTGTGCCATCATTTAAGCTGATAACTTGCAAGAGGTGCACTTAACGTCACTTGCATGTGTTTAAATCTGTATAAATGTACCGTTGGTACTGGTGAGACTTGTGTGTATATGACGCGTCAGTGTATACCTTTTAATGCTACTTTAAATATGGCATTCGTATTTTTTAGAATATTTAGAGTACACATAAACATAAAAATATAGTACAGTTTTACTGCGGAATGTGTACTCTGATGTAGTGTCAAAGTGACAGTGTGATGCAATCCGACGCACGGGTGTTATTGTTGGACTTTGAATTACGGTTGTGTGTGGGCTTTTATGAGACAGAGTTTCAGCAGAGGCGAGAGTTCGATTAGAGAGATGTGATGCTTTGAATGATATTATGAGGGGGATACCAGAGACGATTTAGGTTTGGTACACTATTAAGTAATTCCAGTATCGTGGTAAAAGATCAAATCTAGTCTTATAGACAACACAAGCCTAGCTCCCCACTAAGAGTTCAAAACTGTCTGGTCTGTAGGTAGTTCTAAACTTGCCAATAGTCACGTCTTATCTTCTTTGAGTACAGCAAATGCATGCAACCAAATCAGATTAGTAAATGTCATTATTTTACAATATTCTGTTATATAAATATCATATGCCATTCCATGCCAGTCATGCCTTAGATCGCAACGATATTTGCGGAAATAATAAAATGGCAACCAGTATATTGAACGTCTGCTTGAGTCGAGTTTTCTTTATCATCTTTTCATGGTATTGTGTTGTTGATGACTTCGCAATGGCGTGTGAAAAATGACATCGCTTTATTTACATTGCTAATGGTGCTGCGCGCCACACAATAAGACGCGAAAATATTTTTCTATAGCTTTACTTACACCACACTGTGCGAGTACAATGGCTAGAGTGATAATGAGTTGTGAACGATTTTGCTAAGCAAATATTCTTGGGAACTTGTGTTGCACCTGATAAGATTACAACTGTTATTGCCAGATAAACACCTCCACGGTTCTTCCTCCATGGTGCAGTGGCTTTTAAATTCTTACTGCGCAGCGGCGTAGATGCATTGAAGCAACTTTTCGGAATAAGAAAATTAAATTGTATCTCTATTGCATCCATTCTATTTTATGCCACCAAATTCCAAAACTGGTCGAGAAAGTGTACTGATCTACACATACTACATCAGTTGAATCGTATGCTGTTTCTATATTCATTTCATTTATTGATATACGCTGCTTGTTTTCATTTTCTGACATCTCTTGACCTTTTTGGGTAATATTTGTAAAATGGCTAAAACTACCTTAACTCTTTTGGTGAAATATTCGTGGATACGACAAATATAAAAATCCTAAATATAGATAACGAGATTTTATAGCCAATCATTACATTTTAAATTTGCTCATATGTATAATATATACTTCTACTATATTTATCTATAAGACTTAGTGGAAAGCGCCAAACGGTAGCAACTATATAGGCTATAGTGTTAGCTTATATTAAGCCTGTGACATATTGAATAAACAGAACTTCATTTTACTGATTCTTTTCCCCAATCCTTTTCAGTTTACTCCGGATAGATCAGTTCAGAACTGTACAGTTACCAATGTAAATAACTTTCCCTTTGAGTATAACACTAGCACTGAATGAACGTAAGGAAACTTTTGCAACTGTCGAATTAGAAGAAACATTTAAAAATTTTTACAACAGTGACATATATATATATGCAAAATACTTCAAACAACTTATATAGGCATCAACAATTAACTTGGAAAAAAATGAGTCAAGTTGGGGTACGTGATAAAGATTGGTAATTCTAGCAGTGCAAATCTTTGCTAGCATTAACCACATCAGGTTTCTAATTCCAGAGTGTCGACATGCCGCTAAAACCAACCTTAAAACATGCCAATGGAACGTGTGTTGGCATTAACAATACGGGAAGTTCAACCGAACTGTGAAAAGCTATCTCCTTTGTGTTTAAGCCGACTCGACTTTCTTCCTAATCACCCACTCCTGTGGAATCCTGCTTTCTGATGTGATGGTAAAAACTAACCAGATTACCTATCAACACCGTCTCAAAACATTGTGTGGTCAACCAGATTTTTTTGCTTGTTAATAGATGCTCATTTAGAGACAAAATTGCAAAGCAAGCCCAGGGATCTGATTTCCCCCGGTCTTTCCAACGCAAAAGGAATTCCTTTTGGCTTTTTAGCAACTTCCGAACATTCGAAAATGAAGTCATGAACAGAATACTAAAATAACACAATTTCTTATAGATTTGATCTGATTCGTGTTAACTACTGTTTCGTGCTAACAAGGGGGAATTGACTTGCGCCGATTTGGCAGTTATGAAGACGCGCACGTTTATACTATTTCGAAACAACCTAAATAGGCAAACATAAACAGCCATATAGCTTTACATCAAAACATGTAATGAATGTAACCTTGTTTTTCTTGTGGTTGTCGTAAAAAAACTCTTATGTCCTGGCATGTTAGTTGTCTCGCACCCCTTTTTTTTCATTTCATTAAGCAAAAAATATGAGGAAATTCCTATGTCCATTCTCGTGAATTTCTTCTCGTGTTTGCCAGAGCAACAGAAGAAGGAAAACTCCATGACCATGAATAACCTTTCGCCTTATTTGTTAAATGTAATGCAAAACCTTTTGGCTTGAACGAACATGCAGTGGTGAAATTTGAAGTTGAAAGACGGAATATACCCTTTACTAACTCCGGCTTCTCAACTCTTATGCAACTTCTAGCTGTTTTCGTTTCATCTTAATTGTAAGACGCCATCAATGACAATAAGTCAAACCGGAGACAATGTCAGTGCAAAAAGTCTCATGTAAATCCTGCATCTTGACCGCTTGCCAACTCTATAAAGATTCTTAATTTGACACTAAAATAATTTCAAATACTTCATGAGTTCAACTTGTCATCCACAGCGGAAAAATAATTTGTCTTAATCTAAGGGCGGCGAGTATTTGAAACAATTAAATAAATATTTGTTTATTATTTAATGGCCCACTGTTTGTTTTTGACATAAAATACACCTCGTCTTTGCCGACCTGACTCATTTCCCGCCTTCATTTTGCGAATACAAATCTTATTAACTGTCTAGGCATTTGTATATATACCCTCAAAACATGTCCGAAAGACAGAATTCTAGGTAAGAAAACATGCGGACTGTTCGCGTAATGGAAGGAATCAGTAATTGACATTTGTTTTAAAATATGGTACAAGGTTTAACCGCCAGGGTTTGGCATTGTTCAGGAACAATTGCAAATTGAATGAACAAAAATTAATCAATTTAGTTACTTTGAATGCCTCCCACCCTAAAGCATTTGTGAGACAAAAATAAGAAGCTTTTTGCTAACCTACTTTGCGATGGTTTTCATTGAATGTTTGAACGTACTCGTGGAATGGAGGATACTTTCGTTAGACATTATTTTAAGGTGTATATTATAAGTGAACTCGTTGCTTTGTGTAAAAACTAATAGTGTGGTTCAAAGCATAAGTGACTGTTTAAGCAGAACCCCAACAGCTAAGCAAATAAATTTTGTCAAATGTTATCAATTAGGTTTCTTGAGTTACCGACTCAGCGGGCAGGGACGCAATTAAACTGGATTTAAAAAGTGAACTCGCCAGGATTCTGTTTCTTGCTTCCCAATCCATTTTTGGTTGTGCTGATGGTCGCGTTTATTATTTCGGTGCTAGTGTACATGGCTGTAGAAAGGTAGGGGTGAAAGTGTCGATAAGAGTGGTATACGTAGAGGATGACAGTTGATGTTGGCGTTAGTTGTTGGATAATAGTGGACTAGTGGTAGTAAGGTATAAAAATTATGGTAATGGTGATACTATGGTAGTGACTTGAAGGTGATTGAAGGTGAAAGTGACGGTGAGTGCATATGTCATGGATAATGGTAGATTTGATCGTGGTGGTTGTTTATGCTGGTACCTGGGCATAGCAATGGTCGTGATTGTGATTATAGTTGTGACGTGAAGGTGAAAGTTGTGTGGTAACCGATGATAGGGTTTATGGTAGCGAAGTAGGGTAATATAACGGTTGGTAGTGAGGGTGTAAAAATTATTGTAACTGGTAGTATTGTCTAGTGATGACAAATTGTGGTGGTGATTGTGTTGATGTTGAGGGATAATTGTTGATTGTGTTGATGTTGGTCAGTGGATAATTGCGAAGATAATTTCGATGGTAATGATGATAATGTTAATGGATGTCATGTTGCTTTTTGCTGTGTTGATTGTATAAGAGACAAAATCACGATAGGAAATACAATGGAAATATGAAATAGCCTGCAGGCACACCTGTTACATCGTAAACAAGAAAATCTACCATTGGCTAGGCCGTTGGCTTGAAACTAGTAGTCTAGTACTTAGCAGTATACACTTTGCTTTCCTTCATTAAATATGCCTTCCATGCATTTTTATTTTATAAAACTAGTTTAAATTTTGAAACCTTATAGGATTTGCAGACATAAAAAAGTATAAATTTATATGCGAAATGAACCAGTTTTATTCAAAAAATAGATTTGTATTTGACAGCAATAGCCCCTATTCTTTCCCGTGTTTTCAAACCCCTGCAAAAGATAAATTGAAATCCCGATCGCAGAAGTAAAGTGCATATCCATGCACAGATCACATTAGAGTCCAGGTTAAATACTGTGCGAAGCCGACTCAGTATGGGTCTCGCAAACATTCATTTTAGACCAACCCTATACCTACTTGACCCTTCTTGCCATTTCGGCATTTTAAAAGTCGCCCTCATTGTGTGACTTTATGACCTTAACAAGGTATGATTTCACATAAAACACAAACATATTATCGGGATAATTTTTAACAAGTAACAACGGCTGTCTTTTCGCGGACCTCTCTATATATCGTGTCGTAATGTTTCATTCAAACAGACAGCTGAATTTATATAAGCACAGTTCGCCCGTGTAGTTTAAAACACTTGGTTTTGTTGAAACATGCTGTGCAACTCAGCGTGTTTTGAAACACACATATACAAGTTCGATTTAGCTTAATTTTCGGCATTTGTAGTCTAATGTATATTTACCGGCGTGATGACAAATGCATTGCATACACAATTTAAGACCTCTGCTTTTGATATATTGCATATCCTTTAGTGCGTTTCGTCTGTTCGCTCATTGAAACTACACAATATGAATTTCCGTTCGCGGCTGTTCTGTCGTAGTGGTTTAAAAGTTTATAACATGGGAATATATCGCAAAACATACAAAGATAAATGGTGTGTATGAATTATTTACTGTTATGTAATTTTTGACAACCGCTTAAAGAGCCATTAAAAAGCCATTTTTTTAAAAATCCATCGATTAGGTTTTGATAAACTAAACTACCTCAAATGAGTTAAGTACTTCGGTTTCCGAAGTAAATGTAAGCATGTGCACTAAACATTTACTTACAACGAAGTATACTACAACTTCTTGTCGGACCGGCGACGTCTGGAAGCACTTACTCCATGTTACGTTCCAAGATAATTAGGAGCTGCCTGTATATCGTTTGATAGATAGGGGTTCTCAGGAGGAAGTGGTCTTTGCCCCAGGGCCCTGATAGTACAACAGAAAAAGGGGGTAAATTATGGACCATTTAGAAAGGGCTCCTAAAAAAAAAGTGAATTCTGGCTCAGGCTCTTGATTTTTTTTTTCCAATGCCCTGTTAATATAGTTACATTGTATGCATAGTAGTAAAATTACCAAGATGAGGGTAGGGTCTTTTTATAATGGTAAGAAAGCTACATTACTTCTACAGTAGCTCTACAACACTTTTAACCAGAGGTGGTTTGCGGGTAACCAATATTTAAAGCTTCATTGCAGAACTATATGTCTGAGTGAACGACTGATCTTCCGAAATCTCAGCAGTATCCCACATGTGGGACAATCTTTTTGGTGATGCCCCATAAAATAGTTCTGTTGTCAGTCTCGCTGTTCCTATATCATTACCCTGTACAGCTGAATAGCTGATTGTCACCAATAACTTAGCAAAAAACTAACGAACTTAGCAAAAATGACCTTATAGAGGAATATGCATACATGAATCGTATATTTCTACATTAGGTCTTTTTATAATGGCGTCAAACTCGAAGGCGTAACGTAAAGTTTAATGGCGGGCTAAAACACTTACGCAAGTTGCTTTCGGCCAATCAAATTTCAGTTTAGATTTTATAATAGACCTAACTTTTATTTTTCTGTTTGACGAAATTGATGAAGAAAACTAAAAAATATATTCTTAATTTGTCGAATCTAAGGAATACCTTCTTTTATTTCAGGTTTAAGAGTGAAGAGGGAGGCGAAGCCGACAGAACGTATGCGTGGCTCCTGTTGTGTTTGCGGTGTTGCTGTATACAAAGCGACGTTTACAAGTAAGCCATATTGCAGGAGCCGGTTGTATTAAGCCCGTTTAGCTCAAACGGTGGTTAATTTCAAAATAGAAAGCAAGTCTATTGTTTTATTCGACAAGAAAACGAAATGTTTTCAACCTTAATACAACGATACTGTTTACAACTACATATTCAGTGCATAATATTCAAGTTGACTCATTCAAGAGAGATGTAATGAGTGTTATTTAATCGGACTTATCCACCGTTTAAGCTAAACAGGCTTGATACAACCGCCCCTAGGTTTCTAGTTATTTACCCGAATTATTACAATATCGGGAGCTCGATCGTATTCATAAGTAAAAGATGCAACCCCATTGGCTCAATTGATAGGAACGACTACGAGGCTTCCTGGCCAAATGTCGTAATTATCGAAGGATTGTTAATTTTTTTGTGGAGACGATTTAATTCTGTTTGAAGTTAAAGAGTTTTATTTTAATATGACTTTGCTGTTCCAAAATATTGTATATCAGATTAAAAAACTTGCGTAGTGAACGTTGTGAAGAATTAAGCAAATGTGATTAGTTCAAACCTGAGCCACTGACATGCTATAGTTTATGCTCTGACTTTTCCAGGTAAATGGAACAAAACCACACATCCCAGTGACTACCCAGAGAATTTAGCTCATTTCTCGACTGTAATTGGTGGAACGCACGCAGACATGCATGTTGTGTGGGAACTGGGTTCCAAAGCTTCTGCCGCGGTCAAGAGATTTACGGAATGGGGCGACACAAAAACGGTGCTGAATAAATTAAGTCGGAAAAACTATTTGGGGTATGACATATACAATAAAAATTCGAATAACTTGTGTGTAAATTGTGTGTAGTGTTCACCTATAATTCAGGCAGTTTATCCCTATAATTATCTCTATGATTAAAAACCTAGAAAATAGTAGACCATAACAAATCACAGGTTCTCAGAACAAATCACAGATTCTCAAAAGGTTCCTTAGAACTTTTTTCGGATCAGGTTCAGGGGCGTAACTAGAACGATAATTGGGGGGGGGGGTGAATATTCGTATATTCAGTTCTGCCCGACGGATTTCTATTGTAAGCTATTGCAATTACAAAAGAAATCCGTAGGGCAGAACTGGATATATGAATATTCACCCCCCCAATTATCGTTCTAGTTACGCCACTGATTCAGGTTAGATATGTAATCGTAGCCTATTTGAGTGGGAAAGGCCCCTGGCTTACGAGATGTTCCAAAAGGCGCCCCGATTTAAATTTTTTCCTCGAGCTCCTTAATTTTTCTGAAAGGCCCTGTTCGTATTTACCAATACACTGAGACATTTGTGGTTTTTGCACGTTATGTGGAGTACGTTCGCTTCCAACTCTTCGCATAGGGTATGCTCAGGTGTGCACAAATTTTGATCACGAGTGTTGAATGGTATCTCGTTCTCTGTCTAGGATAATCAGGATCGGTCCGATCACAAGACCTAATAAGCCGTACACAGATAGATTTCGCGCGGATAAGTACAATCACTATCTGTCCATGATATCAAAGATTTCGCCAAGTCCAGACTGGTTTGTAGGAATAGACCGCCTGGATCTATGTAACGCCAGCGATTGCAGCTGGAAGGATAATATCACTGTACAACTACGACCCATGGATGCAGGTATCCTGTTTTTATCTTTTAATTAAAAGTACATCACTAGCTACCACCGCTTGGAAATGCATAACGCTAGGGATTGAAGCTGAAAGGATAATATCGCCAGAATGCATTGTACCAAGATGTATTTGACTTGGCGTTAAAAAATCAAGTGCTTTTTTCAAACACCGGAAACTAACCATTCACAATCCTCATCGCCCGAGGATTATCTACTAGTTTAGTTTAATTAACTACCTCTCAGAAACGTTTGAATAGCCTACAAATACAATACGTATTTAATTCTAATCACTAGCGAAATGAAGAGTAAACAACAAAATAGCTATAGATTGTCTATTTATACTGTCAGGAAGTTTTGTTTTTGTGCCTAATCGTTGGGGACTCTTGAAGCTCGGGCCCTTTTATCACTTGACACCCCTGATTATGCTACTTGTCGGTAGCGAAATTACCAGTGCATGTTAGAAGACATTAAACGTGTGTCATCCACAACAAACGTGTGCTAATGTAGCCAGCTTTTCCTTACCTTAGGTACAGACAGTGGTCTAAAGTTCAAGGCGACCAATATTGAAAGCAACCCTACTCAGGCCATATACCAGATAAAGCCAAATGTTCCTAATCATCCCGCGGCATCCTTCTATAACCTTAAACAAAAAAGTGTGCCTCCTATGGCGGAATTTAGAATAAACCTCGTTCATGCCAAGGGAAGATGTTCGAGAAACACTGATCCCAAAGCAGGTACGCAAAGGGGAGGTTAAGGACAACGGTATAACTTTGAATTTTTGTTTACTTGCCGTAGCAATGTTCAAATGTGTTCAAATCCAACTTCAAGTCTCCTTGTGTTAAAATCCAACTTCAAGTCCCTCTGTGTTCAAATCCAACTTCAAGTCTCCCTGTGCTCCGTGGCCACACTGAAGACAAGGCCCTGTTGGCATATCCTTTCTTCAATGCATTTAGACAAGCTTAAATAATCGTTGTTATGTCTTTTGTTTCAGTCACAGACTGTGCTGTTTCACGATGGTCGCCATGGTCTTCATGCTCAGTTCAATGTGGCCGCGGTCAAAGGAAACGCGAACGTAGTGTTATCACTCCTGCAAAAAATGGAGGAAGGAAATGTCCCAAGATATCCCGAACGAGAACTTGCCGCGGCAGGAATTGCTCAGGTAATTCCTCAAATTTAATTTTTAATTTGGTGAACTCTGGAGTTAATCGTCTGGATCAATAGAAAAGGAGTCCTGAGACTTTATTGGAACAGTGCTTAAGTTAGCTTTTCTTTTTCCTGGAGTAATCTTTCATCAGAAAAGAAGAATATTTGAAATATCTGATGTAGACTTACTACTATAGTTTAATATAATAATAATTTAAATAATAACTTAAAACATTTAATTTATGTTGACCTGACATTACAGAGACCGATAGAGAGAAGATACCGTAGATACGAGTGGGATTTGAACCCGCATATTCGGGTTTTTCGACCTGCACTAAATGCATTCAGCAGTTATAGCGATAGCCATTATCAACAGTGGAGAAAAAAAGCACTGGCCTGATATTAATAAAACCAGGCATTTCCACTTAAAAACCAGGACATTTCCACTTAAAAAGATATCTTTACGCTTTACAGCCACATGATCATCGCCCCGCTTCTCAATCCCTGCTCTCATGGTTCGTAGTTTTTGAGCAAAAACTCTTTGTCTGTGAGTCGAGCAATCGTCGCTAGGATAGTTCTCTGCACTTAAATTGAATGATACTCGCTAATCATTCGAGTGGACTCCATACTTTATATCTCGTCCAAGACAAGGAATGTTTGGTCGCTTTCTGTAATGTCAGATTGATATGAATTAGATATTTATCAAAATGTTTCTTAATTAAGCTAAAGTGGACTGTGTTGTGGATTCCTGGTCACCTTGGGGACCCTGCAGCAAAACGTGTGGCCGAGGACGTAGATCCCGAAACAGGAAAGTAATTGAAAATGCACGTAATGGAGGAAAAAAATGTCCACATTTAAAGGGAAGATCAAAATGTAGAATAAAACGTTGTCCAGGTGGGTAGAGGTTACCGTGGTACCTGGCTTATACTATTGTTATTCCCAACCTAAACTAAGGGAACTCGTAGGTCTGGTTTACATTTTTCCTCTCAGAGGGGAGCGACAATACGTCCCAGACCAAAAGAGGAACTAAAAATGGATGAAGCGAGATATCAGAAAACACAAAAAGAGATTGACTATGCCCATTGGAAGAACCGATACCCCTCCCCAATTTTTTCCCCTGGCATTAAGACCGTCAGACCTTGGCCGTCAAAATTTCTGTGATCACATGCATTTGAAATTTTGCTTAGCTATAAATATAAAATAAATGTAAAGTTTCAGCGAATTCTTTAAAACGTAGCTAGTGATTTTCTGTGGAAAATTGCAACTGTAATTACAAAAACCACGACAGACATATTTATATTATCAGATCCATATGACATTTTGAAATAAGTAAGTAGGGTACATAAAACAATTCCATTTCAGCCGAATCACCGATTTCATTATCATCATAATCGCTAACACTAACCTTTTGTGTTTCTCTCCATTAGTTCTCGACTGTAAAGTTTCAGAATGGTCCGCCTGGAGTCCTTGCAGTAAGAAGTGTGGAAAAGGGAAACGACACAGAACGCGAGAATTGATACAAAAAGCTACTAAAGGAGGAAGAAAATGCCCATTGCTGAGAGAACGCCAGTTCTGTAATACATTTGAGTGTCGAGGTGAGTGAAAAATACATTTCATATATCGTTTACATGTCGTACAACGGTTTATACCACTTACTGCAGTCCTACCTGACCAGGTCGCCAATATACACCTTACCAGGTCGCATATACGACCTGCCCAGGTCGTGCGTTGTTTATACTAAAATATCGTAGATAAACCTGTGGAAAACTTGAATTTAAGTCCTGTTTATACGACACTCAAGCTCTATTTACACTATATTTAGTTCTTTACCAATAAAATGGCCGAGCATTGGATAAAATTTGTACGGGTGGCAACTTGTTATTAAACGTAGTATATAGGCTCAAATATTGGTGTTTTCTCATCTAGTGATTTAAAAATTTTTTTTTTCTTTTTTCAAGGGAGGTCAAAATTATCATCTATATCTGGAAAGTAGCCAAAGAAGATCTCTCTCAAAACCGAAAAATATATATAGCGAATATATGGCAAGAAGTATTTTTAATTCGAGGAATAGAAGCAGTACATTGGATGGTAAAGAATTATTTATTATGAAGAAATGAAATGAAAAGTGTGTGTAAATATCGTAGCTACTTTATCTTTTGGGGCCAAATTCGATTCTCACAAGCCTATTAAAAACCAGGCTAGCATCTCTTGATAGGATTTCAACAAAGAGTAAGAATGTTGGGGCGCCAACATGATGTATTTCCTTGTTCAAGAATATACTCACTAATTACGTATACGGGTTAGGGTACCGGTTGGGTCCATTTCAGCTCAAAAAGATGAAGTACCTCACGGACGAGTGTATACACGCGTAAAAATCAACATGTTGATGCAAGTTGTTAAAAACAGCAGTGAACAATGTTGCGCTGCACCCTGTGAACAGTATTGTTAACGATGTTGTTGAACCTTGTTGAATCACCAATATTGTAGGCAACTTGTTACAACAACATTGCATCGTGATTGCAACAACATTGATGATTCAACAATGTTCAACAACATTGTTAACAATAATGTTCCCAGTGTGCAGCACAGCACTGTTCACCCCTGATGCGACAACCTGGCCGTGTACATGCTGGAAACCAGAAGTGTGGGCTTCAGATGTGCGCTGTCAGAAAAGAGAAAAGAGAAAAGAGAAAAGTGAATCCGTTTAAATTATGCCTAATACAAAACAGTGCAGTTGGCCAAGAAGACATTGCTCGGCCAAGCTGTAGGAAGGGACTGATTTGGAGTCGAGTTATTCCATTTCGAAACCATTGGTTATACAGATGTGAATAAACATCAAATCGCCGCCAAGACGGTGGTGAATCTAGTTTCTAGGATCACATATAGATCAGTTCGGCCAATGGGATTTTAGTATAGCAGTAAAGTGTATTACGGCGGTTTCTATTAGTGTATTATGGAACTAGATTCGCAGCCATCTTGACAATCCAGCTAAATTTTGTGGCTCTAATTTTGCTAAATGAATGCGCTATCGAGGTTTATTCATTATCAAAAGCTTTGGTTACATCGATAGAAATGCTCAAGTGTTTTGTGACTTTTTCGTTGATGAAAATGGGAGTGAACATCGTTCTGCAGCGCTAAAAACAAATATAGCTATTCACTATTGTTCCAACTTGTTTTGCTAGAACAATATTTTTTCATTCCTGTTTTCATTAACGGAGAACAACCTTGTGCGTTTTTTTTCCGCAAGGGTTGTACGTTATATACTTGAGCTTCTGTTACCCCACTGTCTTTGTATGTATTAGCATAGGCGTACGAAGCGTGAAGAGGGTGAGGTAGGAGGCGGCTTCCCCCCATTTATTCTTCAGAAATGGGATATTCGGTTTTATGAAAAAAAAATTGTAGAAAATCAAAAAATTGTCATCACAACGCTGGCATATTCCCAGCCCTTTTCGGGCAATTTTGACCCTTCACACGGGCGTTTGGGACCGAACGCCTATGTTTGATAGCCGAAATAGGAGAATACTGACTCAGCAAAACATGGTATGTTATAAGACATGTGAATGAAATAGAATGGAATGCAGTATTTCCGAATTGTGTTGATAGCTGAATGTTGTAAAGAAAGTGCAAAGTTATAAATAAATTATTATAAAATGTATATAAAACAGCGGCTATTATTGCACTAAACCATTCCAAAACTCTAACTACTGAGCCGTCGAAGTGTTAGTGAAGAAAAAACATATGTTGGATGGCTTTAACGCTGTCTATCAGCTCTACCAAATTCTCCGAACCCTGTGGCCTGTTCTCCAATTTACGTGAAATGTGGCTAGTAAGCTTATTTATTATTTCTTATGTATTACCACATAAAAAGGGATGTGAATGCTGGAACGGAAAGTTAGTCAAGATGAGTTAATCATGTAGGTTGTTCACTTTGCTGGACGATCATTATTTACAAACTCTGTCTACTAGATTCTTCAATGAGATGATTTCACAAGCAGCTGACCTCGTTTCCAGATGGGCCAGTGTTTATATTAGTGCTAAAATGTGTTCTAATGTTCTCATTTTCGCGTTCAATATGGCTAGTCTGGTTTCACATGTCGTAATTTTCGTAGTTTACATGCTGTAGTTTGTTTTTAACCCAATCCGAATTGACTGACACAAAAGGAGCACATTATAACGAGTTATGAGTTCGCATGTGCGACAAAAGACGACGAATTATTTATGGCATAAAAACCAGCCTTCAGAGAGGTGTTGTCACTGTTGTGACCGCAGACATGGGGACGTACTAGTCACCAAAGTCGGCTGTCATTTTGAGGTATGGTATTAACTGTAACACAACGGGGGTCGTAGTAATATAAGTGATTTCTATCGATGTCTTATTAAATCTTATGCCGAATACAAATATGCAATAACATACTTCAACAAATGCTGTTCACTGAACACGTCAGACGTAGTAACCAATCTATGCCGTGAGTTTTGTGTCGCAATATCAACCTTTGTGTCCACAACTATTTTCGACCAATTTCCATAAATGTCTCTAATAACTTCATGTGTCAATGACAGATTAAATTACTCAAGGTGCCCCGTCGAAATCAGTTATAACGAGCTTTCTCATTGGTCAGCTGTATGGCTTCTTGTGTTCAACCACATTAAATAAATACCATGTCCAAAGTATGTTGATTAATTAATGTCGATGTTTGATTAAATGCATAAAACTACTTAGTTGTTTTTTTCCATAAAAAGTCTCACAGCTGTGAATCCCTAACGTTAGCAGCGGATAGCAACCCGTTTAGCACATGACATTAAAATTAAGTAAACCAAGTAAAGAAAAGATCAATTAATTGTAATTATTTGACTGCTTGAAGAACCTCGCTGTTTTTTTAGGCTTTTCTCCATCTGCAGATTTCATTTACTTATTTTTTTTTATACTATTTTGTGAAATCACCCAGGCAGGCACCATTCAAGGTTATTGCCCCCTACTCTTATAGCGACGAAACACGTGTACAAATAATTTCTATGACTATGAATTATATATGATTATGTCTATTTAAATAAATATTTTCGTCTGCATCGTATGACTCTGCAAAGAATCCCCATTACAATGCCCCAAAAAGAATTAGCAACCTTGCAGAAATACTGTGTCTAACCAAGGCAGAAGTTATGCTTGGAGAGTATCATAGGTTATGGTTGTTATGGTTGTATACTAAAGGAAGAGAAATCGATCCAGTCATTTCTCATATCGCTGAAACAAGGCATATTTTCTGACTCACTAAGTTCTGCAGCCGGCGCAGGCTCGCAGCATAATCTGAACGTCATATCCGGATGAGTGACTTGATAGTGAACTTCGACATGCATTTAGAATGTCAAAATCATCCGATAAATTTAACTGGGAAAACCAAGGAGTAGTTTATTATATAGTATTAGAGCATAGTCGAAAAACGGCTATATATATATAAAACTATACACTTGCTGACGGATTAACTGTAAACTTTCAATCCTATCTTGAGGAAGAGAACGGGGGGTGAACCCCCAGAGACACAAAGGGGTAATTGATTGACCCTACCAATGCACCACTGTGTAGCGCCTATTATACAACACAGGTTTGTATTAGAAAGTTGGTATATAACCATAAAAGGAAACAATTGGTCACGTCTTTTGGCATGTATTGTCGATATCTAATTGTTATCGTAAAATATTGCTGTAATAGGGGGTTGTCAGGGTTACAACAAATTTCTTCATCCTAATTAAAAGTGTCTTAGCAATGAAATTTTGGAGGTTAGGAGTGATTTGTTATTGCTAAAATCATCCACGCTATAAGAAGGTTAAAAGAAACGTTAAGGCAAATCCATGAACTCAATGGGGCACGTTAGCGTGAGGTCGTCAAGGACACTGGGGCACAAGAAAACTAATGCAATGAATTAAAATAACATTTCCTTTCGTCAATCCCAATATAAAATTAGTAAGTATACATTTAAGATTTTATTAGGCCAAAAAGGTAATAGATTTTTGAACACTTTTTGAATGGTATTTTGTAAATTGTGGGCACGTCATCGTTGCCATAACATTACTGTTGACATGTCTTGCTCACTAGGCCGCGAGGTGGGACCAATCGCGCGTTGTGTAGCAGTCACGTGAACGAGGGCAGCTCAGATCGGCTCGGCACGTCATTATGGAAAATGGCGGATTCTAGTGGAAATGAACCGTCTAGGGCGAGTAATGCTCTGTTTAAACGACAAGAACAACTACAGCGTTGGAAGCAGAGCGAAACAGCCCGTGAACCTGTAGTGAAGCCAACGAAACGAAATAAATTGAAATTCGACGATGGCACTGTGTTCTTATCGGCCGTTTCTGCCGGCGACTTGGATGAGGTCAGAAAGCTCTTGCAGAAAGGTTCGGACGTGAACTACCAAAATGTCGACGGTGTTACAGCCTTACATCAGGTGGGAGCACTCAGAGATTAAACTGTGGAGTGTATTTCGGTTATGTATGATGCCAAAATGGCTGTGTGGTAGCGAGAAACGTACACAGACGACATGAGTTTGCGATAATAAATTGCTATGGCCGACGAGCTGCCATTTTCTATTGCGACCAAAGACTGCTTGTTGGAAAATGGTTTCATGCCAACTTTACAGGGCTAATTGTTCGTTTGAATAATGGATATTTATATGGCAAATAACCCTTCCAGTGCTACGTTTAAATCAAATTCATTTTGTGCGAAATTATAAGCGAATTCTACACCATATGACAGCAACGTTGCGTGTAGTTTACAAAAATATTTCGTACACTAGATCGTGTTCACGCCTAAAAATCACTCCTGTGTTCTCGATCTAGTTTAGAAATCTCTTCAGGAGACCCCTTAGTAGATATATTTGTATGATTCCGAAAGAAATATGCCAGAACCGGCGTTTTACACAAGAAATTCTTGAGATAGGGTACGAATATGGACTGACCTAAATGTACATTTTTGGACTGAACCCCAAATTATAATTTATATCAACATTATTACTATGCGAATTTTTGTACTTCCAAGGTAGACGAGTGTGTTATAGTTTGGGTGTCTTTACCACTTATTCACCATTTTAGGCCTGCATCGACGAAAATGAAGAATTGGTTGAGCTTTTGGTACAGCATAAAGCGAATTTAGAAGTAAGAGATAACGAGGGATGGAGCGCATTGCATGCTGCCGCGAGTTCGGGAAATTTGGATGTCACCGAGTAAGTGGAATTCATCGTATTTTAGGCCAAAATCCGTCGAAAAAACCATCCTCCATCCTTTACATAAATTAGCCTACAATTCCCTTTCGAAATCCGGCCAAAAATAGCTGAATGCGTACAAAAATCAGTCATAAACAACGTACATATGTTTAAAATTGTTAATTTCAAATTCAGAAATGTACATCTTATATTTGTAACATTAATAATAGTAAATCAGTAAAATTAAGCGAATTCCATATGCATATCAGATTTCAAAACACGTTTTAATCGGTGTTTATAGAGAGAGTTTTTGTACGAATTCTGTCGAGTTGGTGAAAGTTTGTCTATATTGGTTTTGTTTTTATTCCGGTTTTAAGATTCTAATGATATTGTTTACATCAAATCTCTGGCCTGTATATATATTTGTATCATTCCCATCTAAGTTGTTACAATCTTTCTTGCAATTTTTTTGCAGCTCTTCTAATAGCCATCTCCTATAATCTGCTAGCTTTAGTATAAAAAGTCGTTTGTAGTTTTTCAAGAAACTAAAATGCATTCAAATATTGAGCATTCCTGTAGGCTTTTAAATATGTAGGCAGATAATTACAGTCCTACTCAGAAATAACCCAAAATTTGTCTTCATAGGAATGCATTCAGACTGTTTGTCATTTACTTTAATGATTTAACAAACATCTCATTTTCAGAAGGCATTTAACAATACTGCAAAGCATTCATAAACACAGACTGATTCCTGCAAGTCTGTGCCATTGTGGCTTTTATTTGTAATTGTAATTAACCTTGTAGTTACATTTCCATGGTCAGACAATATTATTACATAGTTGAATGTCAGCTTCCTTGCCCTAGTAACCAGCGTTGTTATTGCTGTACCAAGAGCTATAAGCTTTTGCCCAGCACTATTGTGTAGCAGTTATCAGATTAAGGAAATATGTCTCCGCATAGTAGTTTTTTTGAATTTGAAGAAAAATACACAGACTAGAGAGGTGTATTTCTTTAATTTATTTGCTAAGGACTCTGATCCACTGTCTTGTGGTAGTCCACTGCTGCCAAATAAAATTAAATGATGTTGGATGATAGAATATTCAAGTAGGGTCCATCATCTGGCATATTGCCAAATGAAGTGTCAATGTTCATTTCTAAAGTAGCCTGCCATCTGCCACCCCCATGCAAGGTAGTTCATATTAAGAGAGTTTAATGCAGCTCATGTTTATAAACATATCAGCATTAGAGTTTTAGATATTATTGAAAAATATCTTGCTACACATATTCCTATATGCCATATAACGCATGTTATACATTGATAAGAACAATAATCTTGTTACATTTAGCAATGTTATTTTTTTGCGACCCAATTCAGGCATAATTTTGTGATGCTAGGGGACTTTATATTAGCAGAGAAATTGGAAGCACAGATATCATTGTGTTTTAAGCATATCCCTAGAAGCAAAAAAATAAGCTTGTAAATGTGCTTATTTCAGTCATTTGGTATTTCAATATTTTTATATCATTTTTTGGTGCAGAAATTGTAAGATTTCTAAGATTGTAAGATGTATTGCCCTCAGCCATTTGATTTTAATGTGCTGATGAAAGGACAAAATGACCATTATGTAAAAACACTGCTTATTTGCTATGGATTCACTATAAATTATTTATGGTTGTGTTGTGGTAATACGTTTTATGAATGTTTTGTACATTAGATTTTTGGTGGAGCATGGTGCAGACATTGCTGCAGTCAACAATGAAGGAGAACTTCCTTTGGATCTAGCTGAAGATGATGATGAAGAGATGACTGAATACCTTCAAGAACAACTTCGCAAAGCTAGTAAGTAGTTCTCTCTTCAAATAGACACTTCCTACATATTGTAAGGTGCATCCTATTGAAGAAAGAAAAATATACTAGTATAAAATGTATGCTGAAATCATTACTTTAAAAAACAAATTAGTCATAGACACTGACCTATATATATTAGTATATTAGTTCATCTAGACTGAGTGCACAAGGTCAAGACTTGCCGATGCAGGAGATGACAAACATAGGTCTCACAGAACCACATGTAATTTGTCTAATAAGGCCAATTTGTATTTAAAGGCTTTATTAGTAAAAATAAGTAAATGATGGCAAATGATGTAGAAATATGGCAATGTTTGTTGTCAATCAATGCAGACACTTTTGGCATTAAACTTTATTTTCAGCATTCATTGCTTATGAACTAATATACCACTTTTCTCATTTCCAAAGGCTGTGGTCATAGGTCATTTGTATAATTAGTAAAGCATGAACCATCATCCTCAAAAATAATTGTAGCTTCAACTTCATGAACAGTTCATATTGCCCAATTCAGTTTTAATGAAATACCTGATGAAAATTTATTAACACATGATCATAAAATAAATTAGGCGAAAGAGCCTGTGTGTTTGCTGTGTGATAACATTATTGCATAATGCAAATTTCTAAATCATTAGATGTTGATGTGGAAGCTGCGAGGGCAGAGGAGGAGAGGATTATGGAAGAAGATGCACAGTCCTGGCTCAACAAGGGACGGATAACTGAAGTGAAAGATCCAAAAACTGGTGAGTGTGAAAGTTGGTCACAACTGAGTTTAGAAAGTAGGCCATTGCAAAAGAAGTGAAAACATGTAAATTCCATAGCCAAATCTTGTTTACATGTAAGACAGCATTAATAGTTTATGTGGCACCAGCATTGTTAATAAACTTGCTTTTGGATATGGTTTATGTGAACTTTTGGATGCTTTAAAATGATTTCAGACTTGTAATATTTTGACAAAGCAATGAGAAAATTAGCTTACAGCAACACATCAACTGGCAGTGTATGTAGATATGCCCTGCTAATCTTACTAGCTGACCATTGCTCTTGTCATTTGTTTGATGCTACTAGCTAGGAATGTAATTGCAAGACCACAACAATGACTCACAAAAGTCTTATAGAAATTTTTTCACCTTAGGTGCAACTGCTTTACATGTTGCTGCTGCCAAAGAATATACAAAAGTCATCAAGTAAGTCAAGTTTACCACATACCACTTTTCCCATTTTGTGTATCTTTTGGTAAAGGTAAATTTACTTCGCTTATTTCACTGTTCAATAACTTGATCTTGCACACAAGGTAAAGTTTGCTACACTGTTCAAAGCATGTGTGGTATAGCAGATGCTATTCGAACATAGCTTGTTGTAAAGCTAGTTGTTGAAACTTTTTGACGACTTGCTGATTAAGCTGGATTTCTGACTCTTTTTGTCCAAAAGTGGGTTTTAATGCAGTAATACATAAATCAATTAAGGCACTTAAATCAATTATTAGAAGTGAAATAGGTCAACACTTAACTAGCCCCTATTGGTATTTTATAGGATGATTAATAACTGGCATTTTTTTCAATTTCTAGTCTCCTCTTGCAAGCAGGAAGTGATCCAAATGCTCAAGATGTGGACAAGTGGACACCACTTCATGCTGCAGCACATTGGGGTCAGAAAGAAGCATGCAAGCTATTGGCTGATTATGGAGCCGATTTTACACTTAGAAACCATGTGGTTAGTAAATATTTATTGTCCTCGAGAATGAGTTTGTCAAACATTTAGCTACACCAACTTAGATGCTGACTTTTGAGCATAAAACATTAATTATGAATTTTGGAGAAAATAGCTCTTTAACTTTAAGCTGGTTCTTGTCAGTTATTTCGGGTTGTAAAAGACTAGAAATTCAAGGAATTTGATAGCAAATTGCTGTCCTCAAAACTGCCTTCAATAACGTTGTCTGACCACTGATGTTTTTTCCACCTGAGGCTACGTTCACACTGGACCAGACGAATTTGGGATCATGATCGAATTTGTCATGCCCAGGTGTGTTCACGAATGCAAGGCTCTTCCTGTTCGCATGAGCAAACCTGACGAATTCCAGCACAGTTCCAAATTCGTCCGGTCCCGTGTGAATGTAGCCTGAATTGCCCTTTCACTTTGAGCTCTTTGTTATCCCCATATGACCCGAAAATTCCCTGGAATTTGAAACATCGGCCTCTGAGTGAGCTTTGGCTTTGCGGAATAATATTTTTCACTTCGTACTCTTTTAAGAGCTCATGGTCACTTGTTCTTTTCACAGGGGTTGACTCCAATTGACTTAGCCGAACCTGACATAGAAAAATACTTAGAAGAATTGAAGAAAAAGCAAATGGAGAAACCGAAAATAAATGTATGTATTTCTAAAAGAATCTTGGAAATGTCTTTTCACACTTCGATTAGGCGCAAAAAAACGTGTGTTGGGGAAGTTATTTCGACAATTTTCAGTTAGTCAATTGTCAAGTTAGTTCGGTAATGATATGCGTGGGTCATAAAGACGAGATTGAAATCAAAATACCGCTCAATTAGCTGCCCAATCTCCCCTCCCTTCCCATCTTAAACAGTCAGTTAGTGTCCCATCTCTCATAGTTTGTATGTTGTTCTAAACGCGTGAAAAACACGCATTGGCGTATTGATACAGAAACACGGCATGATTATTCCAAAACCAACATGATTATTCCAACCTTTCTACGGCTTTCGTAGCAAATGTACTCAGTAACTGCATCGTGTATATATATATGTTCCCAATGGGATCTTCCATGAAATCAAAAGTTTCGCAATTTCAATTGAACATGGTTGCAATTCTATGCGTGCGTGTGAAACATGTCAAAACGCAGGCTATTATCATGCAGTCTTATCTTTTTTATTTTTGAACATGTACTTCCTACGTGTGTTAGAAAGTTATAAAAATTTTTTAGAAGTTTGCTTTGATGATTTAATAAGTTATTTTACAGTATAGCGATTCTACCCGAACAAGTCCTCTGACTCCCCTCGGGATAATGTAAGGTGTGAATTAACCATATGTTATTTAGGCATCTATAACTCCCATGAACACCATATCAACTGGTCATCCAACATTGACGAGAAGGTACGTTAAAAAGAATTTCTTGTTTTAAATTATACACAATACCATGTTGTGAGGGTGCTACTACTAGAGTTTACTATCGGATAAGCCGGAATCCACAATCAACATGCTATGTTTGGTTCAGTTGACTATGAGTAAGTTTCTGTGGTAACATGGATCAGTTAAGGACGATTTCAATGTGAACCACTAGTTTTAAACTGGTAGAGCAATCTAAAAGAGTTCATGTGGTGAGGGTAACATTAAAATGGTGTCGTTTATTCTATCTTCCGTAGGCGGTCAATAACACGAATCAAAGACACAGGATTATCAAAGACGGACGTCACACAAGAGCGCAAAGCCATGGCAGAACGAATAGGTGCACAAGGCCCTAAAGAACCTTTAATAAAAGAATCAAAACAAGAGACTCCAGACGACAAGAATTCGTCGAGCAGTGTCGAATCGGACTCGGAGGAATCCGAGTCATCCGAAGAAAGCACGGGCGAAGAATCGGATGAGAAAGAAAAACAACGTCGGACGGTGTCGGAAAAGCTCGCTACGAAACGTGGTTCGGAATCCGACTCGGAGTCGGAAGAGGCAGTAAAGAACAATAGGGTAACAAATTCGGTTAAGAACCAAACGCCTGTAACGAACAATCTCCGGGGTCGAAATCCCGCCTTCTCAAGATTTGATAATAAGAATGCTGTTACCACAGCAACAACTACTAATTCCGTGACGTCACGTCCCTTGAATAGTACCTCCAGGATATATCCTTCTACTAGGCAGAACTCAACTGATAAAAAGGAAGAGACAGGTATCTGTTTATGTTTTATTTTGTTTTCTTCAGAACAAACTCAAGATCGTGAGCTGTGTTGTATTCCATCAGTGCACCAAATTCCGAATCAAAGCACTAAAGATGTGCTTATGACTTCTAATTTCGTCTGAGCAACATGACTAAAAATATAAACAATGATTTGTTTTTCCCACCAACTAAAAAAAACTAAGGGCGTAATTAAGACATGTATAATAATAAATCATGATTGTTTGACTTAAATTGCTCCGTGAGTACTTGTCTCGGAGTACCCTCTGTCATCTCATAGTGAGTAAAACAGGCTACTCCATAAGCAATGATGCTCGCACGACCATGCAACAATCCTGTTTGAGAATGTGTTCAGAAAAAAAAAACAATTCCTTGACGTGCCGCTTTCTATCAGTGCACTAAAAATCCGGATGAAAGAACTAAACATTCGCTTCTGCACGAGTTCCATGTCCTTTGTATCATTTCAACCTTGTATTTATTCCAGCTGATCTGACGACAAGAAAGGGTTCAGAACTAACAGCAGATTATAAACCACGTCGCTTTATTTAACCATACTAATGGTTACTAATACTTATTATCTTACATTAAACTAGTGTAAGCTTTGGCACAATTCTTAGTAATGAGACATAAGCGTTGTATATACTTATACGTTTGGAAGTAAGGTAAAATATATTTCACAAGGTAGTAAGTCGCTAGAAAATGGATTCCTCTTTGACATCTTAGGCCCAACTTGAATCAGCAAACTGTTGCGACTAAATAGGCAACTCTTAAAATTGACGAACCAATTAATTAACTTCTTAGGCGGACACTTGTCGTAACAAGCTTGACATAACACTACTCGCTAGTAATGTTCCATTGTCTTATCATTATTGTCATGTTCTAATGACATGAATTTGAAGTAAATGTCATACCCCATATATATATTAATAAGCCATAGGAGACTGGACACTATTGTCACTACTTGTCACAATTGTCCACCTTAATAGGGTTCAAAGCATACGGTTGTTTCAACTTATTCAACCTGATCATTTATTATGAATAGAATTCCAATGCTTGCTAGAATAATGGTATTTACATAGATTGCCACTAGCCGTCAGCACCGGAGGCAATCCTGTCTTGCCCGAGTAGCGATCGATAAAATTACTAAAAGATGAATGATTTACAGCTAACTTTGACGGGGATATAAATTATTTTACAGAATAGCTATTAATCAGTAATGCAAGAAAACGTCGCAACAAATATTCCTCTAATTCAATAAAACGACAATAAAAAGGGTCTTAGGAACAAAATTAGAAACAGTTTAAGTTTGAACCATAAAGATTAGTAGAGGGTAATGAAGTGCTATTATTCATTATCATAAATAAGGCAAGCCTATATATAACTTCCTATAGCTAAATCTTCGTATTTTATTGTATATTTCGTACTTTTCGAGATTAAAATTTCTTGCAGTAGGCATTTCTTCAGCGGTGGAAACTCCTTTTGTAAGGCAATCTGTTTATCGTCATGATCATATGAACATTGTGGTCATTTTTCTAATGTAGTGTTTAAATGCTTGATTTTTTCCATTTTGCCACGCATATGAAAATTTCGTTGTTGTCATTAGCCGTGATCCTAAGATGCTTGTCGCAGGGTTGTTTAGGTTCTGTACCAGTAGCACAAGCAACCAATTTTTAACAAAAACTTTGGGGAGTTTCGATACTAGGCAATTGGCAACATATCTTAAAGTTCTGGGGCCGGTTGTTCGAAAGGTGTTTAGCTTAAACGGCGGATAAGCTAAAGTTTAAAACTATTCTTATACATCTTGTGAATGACTGAAACCACATTTTATGCATTTAATATGTGCTTCCAATGACAATTAAACTATTTACATCGAAACATTTCAACTCAGTTGTTCAATGAATAGATAATTTGGTTTTCCATTTTTAACTTATCCACCGTTTAAGCTAAACGCCTTTCGAACAACCGGCCCCTGGGCCGGGTTGTATCAAGCCCGTTTAGCTTAAACGGTGGATAAGTCAAAATTAAATAACACTCTTACATCTCTCTTGAATGAGTCAACTTGAATATTATGCACTGAATATGTAGTTGTAAACAGTATCTTTGTATTAAGGTTAAAAACATTTAGTTCGCTTGTTGAATAAAACGATAGACTTGCTTTCTATTTTGAACTTAACCACCGTTTAGGCTAAACGGGCTTCATACAACCGGCTCCTGGGGCCGGTTGTATCAAAGCCGGATAGCGCTATCCACCGGATAGTGATTTTTTCAACCGTTCTAAAAATGCTCGAAAAGCGATAAAATTTCAGCTTAAAAGCAACAATTACTAAAGAGGTTCTTCGATTTAGGAATACCAAGATTTGATCAAAGTTGTAGCAAATAACGAGGGATTTTGAAGCAATTGAAAAAAACACTATCCGGTGGATAGCGCTATCCGGCTTTCATACAACCGGCCCCTGAACAAGCAGTTTGATTACATTCTGGGACCAGTTATACAAAGGTCTGATAGCGCTATCCACCGGATATTGGTTCAACTGTATTCAACTGTATTCAGGCTTTTTGCATTGATTGAAAAATCACTCTCCGGTTGATAACGCCATCCAGCCTTCGTACAAAGATAATCATTCTGAATCTCCTCTGTTTAACAGGTACGAGGGCTAGCGATAGATATGGACTAAGCCGTGGAAGACTGACCCCGTCTCGCAGCGATGATACCGACACCGCAACGAAGGAAGTCGAAAGTCGCCGAAGGGTGTTCGAGCGTACCCGACCAGCAAGTAGTAGTTATCTATCACGCTTGAATAACGACGAAACGCGTGATAGCAGGGAAAGCAGGGACAGTAAGGGATCAGAGGAGGTGAAAGATAGGGTGGAAAGCAAGACGAATGAGGACAATGCTAGGAAAGAGGAGGTAGGAATGTTATTTGTCGTGCGTTTCATTGTATGGGTGCAAACATGTGGTAGTGTTCAACATGCATTTATCACAGCACGATAATTATATGTTAACTATTCCATTTGCACACAATTTCTTCCTATAAAGGCAGTGCTGTTTTCGTGTATGTGATATTTCGCTTCACCCTTTATTTTGTTAAAAAAAATCCAGCTGCTTATGTAAGCATCGTTATATTGATTTCAAAAAGCACCGCTCTCTTTTTTACCCAATTGTGTGAATGCCGGCTTGATACACAAGTCCAATATTCATACTATAAATGAGCGCTTGTCTGGGCCTTTAATACCTCGAAAACAATTATATGGAAATGCACCATGTGTGTTTATAAACCGAAAGCGTTTATAAAGCTTATGCACTTGTGAATATAAAAGGGCCCACTTCATATTGTCATGCCAACTTAACGATGCATATAGATTATTGATTTATTTAATGCACAATACAATTAAACTGCAGGGGATAGCATCGGCTCCTGCTATGCAGAGGATGCGGAACTGTGTGACATTTCTCCATTTTCTCAGCAATTTTACTCCGTGCTTGCCAAAATAGCGAGATGGGTTAGTCTTGGGGTTAGTCTCTTGGATTAATTCGATACGTTTCCATAAAATGTCTGGCCTTTGGCAGCGAAATGTCTTCGAATCAGGCGGACAAGTTAAACCAAATTCGAAGGTATAGTCATTAGTCGCGTAATGGGTACCGTGTGTTTTGGTTTTTTTGACATATTTGGAAGTACTGAGGGCTGTGATACGATCTGTTTTCGTCGTGTAATTGTAGAAAGCCGAAATTTCTAAGGAATTGTGTGCAGTGTGGATGACCGGTGCCCAAATATAGTCATATTGGTATTGCGAGGAATTGTATGAAAAAGCGTTTATTTACACAACGCAGTCATAATTCGGCTCTAATGAAGAAAGGCGAATTAACATCCTATCTATGACGAAATTGTTTTGAACGTGGGAACCTTTTCGAAAAACAAATTCGCGCTGAGTTATACTGTCAATACACTCTCATATTCTTTGATCGAAATATTCGACCGGGTGTCTCTTTAAAAGATTAAAGCTGTATAAAGTAATTTAATGAAGTATTCGAGAACATTGAGCTGAAGCCTGAAACTTTGTAGTTTATTTGAAGTCGGATTCACCATAACTTCCTTATTCCAAGAATTTAAGATTCACGAATTTACGATTCACCTTAATCAAAGGCATACACAATTGTTTATGCTAGAGCTACACTCTCTAATCAGTCCCATCTCTTACCAAAAGTATTTGCAAGAATTTTTGTTCTCCATAAAGTTCGTATCGCATTACAAGCGTATATACATTTGCATATGCTTCCAAGATCGGTTTTCACGAATCATCGATCAACCGACGTACGGATTAGCACGCTTGTCGTTTAGTCTGCCGGAAAACAAAACCGATCTCGTAGTTCTCTATATTATTACCTATATTTAAACTACATTATATTTTTTTCCCCGGCAGCCATATCAGGGTTACATTTTTTTTCAGCGAAAAAGCCGGTCATTTTAGAGAAACTATGCCGCTTCAAAAATATCCAGCGTATAAATTACTTAGCAGAATTTTTTTGTTTCTGTCGCAACTCTAAGAGTGATATATTAGGTTTAAATATTTATACAACATACGGTTCACACCGTCATATCTCTGGTTAAAACATGGCCTATCATTGTAAGATCTACCCGAATCTAACTCCAAGAAACCAAATTTGTCTTTTCAATATCAGGCCTCTTCAGGAATCAGGATCTCCGTTTTCACGACATTGCATGATTTTGCGCACGGCTGTTTGAATTTTTTGTCCTGCCGCGTTTTGCGTAGTTAACCTGCCTAGTTTTGCGTTTAGGCGACGAAAATTCGGGCGCCGTTGCTAAAAAATACGGTTTAGACGCCAAAATTAAACGATAGTCCCGTTGCTGAAGGCAACATATGCTACCATTCTTTCGATAAACAGAGATGTTGAAATGTCAACAGCCAAATTAGGCTTATGTAAGTACAGACATATGAAAGTTTGGTTAGTGTGGTATAAACAAATATATGATAAGACAACGTCGACTGTGTGAAATGACCCTTAAAGGAAACGATGCCCTCTTCAGTTTAACTGTAGTAAACACCCCAGGTCTTCCTGTGTCCTTTGGCGTCCTCCTGAAATCACACTGGGACAGTCCTTCGAACTACTTTCGTCCAGAAAATTCGTTCGCTAAAAAGTACTCATTTCTTTTGTATTCGCGCCATCACACCTCGTGTTCTCCTGAGCGATGTTAATTAACTTTTGCGCCAGTAATTCTAAAATAGGATTATCGCTGTTTGGAATTCGATCTTTGCTATTGAGCTTCGCGTTTGTCCATGTTGTCGATCTGATGCAGTTTGTATAATACATCGCGACCGGTTGGATATTCCGGCCCATTTCTACAAGTCTGTTTTGATTTGACGCATTGCTCTATGGTAAGTTGGCAATATTGGGAAATCTAAAGATTTTTGTGGGGCTAAACGTCTGACTGTGCGAGTTCGCAGGGTTACATCGGTGTATATTATCCACAACAGTACTTCTGTTATGTGTTTGGCTGTAGTTCCTTAGTTTAACTGCAAACAGAAGTTTCAAGTTAGAAGAATATTGTTAATACATTAGCTTTGTGAGTCGTGTGGGTTTGGAGATAACGTTCAACATGCGATTTCAGTAACAGCCGTTTGTACGTGTTTAGATCCATTTGTCTATTTTGTGTGATCGCATGAGAATGTATCTAATACGATTGTGTACACTATAGTCGGGTTTCACCAGACACCAGATGGTGCTCAATTCACCAGATATTGGGAAAGAAATACTTATTCTTTTTACCATACGTAGATGTATTTTCTTCGTGAAGGGAAATGAGCAGAATCGAGAGATGAATCTAACTTATTAGTTCCAGAAGTTGTTTAAATATTCTAAAACTAACAACAGAATCATCTGTTTTAGTAAAACCGTGATGGGAAAGGAATTGTCTGCTTTAGTAAAACTGTAGTGGCAATTTCTAAGATTCTACATCGATTGCACGAATTTTGTGAAACCGCTTATTCGGTATCACTTGAAAGCAAACTAAGGATAGGGCAATATAACGACACTGTGACTACTAAGAACGCGAAGATAATTCTTTTAATAGCGACACCATATATATTAGCCTCGCGGTGTACGGATGCAATTTAGTATATTAAATTAGTTTTGTTTCCTGAAATGCGTGTTATGATTGTCGCATTTTCATCCTTTGAAGGCAATTTTCTTGACATTTGTACATCGCCACGCGATTCCGTTGATACGATGCCAAATTGTGAAATGTAGGCTTGGCGGTTTTCTTTTAAATATTTCAAATGCCTGTTGACAGAACAATGGAAATCAGGAAATATAGACTAAGGTGTGTCCCATACGTGATGGCCTCTCTCTACAGGCTCTACTGCGCTCACCTCGCGAATGAGTTCAAAATTCAATCTTTAAAACCTTAAGCTTCGCTGATGTTCAGGAACAAGATGTCGTTGAATTGCGAGGCAATTGTTGCCAAAAGTATAAGCTAACGTTAGATTAACTAGGGTTAAATCAATTCAGCTTAGATTAAAATAGGTCATCTTAAGGTTAACCAACTTAGGGCGGGCAAAGTTAATCATAAGTCATGTATACGTTCTCACGAAGAAATCTGAGAATAGATTTGGTTATCAAATGTACAACATTTTCTCACTATTAGAATTGTATAAAATCATCCTCGAATGCACAAGTGGACATTTATTGTCCATGTAACATTGCCCCTCCTTCACCCCACAATTCACTCATTATCCTTCTTTTCAGGAAACACGACCAAGTTACCGTTCCCAACTTCGGGATACCAAACTCTCATCGTATCAACCTCGTAATCGCCCATCATCTCGAAACTTCGACGATGATAAACCGAAACATAACGATGTGGACTCGTACCTCGCTCGGCGAAATAACCGCTCTACGTTTTTATCCGACCGGGACAAGGTATAATTTTCTACTGTAATTCGGAGAGTTATTGGTTGAGATGATATACAATGAATTAAGTTACTAGGGTTACATAGTTGATTGTCTATAATGTAATAATGTTGGTGATAGTGTTGTAAAAATAATTGTGGTGTAACAATGTTGGTGGATTATTTGTGATGTTTTTTAGTAATGTTGGTAATGTTAATCATTTTGGTAATTGTGATGTAACAGGAAAGGAGATGATTTATTGGTCATATTAGTGTTCATAATAACGTTTGTGATAGTTCTGTAATAATGTTGGTGATGGTGGTACAATATTTTAAGTGAATATTTCTGAATGGCAGTGCTCCATGGTGATGATACGACTGCTGCCAAATTAATCAGTTTATTATATGTTATCTTCTTTTGCGGAGTTGCCATTCTCCTCCGGCTACTTTGTCCTATCTCTAAACACGGCAAATGTGAATTTCTGCTGTGGTGGAAAGTAACCTAAACAAAATGATCTTTTCATCAATTTCTAGGAGAAAAACGACACTACCTCAACAACAACAACGTCCTCCTATGCAAGTCGGCGCCGAGCACGCGATGAAGCCGACACAAATAGTACGTCACGTGATACGACTCGTGACACGACACGTGAAACTCGGACATCGAGCTATCTTCGGTCGACGAGTTCAGACAATGTATCAAGTCGAATAAGTGAAAGAGAGAAAGAGAGGCAGCGTGAAGCGGACAAGGTAGTGTGTTGTGTTTTATGGATAGGGTTGGGGGTTGGGGTCACCCCTCTTTCAATCTTTAAACATCTCTTTATTTATAAATGAGGGACGTAGCCAGGGGGAGTCTGTGGATGCGGTCGACTAAATGACAACTCATGTTTTCAACGTCCTAAACTTTGTTGTATGAACACCATTGATGATGTACGACAAGTTAAAGGAAGGCATTAATTTAAAAACGTTTTCTTGTACGCATTTCCGAGAAAAAATCACCAATGCACACGACGCACTGTTTAATTCTCCGAATATTTTGTTGTTTCAAGGAAAATGAGAAGCAAAGCGAGAAGGAAAAAGCAAAGGAAAAGGAGACCGAGAAGGAATCGGTGGATAAATCAGCTTCAACGGCTGCCCGTGCTAGGAAGAATCGTAGACCAAGAGAAAAGAGAAGGTCTACTGGTGTGGCGTTCATGCCTTCTGAGGTATGTTGTTACTAGGGTTGTTGTCCTGGGGTACATCCGAGATCATGAGGAATAATAAGTTGGCCATGTTTTGAAACAGAGTGACGAGGAAGAGCCAGATGAACTTCAAGAAGCCAAGAAGAATACAATGATGAATGAAGATATTGAAGAAAAAGAGAAACCTAAGGAAGAGACGAGGGTAAGATATCACTTGATAAGCTTCTGTAAAATTGCAAAAACCTCAGTCACCTAAAAATACTAATATATGATTTTTATCTGCAGAGTCTTGCCGATAGGATACGAGCTGGAAGGTATTATCTTTTCTTTCTTCAGCACTTTACGATTATTGTATATTATAAGCTTAACGGGCAGTGTCAGGGTGCTTCTACTTATCCAAATTGTATCTTCAAGTTTTACTTCGAAAAAGTGACGAGGAATTGCATCCCTGGATACTTTCACTATATTTCACTGTATTAATGAATAAGTTCAATGAGTAAAATGTGTGAGTGGTTTACTGTATGTTGAGAAATTCCACTATAATACGTTGAGTTTAATTGAATAAGTGCTGTGATACTTCCCCTTTAAAACCAGTCATGAGAGCTCATCGAACGTCGAAACGTTTTTTTCAGGACGGCATCGTCGACGACTTCGTCAACATCAGATAGACATAAAAACACAACGCGGGCCGTAGATAGTAAGATGCCAACAGATGTTAATACATTACAAGAGAAACTACGAGAAACCCGGACTGAACTAGATAAAACAATACAAGTAAGAATGTGAATATTTTCATACTAGACTTGATCGATAATGACGTTAAACGTGGAATAGGTGATGATATATGACACTTGATCGGCTTGGCGATGATTCAAGGTGTTCCTGAGCAGATTAAACCTGATTTACCATTAGTTCTTTGTGTGTTTAATATCGTCAAAGGCCCAACTGTTGTTGATCTCATTAGGGAACTTACTTTAACTAACCTTTTGGAAACATTCTGGAAACATTCTGGAAACATCAGTACAATGTCAACCAATCACACAGATTTAATCAATTCTGTTCTACTCGGTGTAATTCGGTCGAATATTCACAAACCTGCTTCTCTCTTTCTTTTCAGGAGAAGAATAAACTAGAACGAAAAGTAGAGTCTATGGAAGAAGATTTAAAGGTGCTACATCTGATCCTTTGCATTTTACCAAATGATCTCAGCTCAACTTCATCTTGAGCTAGTTTAACGTATGCCATAACATAATTTATTTCATCTTTTTCAGCAACTAAATGACTTACGAGAAGATAATCAAAGACTAAAGGACGAAAATGGCGCACTTATTCGAGTTATTAGTAAATTATCGCGAACACCTTCGTGAGTGTCTCGCAAGTAACTCGCGAGGCCACGAGCAAGCGCAGATAGTCGCGCGCGCGTGTGCAAATTTAAAACTTTGTTTTTGGGACATTTTTCTTGTGGTTGCGACTAAAGGCAGGAACTTTAGAAAATTTCTTATCATTGGCCCTTGTTGGAAATTTGCGCACGAAATGTTAATTAGACGCTAATTAGACGCCCTGTATGGAAGTACTGTATTTAATCTTTTAAGCGCCGTAATTTAGAGCAAAATTTAATTGCACTTATCGCATTTTCAAACCACCCTATATAAGGACACCTCAATGTACACTTGGATTATGTTCAAACTCGATTTTTTTCAAATCTCAGTCATGGAGTCTCTCGAAATTTAGGAGGTGTATTTAGGAAGAATTTAGATAAATTAGAATTATATGACACAAAGGCTAATATTTGAAGCAATTTGCAGCTCAATTTCTTGCTAAGATCCATTGAGGTTATGTTGAGATGTATGTACAAAGAAAAACAATAAAATTGTTGGCCATTTTTCCAGCCATCTACCCCATGACAATGTACTTTTTTGCGGGTTAGGGTTAGGTCTCAATTGCACTGCAAATTTCAGCAAATATTGGCTTTTGCATTATTTTTCAAAGCGCTCAAACGAGTAAATACGGTATTGCGGTATTACCATCTCGTCAAGAATCAGGGATTAGCCGGGTTGCATACTTGCACACCAACTAACTACGGCTGACTCGCTTTACTCTTATTTCTTCATTTCCAACGAGATGCTTGGAAATGTAAGAATTGTGCATTGCGAAGCCGTGTTTGTGAAAGGGACGGTATTCATATTGTAGTGAAGCATGACATTTTGTGAGAACTACTCGGTGGACATATTTTGCGCGCGCACTAGTACAATGGCCTGCGCATATATTATATCAACTTGAAATATTTTGTATGTGTAAATAAATGGTATTTTTTGTATAATTTTTTCTTCATTTGTTCCCATTAATCCCGCTTAATTTTCAGCTCGCCTGCATGGCAGGCGGTCCCTAAAATGGGCACATCTCCACATGGTACATGCACATCCAGGAAACGCAAATGCAATTCGCCTTTCCTAACCCTCCAATAGTGATAGAAACAGGAATTATCCATAATTTATTTCTTCAAATTTGCAACTTAACCGTCTTTATCTAAGTACATAACTGTCTATTCACTTCTTACTAGCAACTTTTTGCTTGTGTGGAAAAGCATAAACAATAGGAACTTCGTACAGGACTGTACAGTATTGTGATGCTTTAAAGTTTTTGGCATGCCGTTTTAATCCACGCACATGGATAAAATTTCAAGATATTTTGACTTTGGATATCGTTAACTTTGAGCATCGATTGTTGATAAATGATAAGTTGATTACTCGACATCAGGATTGGTAGTCTGACACGCTAATGACACTGGCAACTAACAAGGCACCTGTTGTTTTTGGAGCAGCTTTTCACAGTACAGTACAGGAAAAACTTTCTCAATTTAACTATTAATTATTTTTGCAGCACAATGTGTACATGAATGGGTGTTATTTGAGGGTGGTCCAAATATGACTTCGAAATCATAACTCCCCAGTTGGTAACTTTTGTCGTATGGCCAAAAAACAATAAAGACGAATTTCTTTGCGGAACTATTTTGGACAAGTGCCGGGCATGTAAAGCCCTGGGACCGGCTGTTCAAAACTTCAAAGCTAAGTTAACGCTAACCCTGGGTTAAATTTTACTCCGCTGTTTTCGTTTATATGCTTCTTCACTGCTGTTCGTTTCAAGACTTCTAGTGATCCACAAAATATTTATGGCAAATTTGTTTTTTAACTTCATAAACGAGCGATTGATGAAGAAATCAATGTGAAAATTGAGTCAACCCAGGGTTAAGCTAACCGCCTTTTGAACAACTGGCCCCTGTAAAGCATGATTTCATCTGGCCTCTTGGTAAGTTTTGGTCACTTTTCACCATCTATATTTAGCACCAAGCATGCGCAAAGCATGCGCTGAACCGTAGAACTGTAGAACCTACCAGTGACTAAACTCCCAATTACCATAGCGTTGCACCAACTTCTATAAATTTTTTATTAAAAGCACTGCTTGGTGAACTATTTTTCAAACTGAAACAATAATTTGTGTTTGGATAACAATGTTTTATATTACGCCGAAATTGGAGCATTTCGAAAAGCAAAATTTCAAAAGTTGCATTCGTGAAGATCTCTCGAATCTCCATTTGTAAGTATTTGATGTATTTATCATACATTTTGTATTTTCTCATTGTCAAATCCTCCCCCTCGAGTCTAATATCTTAAAGGATGATACACATAGAAATTTTATATAGAAATTTTAGGGGGAAATTCAGAGTCTAGACTTCTAGGTTTTAGATTATTTCGTTTGAATCGACGTGAACCAACGAAATTCATTAAAGAGATTAATTTATGAACCTATGGCAACCTATGGCTCATTTGTCTCATGCATTAACATTCTATCAAAAGATAAGTTTGACGTTTCAGCACTAAGTTCGATTCTATTTGCATAAAGTTTCTTAATTATGAATGTCGAGGTGAAATTTTGAATTTTCTGTAGTATAATAAAAATAAAGTTTAATTTTATTAAAAATTTTCAATTATAGTACTGTATGTAGCAAATTTATGAAGAATTTAAAAAACACAATTTTATATATGTATCAAAATCTATGATACAGTTTTCAAAGTTACAGTACATTATTTTGATATACAAGGCTTGAGCTAATGTCAGGCTTCTAACTCTTCTTGAGTTTCTAACTCTTCTTGAGTTGCAGGGGTCTTATCAGTCTCATCAATCTCATCAGTCTTGTTGGGTTCTGGAAGGCCCTCAGTGACTGTGTCTGGCACAGGCTAAAATAATTAAGTACACAGTTACAAATATATAGAACAATACAATTTCCTAAACTGTCGTTTAGGGAAATTCCAAAATTTCCATTAGTTGTTTTATATATAAATTTCATTTCCTTTCCTTGCAAAAACTATTATGTGGCCAGTTGCCTGCAGCAAAAACTAATCAGTGATAATTGTTGCAATAGCCTGAAAAAATTATGGTACAGGTCAATAAACATGAAATGGGTTAGGTATTGTTACCTCTAGGTTTGGTATCTCGCTGTAAATGTGTTCTTCTGATTCTGAGGAATCATAACAGGCTTCATATTCATAATAACCTTCTTCGTATTCATAAAAACCTTCCTCATATTCATAAAAACCTTCATACTCATAATATCCTTCTTCATATTCATAATAGCTTTCATAAATGTATTCAATCAGTAGGTATGATCTACATATAGAAAATGAAGTTCTTGAATATGAGTTAGTTGTCTTGAGAATGAGAAATTCTGGCCCATATCTGCTTTTCCAGTTGATAAAATGCTGGCAACATGCATTACTGAATGGCAATGATGGGTTCAACAAATGAGATTTGTAGATATTAATTAGTTTGTTGAATAGCCATAACCAAGCAAGAAAAGTCAGGGTAAATAGTTTATTATAGCTGGTAAATATTTAAAATGTAAATTAGGACACAAACAATATTTGCATAACCCAGCCATATTCACCTTATTTTTGTCCAACATTCTGTAATCAATCTGGCAATTGTCTTCCAATTCTTGAAAGCATACCAGGATAAAACCATAGCACCTATTGTTCCAACCAAACCTCCAAGCACCCCAAGAATAACTTTTATACCAGCAGGCTTTTGGTAAATAGGTTCACGTTTTGGTATGTCAAGTATTGCTATGAAAAAAATATTTTAAGTATTGAGGATGTTTTTAATACACAATAAAGTGTTTTTTTTTAAACAGTCCAGGTACAGTAAATGTAAGGTTGTTTACATCCTATTAGTAAAATATAATTCCAACACTAAAGTTCCCAAAAAATGCTAGAGAGAACCTGGTTCCATTGAACATTTCTGTTGTATGCTTTTAAAAGCTCAAAACCTGAAAATCATTCGTCACAAAGGACAGTTTTTGTTACGAGTAACATCCCATTTTATGCACACAGGTTTTATATTTATATTTATATGGTAAATTGTATGCACAAAAAAGCAATTGAGGCAATCATATTTTGCGTAAAGCAAATGAGGTATTCTGTGTAAAGCAAATCCGTTTTTTATCATTAGTTTCATTCTCATTATTTATTTAATAATCTTTTGTTGTCATAACTGGGCGTGTTTAGCAGGAAGAGTGTCGCGTGAGTAAACTAAATTATTGCTCACTTATACAGTAATTTGAAAAAAATTGTCTTAATATTGGAGTGCAATTTTGAGTGAAGGCTGCTTTCCCCTCAAATGCGTGCAGAGAGGAATTTTTCATTGTCTCCGTGCTTTCATGCAGAACTAATGTGAGAAAAACAAAGAAAAAGTCCGCTTCCGCGCAAAATTTCGCTCAGTGGAAAACATGCTTAAGACGGACACTGAGTGTAATGAGTATATAGCCTACCGCATACGACGTATTGTTAGCCAGAGGCGCCCATTGGAATGCATGGCTTTTGTGATAGGATAAATGATCTTACTTGCAGCGCATCCGTAGATACGTATTCTGACGCAAGTCTCCTTCTTTGAGGCTGGTATATTGGCGGGGACCAGACGAATTTTTTTTGCCAAATATAGAGTGGTATTTCCAATCCAGTAGAGAGAACCATCAATTCCAAAAACTTTGCTTTCGTATTGCGAGTTTAGTTTCTCCACCAGATTGACAGGCACGTTTTTCTAAACAATAAAAATATTTGTGAATAGTTTTAACGATTTGAACATCAACAACACTATCAACGATTTGAACATAACATAGTTATATTACATAACAAGTTATTTTCACATTTTAACATGATTACACCAGGCAGGGGTGGGTTGTATAAAGACTAACATTATTGTCGAAAACGCTGCGTTATGCGTTTCCTGTGACTTTACAATTTACCACAAAAGTTTACAAAATATAATTTTATTACTTCACAAAAAAATTTCGCACCAAAAAAGAAAAACTCAAGACGAGCGGCAAACCCGCTCCAGTTTCAAACACGTGTTCACTAACTATACCATGTATGATATCAACGATTAACATGAAGTTTCTCACACTATAAGGCGTAGCTCTATTTGAAGTTGAGTTAAGTAATTACGGGCGGTGCAGTAAGTACGGGCAGTACCAACCAATCCCGATCGGCAGTTTTAGGGTTAATTGTATATCTTCCATAATCATGGTAAAATGTGCGATTTCAGCATTGTACCCTTGTACCAATTGTACTCTTTACGAGTTGTGATCGCACTCTTGCTCATATATAGCTAATAAAAATCACCCTCTGCAGATCTGCAGAAGTTAAACTGACTAAAGTTTGGTCACTGTGTTATATACTGGTCAAAACCATCAATAATACGAGACCAAAAGCTCATACCGGGTTCGTTTGAAGAGTCTCATTCGTAGCGTTAGATATCTTTACTTGTCCTATCTTTCGTCTCACACCAAATATCTTCCATTTGCATCCATCAATACTGTACATCAACCGTAAACCAAAATCTTTATCACTGTCTTTATCATCACCATTCACAAGTCTAATTGCTCTTATTCTTATCAGGTTTCCAAAATTCAGTTGGAAATATGGCTTGGCGTGTTCAAGAGATATGCAGTATGGATCTAAAAGTCAGGTCAAAAAATAAGGTATATATGTATAGATCAATTTTGTCTAATTTGCTTTTGTCTAAAACTAATTTCTTCAAGTGGTAGGTTGTGAGTGATTGGGTGTTTTGAAGAATTACCATAAATAATCTTTTGCACGGTTTATTAACGTGTTAGGCGTCCAAAGTCGAAGAGTATTTTCTGTACGCGCCGCAGCAAGGTTGGCTCAATAGTAAGGCGAGAGCGTGACTTGTGAAATGCACGGGGGAAGCACGTTCGATTGCATTTATAACGTTTCAAGCATCTATGTTTCAAGCATCTATGAATTATACTCTTGCAGAGAGCTAAAGGTAACCAAACTTTGCCATATTTAAAGCTCTCTGCATGAGTATGGATTTTTGTCCAGTGAATTGCATAATTTGGTGATATTTTGCGACAATATTTCATGTTAGGCCACAGACCTATAACGGCGTTGTCGGTATTCCAATTTTTCTTTGCACCTTTTCATTATGACAGGCTTATTTAGGTAGCATTGTCTAAATTGCTTCCTAAATTATCGTATGAAGGCTCATTTTAGCTGCGATCTTAGGTGCTATTTTCGTCCTTTGATAGATGTAATCGAGTGGATAAGTCGCGGATGTTCCAATAAGGGAACATTCTTACAGGGACCGGTTGTTCGAAAGGCGTTTAGCTGCCTTAAACGGTGGATAAGCCAAAGTTTAAAGATACTCTCATACATCTTGTGAATGATTGAACCTACATCTTTTGCATTAAATATGCAATTCCATTGAAAATTAAACTATATTTACATCGAAACATTTCAATTCAGTTCGTCAATAAATATAAAGTTTTATTTTCCATTTTGAATTTATCCACCGTTTAAGCTAAACGCCTTTCGAACAACCGGCCCCAGAGCATTAAATACTTGCCACTTGTTTTTCATCTATAGAAAATGCAATGAAAAAGTATTTATTATGGTTGCATTTAGTTAATAAACCAACCTATTTTTGATAAATGTTCCTGGATGTTGATAGGTCTATTGATAAGCGTTCGTTTTTTCGGTCGTGTCTTCTCCATATAGTCCGTTGTCAAAGAGGGTGAACTGTTGTTACTTTCCTTGTTTGTTTCTTGGCCTATGGTCTCTAAACAATCTGAAGTTAAATGCAAGATGATAAATCACAATTCTTTCTACTGGCCGAATTGGTCGGCGCGAAAGTCAGATTGGGTTGTATGATTGACTAATGGAACAAATAAAGTATATTTTAGTGAGATTTAAGTTGTTTGAACCGAGAAATGAACAACTGGTTATCAGACAACTAGTTCTAGCCCTTTTTAGCCATTTCAGATCACCTGGATCTTATTTCATAGATCGATTTCTCCATGGTCAGCCAGAACAACCGGCTGAATGCCGGACTATTTGTGTGAAGTTTGTGTGAAGTGTGGTTAAGTAATTTGTTGACTGTCTTATTGGGCTTTGATTGACGGTTGTGATCACACACGAGCTAAGAGTACTTTAATATGTATATTGGTACATACGATAGATTTCATTCTAACATGTCATATTGAAAGTAGGTAACTTAGATAAATAATTTAGATAAATAACATTGGTGAACATAACATTTCACTACACGTGGTGCTAGTATTTTATTATTCATCTAACAAACCATAAAACCCATGAAATATCAATGAGTGTGCCTCGTATAGTTCTATTGGGCTTGTATTTAAAGACCTAACTACATTGGGTGTTTCTCATTAATCTTATTCATATTATCAGGTATTCATTCATATAGCTTCTCACAGAACAACGTGAATAGCCAAAAAGTTTCGGAAACATTGAATTATCTTCTGAATGATCTATGATAAATGATAAATGTTTAATAATAATTTTCAAACCTGACTGCATGAAGTCCATGATTGCTCTAAATCTGATTAGACTCCTGTTGGATAACCGAATAGAACTTCTTTCGTCTTCTTCCTTTATCTTTGGATAAATCGTATCCTCTACTGCCTTGTGAACTATGAACTCTATGGAATGTTTGCAATTCCTACTGTTTACAGCTTTAACTGTGTAGACTCCAAATTGTTCTGTGAGGATTTCGTCGATCGTCAGCACGTAAATTATGTCTTTGGCTGTTCGCTTTTGGGAGAACGCCATGTTAGGTTGGTCAGGAATTTCTTCTATTCTCTGCGCATCGTGGATCCATGTGAGTTTGGTTTTAGGGCTATCCGTAGCTAGTGCAAGTCGTACCGTTTCCCCAGGAAAACTGATAGCTAATAGAGGGGAAACATTCTGTAGCCGTGGTTTACCTTATATCCAAAAAAGATTTAGCGCATCAGTGAGATGTTCTTAGTACAGGGTATGGTAATGGCTGTGAAGGTTATGAACTTATGACTACTGTGAAGATTGACGCTGAGGTCACAGAATACCCATCAGAAAGACGATTAATCCATTGTTTTTGCGTAAGTACCGTAGATAGAAGTAATCACCCCCCTGCCAATATTTAAAATGCCGCAAGGGGGTGATTGCTTCTGTTTATACGGCACTTGCTGAGTGACCAATCTTGACGAATCGCACTTACGGAAAAAAACAATGGAGCTAATTGTCATAACAGTGAATGAGGTAAATGATAAAAGCTATTGATGATGATTAATGGTGTAGTTTATCACAAATAAAAATATGACAATGTTAAATGAAAAGCAAAACCTCTGCATGTTACTATAGCCCTGTCTCTTATACGTGGTGTTTCAAAAAAAGTATCCTGTTTGAAAAAGTACCCAAAAGTACGATACGAGCCAGATTTTAATAAAACTTTTGGCAAACCTAAGAACGTTGATGTTCTCAAGCACAGCTAATGCGAAGTCTTTCATTCCTACTTATAAAGTTTTTTTCAAAAGGCACCCAAAACAGCCTTGTGCAAAATAAAACACGCATGCTGATCCATAAATCCATAATACAATTCAATAAGTCAAAATATCGCGAAATGAAGGCAGTGATGCAAGTTGCTTTTTCAAACCAATGTGAATTCTAGGTTTTTATATATTGAAATAGCATTCCAATACTCTAACCTGTGACAAACACCACGGCTTGAGCTGTCTTTGGACCATGTTTCCAATTTACTTTGACAAATATAAAAGCTGCTCGACTCACACGCGCCTCTCTTCCATTTCCACTGATCCGAATGAATGTTGTCTTCAGTGTTACAACTGTGGGTGTTTCATGTTTGAAGAAAGCATAGGACCACTCGATGTCGTGGGTGAGAACCTCGAAGTCTCCGTGTGTTGCGAGACGAATTGTACCTATGTTAGACGCGATTTACTCAACTAAATGATAATACTGAATTAATGACGATATATACTATTGCTCTAACTGCTTACGACACCTGTGAAAGAATGACAACTGGGGCCGGTTCTTCGAAAGGCGTTTAGCTTAAACGGTCGATAAGCTAAAGTTTAAATGCTCTCATATGTCTTGTGAATGACTGAAAAATAAACTATTTAAAGATCTAATGGTGTTTTTTTAGAGGTGGGTACGAATTTCTTCATATCTCTGCCGACTACTTTGTATCCGGTATTGAAATTTTCTGTTGATTGGAAAATTTTAAATTTATAGTGTTTACTTGTACAAGAATAACAATATAAATTCTTGTCCATTTCATTTAATTTTGTTTTGAAACCGTTTTTAAACTTTTTCAATGTTTGAAAATTCCCTGGTTTCTTTTTGACAGTGAACGACAATTTTTCACTTGTCCGTCTTTTTTCTTTTGTCTTTGAGGATCAATGCATGTATTGTCGATGAGAACGTTACGCGTGCATGCGGAAGCCGTTACAGTACTTCAGAGCACAATAAGACAAGCGTTGTTGAATAGTGATAATAGTGATATTAATAGAGAATAACATTAGTACAAACAAACAACGACTATAATACAAACTTACCTTCTTCAAATTCACATATGTGAATACTTTGTGGACTCAGGGATATAGAAAGCGGTTTACGCACTTCTACATTGAACATTTGTGAGTACGTTCCCAATTCGACTTTGGGGTCTGCCTCTTCGAAATGATACATGAAATAATACTTTCCAGTAAATTCACGTTTAGCTTTGCTGCCGAGGTAAAGTTCTGACTGCTTTGGAACTCGCCGAGCAGTGCTTTTCCATTTCTAGATAGATATATAAACAGATAGAATACGGTTTTACGAATAGCTATGATAGGATATATAACTATAGGATGTCTTAAAAGAAACTTAATTGGCAAGTCAATTTTCAAGTTTTGAAGTAGGCCTAAAAAGGAAAGCTATTTCGGCTCAGTGAACTGAAATAAAACTGGAACGCTCACTCTGCCGGAAGTTTGAAGCCAAGATGGCGGATCATGAAGCCTTTCTTGTAGGTATGATCCAGGCCTCCACGCGGAAATTTTGTCGGGAATTCTGATTTTTCCTTTGAAGTTTCCGCGCCAGAGGCCTGGATCATACCTACAAGAAAGGCATCATGATCCGCCATCTTGGCTTCACTCATCAATGAGGGAAAGTCATAGAGTGAGCGTTCCAGTTTTATTTGAGTTCACTGTTTCGGCTACAGTTAACTGTATCATGATGTTATATGATTGACGTTTTGCCAAGCAGTTGGGTTCAAGGACAAACATGAATTTGTAGTTGGTTTCTGAATACCCATGGAACACCGGTTGTGCGGAAATCTATCTTGTAAATATATTTCCTGCCTGAGCCGTTTAAGAAACGTATCGTTGAAAAGACAAATGAGCAGGCTTTATAATGAGATCATTCCCCGTTAGTTTGAGCAATTCTGATAGTCACCGGCCAGTGACTATAACTTCAGAGACAGTGAATCTTGACCAATCAGAATGCAGGAAAATCAATAGTCACCTCGAAATTTATACTAAAACTGTATGGAAACACGGAAAATGTTTTCTATTTCTTAATTGTTGTTATATTTCAACTAAGAAATTCGATGCATGATTCACTTCTCTTTGGCTGAGTGAATATAAGTTTGTAATCACCTCGCGTACGGTGACTAATTGTTAAATATAGAAACACGCTTCTCGAGTACTATGTATAAATGTTATATTATAAAAATATGTAGTTTCAATTATTATCGTTTCTTTATATTGCCATGCAGCTGAGTTAAAAACGTACTTACAGAGACGATGGACACCTTTGATTTGTCAAGTGGTACAATTTTCATTCCACTTTCCAGGTGAATACCAAACACATAATACTTGATGACAGCCTTTTCGCCTTCAATAAATATGAACTCTCTTGGTTTACTAGAACTCGCGGTGTCGATAATCAACTCGCCATCGTCATTGTAGAATAGAAACCACACCGGACGAATTGTGCATTGCGGAATACGGCACCTGTAAGAATATCACGTTATGCAACGAAGGCTGTGTTATACCATGCGATTTTTCATGCTACTTGCATATTTTAAATTAAAAGAAGAGATTGCATTTCAAGTTGAATGGAAATCATGTTCTTCCGTTCGCCTGGCGTAGGTGAATTTCATTTGCATCACTTTGTACTCATTGTTTGTAGAATTAGGCAAATTTTCAGTGGTTAGATATTTACGAAATCGACTCAAATAACACGAATTAGCTGTTAAAACATTGCACCAACATGTTACTAAAGCTATCACACGAAAAAGTGCCTGCGACGAACTGACCTTTCTAAAGTCATATATTTTTCAACATTTTTTTTCGTAAAGTCCAAATTGGCTTTTTCAAATTGAGTTGAACCTTTCCAAACGAAGCAGCTCGGTCTGCTTACAATCTTTTTCTTCTTCCATTCGATGTAGAGTTTGTTAGAGCAACGGTTGTTTTGATACCAATTTGAATGCTGAAGCTGGTCCGAGTGGATTGTATAGCATGTTCTCGCCACCTTTTTCTTGCCAGGCCCAATGTACCTAAACAGGTTGTTCAGGCGAAATGTTCAACAGGGTTATGTTCTTGGCAGCAATTCCATGTCCAGAATTCACGAATGTCGACTTAACTTTAAGGGTTCTTACGCGAAAATATTAGGATGTACCGATGTAGCTAGTTTTCACAAATTTGAGGAAAACACTTCTGAAATACTTCTTAATTTAGCTCTGATAGTTTTACTTTAAAAAATACAGAAAATTCTATTATATTACAATGTTATTCTATTGTTCTATTGCTCTATTGTATTGTATATAATATGGGCGTGCGTACATGCAAAAACGTTATTCTAAGCAAACAAAAATTCCCAGTTTTTTGCAAGATAACTCGTGAGATATTAAAGGGCTGGTGATTTGGCATAAATTTTCAGGGACGAGTAAAAACACATTTTCCTCAAACGTAAACAAAAATGTTGTTGAGTTATAGTAAAATGGTGACAATTTTTGTCAGATTTTGTCAATTTTTACGTTTCTCATGTTGATAACTTTCCAGAGTTTTACTAGTGCACCGGTGAAACGGTTTATTCAAAACCACGAAAGTAATGTGAACTACTTACATACGAAAGGTATCGCGTATTCCACCTTCATACACAGGTAGTTTGAATTTGTACGGCGGTAGTTTCCCATTGCCATCTCCGTACATACAAGGACTACAAAAAGGGACATTACATGGTACCAATTCAGAATTTGGCTTTGCGTCCTGAAATTTTTTAAAATTTCGCCTGGCGGACATCTTGATGCATTCCGGGGGACGCGTCCCCATTGTATCATTATGATAAGACCTGCAATAGTTGTGTTCAGCCATTGCGAACGTGTACTCTTTATTATTTATAAGATAATTGTGGTTTTGCAACAGTATGCTCCGTGTTTTTTCGTAGAATATGTTCCAGGGTTGGCATAGCTCACCTAACCAATAAGAAATAGATATAAAATAAACATACTCTCTCAATTACCATACTATATATATTGTCTGTTCTAAAGCCGCGTTTTCATTACGGACTTTCTACGGACACCAGGCCTAAGCCTAGATGTGAACAGATCTGGACCAGTGAACTCTATACAACTGGAACGATAACTCCTGACAAACATCCCTATTCAGCTTGAAGCCAAAATAGTTTTTCTGAGTTTTGAGACGAAATACTTGACGCCAGACGTTGGGGTGTGTGTCAAATTAAAGCTATTGAAAAGTTATGTTTAGTGTAGAAATTTCAAGACTTAAACTACAAAGGAAATATATAAAAAAAAACAAAAACAATTACCAACCGGCAAAAAACCGGGAAATTTTGAAATATTTTTTAGATATTTCCCTTTAAGGTAAAGTCTCGAAATTTCTACACGAAATATAACTTTTTATTAGCTTTAATTTCATATACGGCTCAACATTTGGCGTCAAGTATTTCAGCTCAAAACTCAGAAAAAGTAAAAAGCCTGGCTTCAATCCCCCCCCCCCAGAGTTATCGTTCCAGTTTGTTTACAGTTCAATGGTCTGGACCTGGTCTAGGTCACAACATTCAGCCGGCCGGAAGAAGACGGCCTGGACCAGGTCTTGACCTGACTTGACCCGGAGCACGTTTTTGTAATGTGAATGGTCCTGAGCACTTTTCAACTTAGACAACTGCTATAATGTAGCCCCCCATGACCCTTCTCCCAATTCTCTAACACGCTCGGTGGGCCATAGTTACGTTACTTGTATGAAGTTTAATTAATACCTGTTTTAGTGACCGACTTTGTTCCGAGATATTTCATCCCATAGTCGGTTATGCACTCAATCCGAAATAAATGCTTCAGGTGACTACATGTGTTCCCACTAGCGCCACAAATAATAGGATCGGTTGGATAACCGAGGGGAGAGTGAAGTCTTGTAACAACCCAGAATTTTTCAGCGATGACGTCACCGTTGTAGCCATTCTTTCCTTGGCATTGAATAAGCGCAGCGTTCGTTTGATAGTTCTTTTCGCTTAGTTCCATCAGCCATGGTTTTTCTTTGTTTGTGAGTTTCATATCGTCCTCCCAGGAATATATATATCCACCTTCGATGAACAATCGATAGTTAATTATTTTAATCGATCATCTAACACCCACCTTTTCAATAAAATAATATAATAGATAAATCAGTAATCATCACTGGTAATCATTCGGTACTACAATCAATCAGTCAGAGCTGTCAGATTGTAATCACAGATCAAGCGTTCTTCAATTAATCGCTCAAATTGATCATTAAGAAAATTACAAAACACATTTCCACATTGATTAAATCGAGTTAAATTTTTTTTCGACTGTACAATTTTCCCTTTTTTTTGGTGGCTTATTTTTTACTCCTATATATCTCTAAAAGATAACAACATCATTGGAAATTTCACTTCTCGTTAATCAGACGCACTTACCTTCAGAAATGACCTCTTTACTAATGCTTATCCAGCGATAGGTAACAGCCCCTGGCATTCTACAGTCTAACGTGCCGTTATCGGTATTCCCAATGAAGTAGACGTGTTTGATAAGTCTTCTCAGGTACGGTGGTGTTTTCCTTGTGTCCGTAACGACTTTCTCCTCCCGAAATAAAGCAAGCGCCGAATGGATAACGAGCATAAAGATAATGTATTTGACCATTGCGATCTATTTTGTTGATATAGGAATGATTTTAGCTCCTTTTTATCGTATAAAACGTGAACAAAAATGGCTTATTACCCCAACACTTCTGACTTTTCTGCAAATCTAAATCCTACTTCCGGGTTGTTGACAAACTATTTGACGAAATATTCCCTGAACTTGTGTTTTAGCTAATAGTAATAACTCAAATCCTGACTTTGCGAGTTGTTATTCGTAGTTTTTTCGTTCTATATTTCATCAAATTGTCTGCTGATAAAGGATTTTAAACAATCTATTCCTAACACATTTGATTCTTATCAAAAATCATTTTACATATCAAGACCATTTTATATATACAAACAAGCAAGAAAAGCTCACCTTAAAAAAAGCCAGCTGTTTTTCTAAAAACGCAAAACTCAACTTGAAACTAACGAGTTTCTCATACTTAATATTGCTTAATACCTGAACGTAAGAAATTTACAACATTTTCCTCAGCCTTTCTTTGAACATTTTAAGAAATATTTTGCTCTGAATCCTCTGTTTTTATTATTTTTAAATATTCCAGCAACGGAAAACTGACGATTGATTTGACGATTGATTCCGATTGATTCGCTATTTTGGAACCGGGTGGTCGGGCTGTCGAATTATTCAGGCACGACGGGCAGTGCGGGCTATAACATTCCCTAATCACCTAAAATGTAAATCACCTAAAGTCACTGAGTTATAATAGAGGCTGCATGAAATATTAAAGTCGAAAAGACGTGTTTATATAGAGGTCCTTGTTCCTAAACCCCTCTTTATTGCGCTATCCGACCTGGAATTTTAGAATCTTTAATAATGCAGAGGCGAAGCTTTACGACTGTTAGCACAGGCAGTGTACAAAGTGTTAATGCAAAGTCTTACCAATTATGGTCAACGCCTTATACCAAACACGAAACCCACAATTAGCACATTGATGAGACCCAGTCTACATTTTTGATAAATAATCAAAATATAAACTTTGGAGTATACAGGTATTTACAGTCCAATGTACAATTTATTAAATTGAGCATAATCAAACATGTGGAATGAAAACTGAATAATACCAAAGTGTATCCCTTGAAGAGCGTCTGAATGAACACTTACTGTCATAGCAATTTAAGCTTAGAGAACTTATTTGGTGCTACACAATACTGATGTACGTCAAATGTATTCAGATTTTGTGGAGCAAACGAAATATACTGACTGTCTTGTTACCAAAACGATAAAATTTCTCCGGCATACAGTGAAATTTCTCCGTCACACTCGTGTGTTGTCCTTTCGGAGCTGTGCACTATGTACAGCTGCATTGTTATAACCTGATTTAACTCAGGTTATTTGTTAATTAGTTATATATTTAAGTGGTCTCCAATATAGTTCAGAATATGACTATATCACATATTAACGTCTTGACGAAATCTTCAATTCTCATATCCTATAATTTCTTTGGAATCTTGCTTCGTTTTCTATCCCAACAGCACTTGGGAGCGCATGCCGGAGCACAACTGCTCGCACACCCACCGCCACATGATTGCATTGGTGGTGGGCTGGGACTACAACATTGCTGTGAGCAGGATGGGGCGCACGCCTGTGGACAAGGTGCAGGGCACTGCTGTTGGTTTTGGGACAACCCTGCGAATGTAGAAAGAGTAACATCGTTAGTTTGTTGCATTACTTGCATACATACAATTGCTAAATTGATCTGCCTTTTTACATTGTATCAGTTGCTGTCATCTGAAAATGTCTGTGGCTGGCTGCGTAAAAAGGTAGTGCACTTTGTATAGTTTTAGTGGAGCAATTTGCTAACAGAATTTTCAAGCTAACGACGATTTACCTACTCAAAATATAGCCCCCTGTTATACATAGGTAGATAACCTTTAACTACAGTTGAAATTTATTTTTACCTTTTCTCACAACCAGGAATTAATTGTAGAATAAAGTCTATTTAATTTGGCAGAGTTTCTGCATTACTAATACAATCTGGCGTATCTCAAGACAAAAAATGTTGTGACTGACAAAAATTTCATTTGACGGCCCAAAAGGTCATTTAATTCACCCGGTTCATACCCATTAAGATAAGTCGTCAGGGGCATAATGATAGGTTAGCTAATAACATTACCTTGAGCATATGATGCTGGTGAACCAGCTTGGGCTCCTGGTTGGGCTGCGGGGTACCCAGGCTGTTGAGGATAACCAGGCTGTGGAGGGTAACCAGGCTGTGCAGGGTAACCTGGTGTTTGTTGGGGGTAACCATGGCTACCTGGATATTGTCCTTGTGGATTCTGATATCTTCCGTGTGTACCTCCTTGAAATAATTAATATAAATTGGAAACCGGTGTATAATTTCGGGAGGGGGAAAGCGATTTCTCTTGTATATATAACACCAAAGTATATTGAATAAACGAGTAGTTAGCCTGGAATATTTTAGAAATTTGTAAAAACGAAAAATGGTTTTTAGGATAAACTACAAGTTTAGGTTATTTTGGGTTGATGATCAAGATGAACAATACTACAGAAAAGACAGAGCTGCGCAACGCCTTTTCCATGAATTGGTAGCAAAAGTTGGATTGAAAATTGGTGGTGGCTCCATCATCTTCACGTTTTCGGTCGGCATTTCGTGGCGCTTTAACTAAGATAAAACTTTTGCTGGTAAAAACTTTTGCTGGTAAACAAGCTGCGTAGCACTTCTAGTCATTGCTTGATTAAACTCTGGTTAAAGATAGAATTCCTAGTACCTGGATGTCCATGATATGGTGGTGGTCGTTGTTGTGGATTTTGGTATCCACCATAAGGCCCCTGTTGTTGGTAACCCTGTTGACTACCATATCCACCTTGAAACTGATTAGGCCTTTGATAACCTCCATATTGACCGTACGGCGAGGGCTGACCATAGGGCCTGGCTCCTACATCGGAACTCTCTTCAGGAGAGCCTTCTTGTGCGGGTTGGGGTTGGCCACCTTCAGATCCAGGCTGAGCATTCGCCGATGCGTCTGCTGGTGGTTCGGTTTGACCAGCGGTGTTGCTTGGTGCTGGTGTACCGTCAGCATATGGGTACGTCAGTTTGCCATCGCTCTGAACTGGACTAACCAGGGTTGCAATAGGTTGATTGTTGTCTACCTTCCTGTTTGGTTTCAATGATTGAAATTAGGTCCTATAAATCGTCTGATATATAAGGGTTATATGAAATTCACCCCTCGTCTTTTCTGCATGAATGGGCTTCTAAAACGAACATTCTCACCTGGTATAGTTTCCCCTCTCTTAGGGGAGTGAATTTGTCTAGTAAGTCGTAGAAGTGAAATATTTTTATACTGCATGCTTTATTCGGAACATTCTCTGTATATACATGCTTGAAGAAATCTGTGGGTCACATAATCTTCCTTTAAAGTAATCATCCCGCCATTTTGTGAAAGATTCGTGAGACTTCCAAAATCTTCTTGAACGGTGGGAGGTTTCTTATTCCCGAGCGGGACAAATTTTTAATTCTTTATTTAAGAGTATTGGACCTTTTGCATAATAGACCAACTTACGATCTAGGTAACAAGAAGGAAATAAATCATGCACCACAGCTAAAAAGAGCATACCGAAATTAATGTAATTGCCAAGTTTGGCCGCAAAATGTCAAGTATTACGGAAAATATAGCCATGCGAAGTTGGGAATTTTGTATGACTTTTTTACTACGGCTGGAGCGTTTAACCTATGGTTTAAATAATTTAGTTACACACTTCTGGCCGTAGGAAAAAAGTATACAAAATTGGCTATTTTTCCCGTACTTTACAATATTTTGCAGCCAAACTTGGTAATTTTAATAAATTTAGTATGCACTGTTCGGAAATTCCTTTTTGTTGCCTAAATCAAAAGTTGGTCTATTATGAAAAAGTTCCATTTATCGGGCTGAGAACACTTGAGGAAGATATCGAGGGTTAATACAGTTGGGTTTCTAAACTAACACAACTAGAGGTAACTTCCATCCGCCATACATGCCCTTATGCGGCAATGCTCCCATGCACTTACTTGGCAGGCTTCTTTTTGCTTGGGGCAGGCCCAACACAGCACTCAAACCGACACGATGGCTCACAAAGCTTGCGACAACTGGGATCGCATCTCGCTCCATCATAAACTATCTCATCATGAGGATTTCCCTCCTTGTCGTAAAAGCGATGTCGATATCTCTTGGCTTGAACCTTCAAATCAAAGAGAAATCATAATTATACTCTTTACTGTCTGTCCAGCCTTCTCTGTCGTTGCGTCTTGTTGTGCGGTTTTGTCCTCGCTTAGGAGTTGTCGGGGGAGGAAAACCTGGGCAATGGGGACAAAATTATCGAACAGGTTTTATCTGATCAACGCTGGTTCTTAGCGAAACATAGAGGTGTTTTCGTGTATCGACTATGCTCACATTGGCTCTTCGTCTGAAGTGTCATTAATAAACAAGAAGATTTCGATTACCTACCTTTGATTTTGGTTTTGGCTTCATAGCTGGCTTGTAACGTGGGCTAGTTTTTCTCAAAGCCTTGAGGCGCTCAAATGCTGATGGGATGTGTATATTGTACATGTCATCATTATCATTTTGGTAGCCAGCATTACCCGCCAACCCTTGCGCGTAACTGCTACCATATTGCGGATATCCGGGGCTGGCCAATCCAGTTTGGTAGTTGCGGCCTGTCTGTTGTGGATAACCTTGTTGTTGCTGGTAACCGTAGGGCTGTTGTTGTTGTTGGTATGGGTTTGGTTGCATGCCATGGGCTCCCATTTGGCCACCAGAACAACATTCTAGGAAGAATGTCGGTAACTAATTATTCCACTGGTATTTATGATGATAAATGGTGTAATATTAATTGTATTATTTTTATTATTGCTGTAAAATTGATTTTCTTAATCGAGCAATTCACCCCAGACTTCAAATTCAAAGCCAAAAGTAGCTCTTCCTAGCTGTAGTCCACCCTCAAAACAATAATAATGTATTATAATAATCTTTCTCAGACAGAATTAGTGCAAACTAATAATGTAAATGTTAAATATATTGATTCAGACTACCAATATTTCTTTATCCGGGGGGGGGAGTATTCTGCCCCCCCAGGTATATTATTAGAGAGGACGCCCCCCTCTAAGCTGCGTCTTTGCCTCATTGAAAATTTTAGACGTTATAGAGTTAAGACGTTGTAACCAGCATCAAATGTGGTATAACAACTGCCTAAAACTAGCCTTCGCCATGCAGAGAGTATTCATACTAACTCTCGCGACGAAGGCCCTACGGTCAAAACGTCGAGAAGTGTTTTGTCTATTTTAGGCAGTTGTTATACCACATTTGATGCTAGTTGTTTGAAGACACTGCCACGCTGCTCCCTGGTTATATTTGTTTAGACGTTGTAGTTTACATTTTTCTATGTTTACGTTTATTTAGGAATGAAAACCAATGCAGGCATGGGATGTTCCATCAGACTGCTTGTATTAATTCATGAGGACTGGTGCTATAGGAAAGGTAGGTTTTATTGAACGTCGTAACGCATTCGCAGTTTCAGATCCGCGCCTTGATTAGTGAGGTTGGCTACGATCCTGATTGAAGTAGTTTTATATTTTTGTCACATGTAGTGTAGGGAATATAGCCCATCGAAAATGTCATTGAAACTTTTCTCTGGAATTGTGGACTGTCTTGTTTCAATTTTCGGGTTTAATTAACTGCAGACATGAATTCTATTACGAAAGTTTATGACGTTTCTACTGTATAGAAAATTATTCGCTATATCTGCCTCAAATATGACATGAGTAGAACAAAACGCATTGTGGTTCTTGGTCTAGTTAGCCGAATCTTTATTTACTCCAACACAGGGCACATTGAAATTGACAATGAAGCTGTTGTAGTAGACACTTTAAAGCAAAAACTGCAAACCATTAGCTGATTGAAGTTTGGACAATTTGGCCGTGAAAATTAAAGCATGCATTTACGCCAGTCCAAATCTTGTATATAGATTTACTTTCCTTAAAGTTTGCCGCCTGCGGTTTTCGGTTTTTTGTGGACGTCAATCTTCTTTTCTCATACAATTCATTTTACAACACTTACGTGGTTGGCACGAGGGTGCACATGACTGTGGGCAGCCTTGAGCGCACTGACCACCAGCAGCCGGTTGTCCTGGCATTCCAGGTGGGGGCATCATAGGCGGAGGGGGTGGAGGAGGCAGAGTGTCTTGATAGTTCAAAAGGTCTTTAAACATTCCTTGATGATAAGGTTCTGCTCCTGGTGCGCAGCAACTTCTCTTGCATGAAGGAAGACAGAATTTCTTACAACCAGCATGGCAAGCCCATGTGCTTGGCTCTGTATGAAAAATAGCGAAAAATCACAGAATATTCAGAACAATCTGTACTATATAGGCGGACGCAAACTCCCCTATAGCGTGAAAACAAGCTTTATCATTGTTGTTACACGGATCTTTACCATTTTATTGTCCTTCATACAAATATTCCTCAGTTTTACATAGTTAATGTATAAACACGTACCTGAACTTCGCTTATCTACATTTTCTTTCTTGGCTGCTAAAATATTAAGGTTCAAATTGTTTTTAAAACGAGAGAAATTTGATTTTCAAAATTGTTATTTCGTTCTGGCTAAACACTGACAATCCGACATTCACTGTGGCTAATTCAAAAAAATATACCCCTATAAAGCGATGCTTCTCGACCATAAGAGCCCCCATGCAGCTCTTCGTCAATCATACCTGATTTGAGCTCGATATTCGTGGATGCTGTGACTATCAAGAACAGTTCGAGAATCACGCAGACTGTATACACGGCCTGGTGCATCATGGGATTGCCTGGTACCCCCGCTTTTGCTGTTCTTTCCTAAGTTGGACGACATACATGTGTATATATCGTATTGATAAACAGTTCATACAACATAGGGTATACAAAGCCGTTTAAAATCATATCTGCTATAAGAGATGCAACACTGAAGAATGAAATAAAAAATAAATCTAAATCTGTCGAGTGACCCGTGTGACTAATTTTAGATGACCCGTGCTACATTTTACAAATGTATCTTTTCGCGATAATTCAAAATAGCATATATAACATTAATTTTAGTTAACATATTTATAAACAATTCCTGTAGACGAAGTTATTTCGTCTTTACTCGACAAATTAGAGATTATTGTAACACAATTTCACGGTTGACAACTTGATTTAACCCAACTAGCCTAAGCATTTATATAAAAACAATCGAAATAAGTCGAAATTTGAGAAAGTTATAAGGATACATTTCCATATTTAGGTTTATTCAAACATTTGCGTACAACTATTATGATATTTTGAATCAATCTTACCTTTTTTTAGACGAAATAACAGAATTTTCTCTTCAATTTTCTCCTCTATTTTCAAAGTGTATTTGCAGGTACTCTAATAAGATCATCGCTTGAATAACTTGTATAATAAACAATGAAATTCTTTTTGAATAAGAAAAGCTTTCAGTAGAAGCGAGTTCACGGCGACAAATGCATTTGAAAACGTTGAATTTGTGGCATTTTTGCAAACATATTTTTGCTTTCCCCTAGAACGCCATAATCTATAAAGGCAACTAATGTCTCAAAGAACAAATGCGTGCTTTTATTTCATATCTATAACTATACAGATATACAAAACTTGATGATTTACAGATCTTTCCTTTCATGGCGACTTCATCCAAGTAGACTGCATGATTAGTGATTGAAATCTGTCATCCTTTTTGTTAGGTTTATTTCAGAGTATCATCACTAGTATACTTAAGTCGCAGTGTTAAACCTGTTTCAAATATCTAACCTGACTAGTTTTGTTTTTCATGTAGCAATGTCATAATGTCAGCACTTAAGTTAAAATGATTAGAGAGTGATCTCCGACAAAAGAGCTTTCTAATGTCACATAACAAATCATCAAAGCTTTATAAGATAACCTGTCATTGGTTTTTGAACTACGATCAAGCGCTTCTCTCCTAACCCTATATAGTAGTGTCCGCCAGATGAGGCATTCATTTAAACATAATTTTTGTACTTGCGTCTTTGTTTATCTGGTAAACAACAAACAAAGTCACATGACGGGTCACATGACTTTTTGCAGCGTTTAGGACATTTCTTTATATTCGTTTTCTTCTTTGGTTCACTCTCCTCCATCCGTCGGGCAATAACGTCGCGCATTGTCGGAGTAAGGTCGGGAATACAGCACGCAATGTGACATGACTCGAGACAGCGATGTTGACAAATGTCTTCACAGAGTGCTAAAAAATGGAACAATTTAAACCCAACTAGCTTTATTTCTATGCAGAGTTTAATAAGATAAACACGGCATGCGATTTTTGATCCTGAATACCGGTTCATTTCAATTTCTTCCAGTCGTCGACTCGACAACTTACGTTTTACTGCGGGAACGGATGCTTTCCTGGCCGCTTCTTGCTCTTTAGCCTGGATTGCGGCCACGTACGGAATGAGGTTTTTCTTATGACCTTTCATCTCATGTAGTTTTTTCTTCCATTTGGCAATCTTTTCTAAAATACACGATACAAAATAATTGATGAATCATCCGCAACTGCGATATGAGCTCCCTTCAAATATCCCAACAACATTTTCATACTATACTACATCTAGTTTTGAGCACCGACGCTATAAATGGTGAGGGCGCTGCACCAGAATCGTGTCAGTCAGAGTGACAAGCTATAAGTGATTTTTACACAATTCCTGCATGTGTGTTATATTTACTATTTTGATATTGAATGTACTTTCTTATATTTCCAAATTTCCACTAATAATTTTGCTCTTACTTTGTCTCTCTTTTTCAAGTAGTTTTCTAGTCTTCAGCCCCGCAATTTCGATGTTGGCCAGATTTCTCATTTCATCTGTAAAATATCGTAGTTGAAATTAAGATGAATTTATCCCAACATTCGATCGAACTGGACGCCTTGCAATGAAGAGCGCTTGTTGTGTGCCCAGTGAAGTATGAACTATAGTCACAAGTCCCTTTAGGCGTGATAGCTCAGCAGACAAGAATACCACACTTTCAGTCAAATACTTACTTTTTATGTTGTCCATATGTTTAGCATAGGTATAATAAATCCTTTTCCTATGCTTTCTCTTCTTATGTCTTTTTAACTTCTTGCTTCTCATCATTTTAACTATATCTTTCAAATTTTCAAGCACAGCGCCATTTTGCTTTTTCTCTTTGATACCCTCATTCCGTCTTTGTGACGTGACGTGATTATTCTCCGATTCTTCATCAGCGCTTTTCTCGTCGTCGTCGTCGTCGTCGTCTTCGTTCTCATTCTTTTCTCCGTCGGATTCTTTTTGGTCGCTTTCGGATTCAGCTTCCGCGTCATCATTCGTTTTTGTTTTCTGGTCGGAGTGTGGTCGATTGTTTTCGGCGTCCTTGTGATCACTTTCCGAAGACGTTCGGGCGTCTTCGGAAGCACCTTTAGAATGAGCGGAATCCGAATGTTTTTCTTCGGAGGACTTTCGTTCATCCTCGGCTATTTCGTTGTTCTCATCGCCGGAGTCAGTTCGCTTGTCATCAGAATCGGACTGCTTGTCTTCAGAGTTTTTGGTGTGTTCTGACGGTGCTGCTAAATCATTTTTGCTCTCTCGATTTTTTTCAGCAGTCGAGTGTGTTATAGTTAAACACAGAATTGTGATAAGAAAAAGTAATCTTCTGAGGGGAACCATCCTAGGTTGTAACAAGTATCAAAATGTTTGTTTAGTATTAACAGTATAAATATTGAGCTTGTGTTTATTGTTTATGAAAACATTTCCCATCACTGACGTATTTGCTTTTACTGACTTTTTTTATATACATCATGCACTTTGAACTCTATACGCTATAAATATCCATGCATGTGAGAACGTTTTCTTGTGTTGTATTGAGACAATCATCGTCAGTTTCATGGCCGATATAACTAGTTCCAGGGACCTCGGTTACACAATACCGGGAATAACATCGCCACGATTCATGTTTAACCATTTTTATTATACTAGTAGATTTTGTTCAATTTTATGCAATTTTGACTGCAAAACTGAGCTATATGGTGAAATTGATGTCGTACTGAGCGGTTATGCTAACCCGCGGTGTCGCATTAGGACATATATATTATATAGTCCTGGGGCACGATTTTTGAAACATGTTTACTATATGGTATTTACTTACACTTGTTAAAAGATACCTTTACGTTTTAAACGAGAAAGTGTGTTTTGAAACTTTAATGATAATACTAACTTAATCATTTGTAAAAAGCCTTTCACAAATTATTATAATTATTATATTATAATCAATTTCTATCATAAATGATAGTTGAACTTTTCTAGTTTATTGTGGCAGTCATGGGCGATGATACTTTTTAACACCTATTGAAAGTTAGCCTTTCCGCGCCTTAGCAGTAAAATCAATAAAAATTAGCCCAATAAAGAGAAAAGCACTTCTCACCTGCGATAGTCGCTATCAAATCACAATCTTTAAGATTTCAAACGTAGCCAACCATCAAGCATGTATTTTTAACATTGTCGTACAGTTCAAGTAATGATTGATATCCAAGACTTTGTATCTTTGCTTTGATATTTTCACGGTCTCTTCAGTCGTACGTCTTGACCTAATTCTTTAGTATTTCAACAAAATGAACTTGAGATATTTGAAAAGCGTTGAAGATGTTTAAACAATGTAGAACCATGTAGATCGCAATTTTCAAAAGATGTGTGGACTGGTTATTGCAGGTTGCTGTCTTAGCTGATTATAAAAGCGACAGGTCACACTGTTTTGAAAATGTTTGTTAAACTACAGACACATGCAGTAAAAATGGCTGGGCAGCTTGATGCGAGGGGCCGGTTGTTCGATCGAAAGATGGATAAAAGGTACCTCTGATCACTGGATAGTCATTATTTCAAATGTTAATAATTCTTCACCCTTTGGCATGGCCAGGGATTGAACATCGCAATTTTGAAGTGAAAATAGTTTTAATAATGTCTAATGATTATAAATTTTATATATGAAGCTTGTGCTTTGTTTACGACGGTTGAAACTGAAATCACTATCCAGTTTATCCACCTTTCGAACAACCGTGCAGTCCTAGAACTGTTACAGTTATCAGATCGAAACTGTTTTACCGATGTATGACTGCTATGATTGCCATTGCACTACCATCACTATCTGTGAATATATGCATATCTTATTGCGTATAGCTATACTTATTTCGTTTCACTCTGACTACTGTAAAACGATTTGACTGAACATTGTCATGAGCCATTGTCGTGGCGCTTCGTATAAAAAAGACAAATCACCGCGTTACAGTAACTTAGCATCAAATGTGGTATAACAACCGCCTAAACTAGACAAAACACTTCTCGACGCTTCGACCTGAGGGCCTTCGTCAGGAGTGTTAGTATCATTAGCCCTGAAGACGTCTGTGCCTTCAGCGATGTTTTCTGTTGTAGTTATTCTATATAATTATACAGTCTCAGGGGCGTAGGAGCAGGGGGGGGGCGTGGGGTGGCAAATATCTTTCGCCCCCCCCCAATAATACAGTAGATTTAAAGAAAACGCTTTTGAATTTAAACTGAGTTTTGGAAATTGTATACAGGTTGTAGTTACACAACAAAACTTTCATGCATAAAAGTTTTCGTTCATCACAATATAGTTTTGGTGTTTCATACGTTGAAGAAAGACAGCTGCAATTGCTTTGCTAAATGTTATCATCTAGCGCAATTGCTCTCAAAAAAACTTCAAAAGCAAGGATCTAAAGCAATAAATTTCAAAAATTTTCTCGCTCGGCGCCAACCATGGTGGCGTCCCCCCCCCCCAAATCTTGAAGATATTCCTACGCCTCTGTACAGTCTAACAAAAATATTATGGTAGAAGAAAGAGGCAGCATGCAAAACGTTAAAATTTTGAATGTTTGGACTTTGGATACACAAATCAGAGCAGCTCAAAATTATTACAGGAGCACAGTTTTGTTAGCTGACATCAAAGCGTTACTGCATTGGGCAAGCATTTCGAGTGCGGTATCCAGGTTAATGCCATATCAATTGAGGTCAGTGGATCTTAATTGTCATCATAAATTATTCATCGCATGCATGTAACCGGTTGATTTTGAATTAGAAAGAAAACACGGTATTTCAAATTCAAGAAATGTAATATAAAGCTCTCTTGGATCATGGTTTTAGAGAAGAAATTTTCTCGGTAAGTATTAATTGTTTTATCTCTTTTCACAATGGAATTTGCCGTATAAGAACATTATAACTTCACTATTGAGAAACAGTTACTTTTACAGTTCACTAGGTTATGTAAATAAACGAAACTAAATTTATTAGATTTTGGAATATGTGGCATATGTTGACAGTGGAATATGTCAAACACTGCCGGGGCTGGGTAAGCTAATTTATACTCAAACGGAACGGAAAACTAACGTAATTCTTTTGAAAATTAGATTTTACTCCCTTAAAGCACAAAATAAGTCCATCCTTCCAACAAGGGGAAACTCGCTAAAATCTCCGAATGTTTAAAATGTTTAAAATCCAATTTTTACAAGCTCCGTATACATTTATTAGTTTCAGACTGTTCTTTGTGGCATTTTTTATTCTTCTTTGTATCTATGGATTGGTATAGTAGGAATTTTATACCTCCCCAGTGCTACAATATATATAGCTGTTTCTTTGTTCATTCCCACATGACGCACCGGAGGCAAAATTCAACATGTAGTTCTAGTCAGGATTTATATGTTTTCAGGCTGGATATGTACGGGTTTTTGGCGATAACGATTATTGTTTTGGATATCGCTTTGTCATCGGAAGCAAGAAATACACAAAACAATCAAGAAAAACGTGAAAAAAGACAGAATGCGTTTTCGCCTGTAATTCCAAGTGAAATAAAAGGTAAAAGTCTTAGTATCATGATCATCTATTAAATCTGTTCTATCTGAGCTGCTTTCGCGTGATATCCGACACCCAAGTTCGCTGGTGAGGGATTTGGAGTGATAGTATATGTAACAACTCAGTGTGTTATTACAGAATTTTAAAGACACGTTTTATAATTTATAACACAATGTTCTTACACAACATTTACATGTAACCCATACAACTATACCCTTTAAACTGCATAATTGTCAGTATAGAATCTGTTTTAAAATTGACCGTAACGAAAAAGATGGCGGCATGTACCTTTTACCAGAATGCATTGCGGGCATTAAGAATGATTGACTGAAACAAGATGGCAAGAAAACTCCTAATGACTTGAAATTTTAACACAGCGAAGAAAATAACTTCCTGTTTCATGCCTGTCCTTTAAAAGACGTCAATTCGCTTTTTTAAACGATTTTCGAACGCAATGCGTTCTGGTAAAATGTACATCCGCTATCTTTTTTGTTATAGTCAATTGAAGTTTCACCATGACCGCGACTTTTTAGGATACCCAAAAGGTCGAAATATGAAGAGAGGACTGGGACGGACACTAACCCCAGTCCTCTGTCCCCATTTCGACCTTTTGGGTTTCCTAAAAAGATTTCACCAGACAAAAATCATTTAAAACTAAGGCCTGGGGCCGGTTGTATCAAACCTGTTTAGCTGAAACGGTGAACAAGTAAAAATTGATAAACACTCTTACATCTCTCTTGAATAGTCAACTTGAATATTATGCACTGAATATGTAGTTGTAAACAGTATCTTTGTATTAAGGTCAAAAACATTTAGTTCGCTTGTTGAATAAAACGATAGACTTACTTTCTATTTTCAACTTATCCACTTTTGAAGCTAAACGGTCTTGTCTCTTGATACAATCGGCCCCTGGTATTTTATATTAGCCACATTCAAATGATGTTCCACATCGCAATAAGAATAAAGCAATGTTGTTCCTTTTCACTCGTATTTCATTCGTACTTTTATTTCTGTAGAGGAATTTAAAAACTATGCCAAGTCATATTTGAACAATATGGTGGAACAAATGTCAAATAGAAACAAGCAGCCAGCGAAGCAAGAGCCGTCGACATCGCGTAAGAAATTTCAATATTCTTACTCGACTTATAACTCCAAACAAACTACCCAGAATACGGTTGGAATACTGACGATCTCATTATCCATAATATGAGTGGTGGGTCTCTTGTTCGTGACCCACATCAACGTAAAACATAGCTAAAATGGTCTTACTTGGAAATTGTTTTTTTAAAGATGGGGAGTTGTAGGGGTCTGCAGGACATCCTGCAGAAAATTTTCTTGAGCAATTATAGAATACCTGGATGATGGATTGATAGGTAACCTAGAAAAACATAATGACATCAAACGCGGAAAGCATAATGTTACATGAAGTTTGCATGATTAGCTCGTTAGACTTGCGGAGTCATCAAACTTCACGATGTGACATCAGCTTTCCGCGTTGGGAAAAACTGTTGAAGAGCATCATGAAGTTAAAGGGGCTTTTAAGCATAACTTAATCAGGGGTGTTTCAGTTAAATATCTAGCTAGTGCTGTATTTAAATTATTAGAAAACGTAGTAATCCAGATTGATTATCCATTAGGAGCTCGTATTTGTGCCGAAGTTTGTCAACATCGTTGTCTCCCCTCTTGCGAATGGTCTTGCTGTATAAAGGAGAATATAGAAGAATACAGATCAGCACATCTTGTCAAACCCTTAGTTCAACATCCTAGCGTGCAGAGAAAGTCCGATTTTGCTGGAGTAGATAAAGGAAGTGTCAGAAATGATCGGCCAATTGTCGGACGTCGTCGTGAGAATATCGAAGAACCGTTAAAGGATGGAAATGAGTGTAATCCTAGTTGTAAACGTTATTGTGTACCATCTTGTCGCTTTGCTTGCTGCCAACCCGTGCAAATTAAAGGTGTTTTGCTTTTGTAATTTTTACCTGCAGAAATTATAATTTCGATTCGATAAAACGAGGTCAAACCGCATGTTGATCGATGGTTTGTTAATGAGTTGGCAGTCTGGCTTGCCATGCAACATTTCCAAAGAAAAACGAAACTTGTGCTTTGTTTATGAACGACACAGCGCAATTATATTTATAATTTAGGTGCTTATCATACTTGTTTCTATAATCAAAACGAAATAATATACGTATATAATTAAAAATCAAATACAAAAGTTTGCATTCGCAAATAGATCTTTATTAAGCCAGGCTATAGACTTTTCGATACTAGTATATATACTAAATAAACAAATCAGCATGCAAAGTCACCATTTATGTTTCGTAAAATACTTCGATTTCATCAGGGCTGAAGTTATCCTCACCGGCCAGTAATGCGTCCATTTTTGACCCGCTAAATTCATACCCTAGCGGTGGTTTATACGTGTAACCAAACGAGCTGCTTGACTTCGTATTACTGTTAGCAAAATCACTGATACTGATGTCGTTGCTAAAAACAACTCCTTTGCTGAAATCTGCGCATACAGCACTATGAGAGTTTTGAAATGGCCTGCTTTGAAATGGCGGCAGATTGGCTTTGTTTCTCAGGGAGAATATGAATGCTTTTGAACTTCTGTGACAATTTCGATATTTTCTGTAGCTGTAACTATAATCGTGTTCTGGAACTAAAGGGGAGAAAATTCTGTTACAACAATAATTATGATACTTTTATTACTCATAATTTACATACACCGTACACATCTGCTAAGAAAATGGAATTACTTCATCCCACATAACCGTAGATGAATTATTTTAAAATTCAGTAAAAATTTTGACTATTGGTTCTATTACAACAGTTTGATATAAGTGATATTACATTTTATCATTATCATCGTAAATCGTTTATTACGCTAGGCTATTAATCCGGCTATTTTTAAGCCAGCCAAAGCTAGCCTCCATTTTTAACCTCCTCTTCACAACTCATTTGATGCTTTAGATATATATATTATGATATATAATAAATATATTACAAAATAAATATATTTGTATTCAGTTTTTTTCTACCGTACGTCACATCCCGGTAATTATAATAAATAAATCAAATTTGGTAGATTAATTAAAATAGTACCTACCTCCGAATTTTATATCTGAGTAGCCACCAAATATGTATACACCAACTCTAATGATTGTAACCGTTGATTGCCTGTCTCCGCATGCGCCATGAAAGTTGAGCGCTGACCAACCATTTTGACTGGCTCGGTAGCAAAGCTTCCACTTGGACAACGTTTTCGTTTGAACTGGTTTAAGAAAGGCAAGAAGGTGATCTCTGTAGTCGTTATGGCTTTTGAGAATTAGAGAGCCTTCCTTTCGTAAAGTGTTGCCAATACCTAAACAACGTTTTGTTCATAGCAAGATAAATAAACAGCTGAATAATTTTTCCACTAGGGATAGTCTTATTATGCATTTCCGTCTAAATGTACAAATAAAAAAATCTCTTTTTGATTCGGAATTATTACTAAAAATCAGGAATTACTACTGAAGTTGTAAAACGTCTTCCGTACTGGATGTGCATTAGAGTTTTCATTCCTATCAGACATTATTACAGAATCACGAGAAAGACACATGCTCTCCACTCACAATATGTTGTTCTTCCTGTCCATGTTGCATTGCGCTGGCATACTCGTACCTCTGAACCAATCATCTGCGTGCCATGATCGCATGAAAATATCATGACATCATCACTACCTTTAGTTAAGCTTATCAGATGTCCATTGACTGGGGGTGCTAGACGTGGGCATTGGATCATATCTGAGAAAAATAAATGAATATTTCAGTACTCAGATCTCTTAATATCGGATGGGTTCAGCAAAGCCTAATGAAGCAACGCGATAGCGATTAAAATTTTAGTATCTATGTAACACAAACGTATAACTATGCATTGGCTCAAAATGTGAATTGTTCACTTTGTTTGGTATAAGTCATCCTCCTGTCTATGACTAAAATTGTGACTCGACAAAGCTTACATATTTTGACAACAGCAACAGCTTTACTTCCCAAAACATTCTCCGCAATGCAAGTATAGTTTCCTTCGTCTGAAACGTCGAATGACTCAATAGTTAACTCTGAACGTGTCTGCTCCGTGATCATCTGCTTCATATCAGGACTTATCCACGTGATTATCGGTACAGGGTCCCCTGTTGCAGCACAAGTAACTATGATCTTTTGCTGCAGGAATACACCTTGTGAACTGGGAGGTTCTTCGCTAAATGTTGGTTGAACTAAAGTATAGAATATAGTACTAGTTTAAGGGTCATTGGCGATTCAAACAAGACACAGAGGTTGAGACTGAATTTTCGACTTTACTTCTTCAAATTGTCGGCTGGTCATAGTTATTGTTATAGTCTTCACGCATTATTCACAATAAGTTCGTTCTTGCCTTCACTTCTCACTTTAATAGATAATGCAGTAAAAGTAGATCCAAACATATTCTTTCCTTCGCATAAATATATTCCTTCGTGCTCATCTGTGACGTGTTCGATATTAAGGGTGTTGTTGTTCGCAAACAAATCACCGTTGGCTTGTTCATAGCCAGGTTTTAACCATCTTATTTTTGCTGGTGGGTATGAATCGATTGGACACTGTAGGTTGATAGCATTTCCATGATAAACAATTGCCTCTGACGAGCTTAGACGTTTTGGTGGAACTGAAAAAAAATGCATTGCTTGTGATAAGTTATATAAACAAATCTTTCCTCATTCAATAATGTCAATAATGATCCCAACGCGAAGACACAACAAAGGAAATATAGCATTAAAAATGAATCGTAAAGCCCAATGCCCAGAGGCTAGAACCGGATTTAATTTCGAACTCGGAATTTTGTGAATGAAATTTGTAAATTTAAAATCTAGGCCCCTTGTATAAATAGAATTAATTGAATTGAATTAATTTTAGCTATGCCTGTGGTTAGTGCATGGCAGATGTGACTAATAAAAAATGTTTGCTGTATAGCAAAGAGTTTTATACTAGCTATAGCTACAAGATAACAAACTCTCTTAATGAATTCTGTTTCGATTTTCCATAGCGACTAATTTCTCGCCATACTGAGATTTCTTGAATTTTGATAAGCTAAGGAAGAAATCTTTACTAATACATTTTTTAAACCAACCCGTTTATATTGTACTCACTTGGTATTCAGAAATTAACAGTTTACCTTTAAAAATAATTTCCACCCTAAAAGTTGCATTTCCTACGGAATTCCTGGCAACACAAGTGTATTTTCCTTTCCTTTCGTAGGTGATCTTTTTTAACTCAAGACTCATTCCTTTGCCTCGTTCTGGAAACAATCGTGTCCCAGGGAGAGTTTCGTTGTCCTTCATCCAGGTCACGGAAGGCACAGGATAGCCGATGGCCATGCAGTTCAAAGTAAAGTTATCCCCTTCTCTGATGAACATTGTTTTGGGAGGGTGAGAGGTTATTCTTGGTAACACTGAGACAAAAAGAAGGAGCGGTAAATGAGATCAAAGGTTGACAATGTTGACAGCCACAACGTCAACAGATAACAAGCGTATACTTTAAAATATAGAGAAACACGCGCTAAAGGCAGACATAGGCAAGAAACAAGAATACACACAAAAAAACGAAGACAGTTACTGTACAAAGACAGTTACCTTCTTTTGATTTCATTATATCCCCAGGATCACCTTTCATCCCTCGCGGTCCTGGCGCACCTCTCTCACCTTTTGTACCATTATATCCCCTCATTCCTCGAGGACCCCTGCCTCCTTGTATCCCCTGTGAACCCTTTGGCCCAGCAGGCCCTAAAAATAATTCAACCCCCGATCTATAAGCAGGCCAAAATCACTGTTCAAATTTGATATCGACAAACCTGGCAGGCAGACCACACTTTTTGGCATTTTATTAGTACCGGTGTTGTTTGGATCCTGTAATGAATATGAGAATGTTTCTGTATACAATGATTGACCTAATGTTGACATAAATGACTAGAATGAGTTTCAATCGCTTTTGAGGTTCTCAGGATATTGGGGTTAGTCTTTTTCACCTTTGTAAAGGCTATACTGTACAATGTTCTATCTCTTTTGCATTTCGCTTATAAAGTGACTTCATTTAATGTTCATTCATGCATGTATCTAATCTACCCACAATGACCTTTTCCAACATCAAGATAGTCCTCTTTTAAGAGCATGTTCTCTATACCCATGCTGTAGTTGACGCTTCAAGACGCTTTCTGACTAGAATTTGGCCTTTCGGGCTTGTGTTACACTTACCAAATTGGCTTCTGTCACCTCAAGCATTTTCATAAAATTTCGAATCATTTTTACACAAGTTTGATTTTTTGTCGAATCAAGCGCTCTTTTGTCTCTGTTTCCATTTTCACCTGATTCCTCCCCATCCTCGATAATCCTTCCCAGATCGTTTTTTGAGTCCTGAAGATCGCATACAGAACAGGATTGTTTTAACTGCGATAGCTCATTTTGCGTCCCGCGCAGAGAAAAGGCCAGATATGAGATTCCTCCAATGCTCGAGAGAGTCAGAAGCAGATGAAGTAAAAAAAGCACTTTAAGACTAGTCGGAAAGTTTGATATCTTTGGTTTCGACATCTTGTAGCGGGGTAAATGAGTAAGGAATAATTGAATGATACGACTCACATACGACTGTTCTCTCGCTTTCTGTAGACAAAATATCACTGATAATTTGTTTAGATGACGTAGTGCATGTCAATTCCTTCCTGTGGTGTTGGGTTGAATTAAGGGCAATATGGGACAAGGTCAAGATATGCCTAAACCACACAAAGGTGAATTTCTTGATCTCTAATCATATATCACGATTTTCCACCAGGAAAAAAAATCGCGCATGAGCAATGGGCAATCAAGGCACGAAAAATTATTACAGTAAGAGACCTTTCACACTAAAAGATTATTATATTAGGGATATTTATTCTATTCGTCTATTGCAACGGTAGTTTACGTATTTCGATATAAACAATAATTTTTTTAAAAAACAGCAAAAGCAACCTCTTTTCTGATTTCAAACATTGGAAACACTAATCAGCGAAGCACTCATGCGCTTCTCATGTGACTCCGTAGTGACGTGCTGATGACGTATAGGACTATAAAATATAGGCACAATACCAACTCGTACCCAGGGTCTTTACTCTTTTACCCTAACCCCCCCCCCCACTCCACTGGGTTGGCACATTACAGCCTTCTACATAAACCAGTGGCTAAGCTGAGCGAGCGCGCAGGGGATTTTGGGGAGGACGCGGCGCGCAGGGGATTTTGGGGGGGACGCGACGGAAAAACGAAGCGTTGTGGAAACACTTTCAAAGTAATTAGCCTAATTATATTCTCGCACTCGTGACTCGTGACTCATCATTCATAGCAGCAATGGAAGCAATGGTCATCGGTCATCGGATCGATTATTTATTTCAATCTAACGATGATATATGTGCGAGAAGAAATTGAAGAAAGGATTTTTTGAGTTAATCATGGTTTTATTTCGTTCTGCTGATTTTGATCAAAGCAATGAACGTGTTAGTCTTCATTCCTGAGGTATTAAATTCGGTATTAAAACAAAGTTTTTTTAATTGAAATCGTTTGAATTTCCTGTAATGATACTGTTTTCGGCTCGAAGTATTTGATAATACCCGTTGTCAAAGCCCTCAAACTGCCTTCATATTGTGAGATTTTCTGTCTGTAGAACCACGGTTGTAGAACATGCGTGATTGGTTAACAGGGGGGGGGGGTGAGGCGAAGATCACAGCCTTCAACCCGAGACTATTTTGTAAAATTATTAAATTATTTCTAATTTCTAAAAAGTGTCACCGACTGATAACTCTAGTTCCATTTTTTGGCCCAGGTGATTTCAAGGGTTATTGGAAGGGGGTGGGGGGAGTTTTCTTTGCATTGATTTTATAATATTTCTATGTTAATTATGAATGTACATCATTGTACATCATTGTAGATTTCTTGCAATATTTAACTACTAGTAATAGTTTTGAATAAATCAAAATTCAAATTGATGAGAATATTGTAAGAAACATTTATCAGGAGACGGCCTCTTAAAAAATGTCAATTGGCCTGCTTCTAATTAAACTCATAACATATATTTACTTGACAATCAACATCTCTAAAGAGCTGTTTCTCACAAAGAATGCTTTCTCATCAAAATAAACTGCTTGTAAAAGACTTGTTACCCTGAAACACAGTGACTACTGAAGAATTTCTCTTTCCTGTTCTGATGAGTTTTAACCCTGTTCTTATTATCATGTGTCATTGGTATGTTAATGGAGAAATGTTGGGTGGAACCCTCACTAATAATCTAAACACAATGATAAATGATCAAGTTAAAGATGGCAAACCAATGTTGGGAATGTTGCCAGTCACCCCAGTGACAGTTACCTACCAAGGTACTTACCTTGTTTTTACAGCTTACATCATAGTAATTCATTTGTCCTTGTTTCGTATTATGCTTCAACTATGCTTGTGAAAAACATGCTTAGATAAAGGTAGAAACTGCCACTAAGACAAGAACCCTCAAGTGTGTACAGCAAAATTATTTCAAGCAACTAATGCTGATGTAGTCATAGTTCTATGTTGTATTATTATAATATGACATAAGGACCGTGTGCTCAAGAGAACAAAATAATGATCATGCGTATCTTCGTAGGTCACTGTCATTGGTGACAGCTGGTGACACTCCAGACAGTGGTTGGCTTTCTTCTACAATATATCACAGATGTCATTGCCTTGGCTAATGGAAACAAGTGGGAACCAGACAATTTAAACCTATTCTTTTTATGAAACTGAATATTCATTGGTGAAGGTGAAAACATTGCCACTATTATCACAATTAATGTTTTCAAAGATGGGCATCTGTGGGGCTTGTTTATCTGTTGTGTCATGTCTAAAAATGTAGAAAGTCTATATTGCTGTTTCAATGGGTAGGAAAGTATCTACAATTCTAAATGGAAATGAATAGTCATGAGATTTTGCTATTCAGTGCAAAAACTAGTACAGAAGAAATATTCAGAATGGCAAATGCTGGTGAAGACTGAAGACTAGCCAAGAAGTACTCTTGAAGACGAAATATACCTATCAATGTGTTGGTTCAAGTTTAAAAGTCGTGAAATATCGTGACGTTCAATTTATAAAACCACTAAAGCAAAAATCCTTCCAAGCACAGTATAATTATATCAAGCCGCAAATACTGGCGAAAACCTTCCCGAACCGTTCTCCCTGTCAGAAGAGTTTTGTCAATACCTGGTCTGCCCATTTTTTGGAAGGCATAGGTATAGGCAAAGCTTTCCTGAGAGAAAAAAAAATTCGTTTCAACAAGAAGAAACATCTGAATTCTGATTAATGCCTAATGGATGGATTTCTTAACATAAGGGTAAACAAATCTTTGGAAAAAACCCCATCTTTCGTCACTATCATATAATGTATTGAGGTGTACTTATGGGCTGTGCACGTTTAAAAAAACTGAGCGTATTAAATTAATCAAACTCAGGGCAATATACAGTATATATACAGTGTGTATCCAAAAGAGTACAATACACGAAATTCAAATCAGTCGTATTCTTTTATTGAGTCCAGTCTGACAAGCTTTTCAAATTAATAGAAGACAGCGCCTCCGTCAAAGATATTCATTTTGAGGTGGATTTTGCCTTCGTGAAGTGTTGAATTATAATAGAGATGTTGCGGTGGAGTGCACAGGAATGGTGTCTTGCCTTCTTGTAATTGTTTTAGGGTGTTTGGTGTCGAATATAATATGATGAGGGTTATTGATCGTTGTGTGCATAGCTTCCATGAAGTAAACTTAATCCAAAATGAAGTGCTTACACCATCTGTCCATTCAGAATCACGCATCTTAACAGCGTGTAATGGAACCTTATGCAGCCAAATTTTATTTTTAATATTATTTTATAACAACGTTGACATCTAATAAAATTTGTTTGTTCTTCAACCAAAAGAAGTTCATCCATCATTTACAAGTCATCGCCTGCGTTAGATCTCTGCATAATACTAAAGGTGTAGTATGTTGCCCAGCATTGCCTTTCATGGAAGGCGGGGGAGGGGGGGTGTTTCCTAGACGAATCTCTTATTTTCTTATATTTTTTTATAAATGAATATTTTCGCAAAAAAACTCCGAACATTTTGTTTAAAGTATTTTACTTCATGCGAATCGAATAGGTGCAGTATTGAAAGTTGAGCCAGCACGATATCGCAAGGAAGCTATAACCCTACATTTCTGAACCATGCAGAATCTTCGACGAGAGTTATACTACTCAATGCCAATGCTTTAATTACTGTCTAAAAAACACTCTGTATATCCCACGTTAAATTTTAAGATTGATAACCTGTATTTTACCCTGTTTTATGTTTATATCATCCAGAGTGCACTATGCTAACAATGTTAAAAAGTTGGCTTTGTAAGTTATTCAAGTCCAAATGTGAACTTAAACGCCGGCGAAGAAAGAGGAAAGTTTTCAGAAAGAGGAAGATGTTTGCACAACGTTTTTAGATTTCTGATTGTATCAAATATTTAAAATTTCTTCAAGCTTAAAATATTGATTTTCACTCAGAAGAGCTTTGAGCTGCCAATACATTTGTTACATTCTACATTGCTGCCGATACAAAGGTACATTTGCCTTAGTTAAAATGGTGAAATTTTTTTATTTTAAGATTTAAAAAAATCTCGTCGAACAGAACAAACTTATCTGCTTCTACCGTGGAATCTCTTAATCTTCATAGAACACCTCAATTTCATCAATAGTAAAGTTTGCACTTCCAGCCAACAACGATGTAGTTTTAGCCTCTGCATAACTGTAAAAAGCTGGCGGTCTGTAGGTATAACCAAATGAGCTGGTTGACTCTGGGTTACTGCTAGCAAAATCACCGATGCTTATATCATTGCTGAACACCGCTCCTTTTGTGTTATCAGCACATACAGCACTGTTGTAGTTTTGGAATGGCATGCTTGTAAACGGTGGAAGGCCGTCACGATTTATTAGTGAGAATAAAAATGCTTTTGAACTCCGATAGCATTCACGTCTGTTTGTTCTATATGTTCTATAGTTGTTACCATAACTATTACGACGGTACTCTCGTACGGGAGCTAAAAGAATTATCGGCAAGTAAACTTAGTTACTTAAAACTGTGAAGAATAATTAAATTTGACAATATAGTATACCCACCTCCAAATTTTTTATCAGAGTAACCACCGAATATATAAATGCCCACTTTAAAAATAGAAACAGTAAACTGCTTGTCTCCGCATGCGCCATGAAAGTTCATCGCTGACCATCCATCTTTGCTGGCTCGATAACAGAGTCTCCAATTAGAAGTGGTTGTGGACTGGACTGGTCTTAGAAAAGTAAGGAGACGCTGGCTGTACTCTTTCTGCCCTTTAAGAATAATTGAACCTTCTTTGTGCAGGCGATTCCCAATACCTAAACAACAAACACCGGACAAAATGCAATTTCAGGCAATTCAGGCTACACTCGAAACAAAGTTTTTAAAGTTCACAGTCTCTGCAATAGATTTTCCCATACAGGAGACATTATCTGAATATCGGTCTTGGACGTCCACTGTTCCGGTGGAATCAACACCTCACTTACAGTACGTTGTTCTTCCTGTCCAGGTTCCATTGCGTTGACACATTCGTATCTCCGGACCAATCATTTGTGTTCCTTGATCGCATGAGAATAACATGACGTCATCACTAGCTTCGTTCAATTTGATCATTTGACCGTTAATTGGAGGCTCCAGGGTAGGACATTTTATGATGTCTGGGAAAGATAAGCAGTTAATTTTTTTAATGATGGGTAGAAAACAAACAGGCCGTGTTGATGCTTCCTCAAGTATTAATCTCAAATCGGTAGATTTTTATTGCGTCATTTTGCGTGGTTTGTTTCAAACTTCGTATTTAAATACTAAGAATACCACAACAAGAAATCAAAAAGGCATCATTAGTTTACGTGAATAAAATCGCTTCAGGTTCTAATATATAACCAGGGAGCAGTGTGACAGGGTCTTTAAACAACTTTACATCGAATGTGGTATACATCCGTCTGAAATAGACAAAAACACTTCTCGACGTTCACCAATCCAGGCTTGTCACAAATTGCAGTTTTTTCTGCAGGTTTAAGTAGCAACATGAATTTTCCGAAAATGCAAAATAGGTTAAAAAGCCAAGATGGCCTAGCTCACTCACATAGTTTTATAGTAGCTGTTACTTGGCTGCCTAAGGTGTTCTGTGCAGTGCAAGTATAGTTTCCTTCATCAAAAAAGTCAAATGAACCTATAATCAATTCAGCATGTTGTTCTTGCGTGACATAATGTCTCTGGCCAGGTTCTGTCCACGTGACGCTCGGGACAGGATCCCCCATTGCAGCACAATCAACTATGACCCTTTCGTGCCGGAATACACCACGTGACGATGGAAGATTTTTATTGAATGTCGGTCGAACTAAAATTGAAAAGGTCTGAGTCAATCTTGGTGCTATAGATGAAACATTGTTGTTTCTTGTATTCGTGTCCTCGTTATAGTTGTTTCCTCGTCATAGTTGACTTTTTATCCTCTGTTTTGTATTGTTCGAAAGTTTCGATGCTTACTAATTATGAGTAAAACGGAAGAGAAGGATTCAACTTTGACGTTGTTGTTATTTTAGTCCCTATTGATGTGTCTTGTCTCTGCTTACTGGCATTTTTTGGTCAATGTCGTTTTTGTTATTGTTGATTCTGTGGTTGTTATATTGTTATGGCTGTTGTTATTGTTGATTCTGTGGTTGTTGTTGTCGTCGTTGTTGTTGTTGTTGTCGTTGTTGTTATGACTGTTTTTGTTGTTGTTGATGTTGTGATTGTTGTCATCGTCGTTCTTATTGTTATGGCTGTTTTTGTTGGTGTTGTTGTTGCGTTGTGATTGTTTTTTGAGGTCGTCATCGTACTTCGGTTGTTGTTGTTCTCATTATTCTTATCATTTGTTCACAATAAAAAATTTTCAGCACTACCTTCATTCCTAACTTTCAGAGATAATGCAGTAAAAGTAAAGCCAAACATGTTTTTCCCCCTACATAGATATATTCCTTCATGTTTTTCCGTTGCATATCCAATATGGAGAGTGTTATTGATATCTGACACTTCGCCAACCTGTAGGGAATAACCAGGCTTCATCCATTTTATGTCAGCGGGTGGGTAAGAATCCACTGGACATTTTAGGTTAACCGCGTTCCCTTTATATCTAATTATTTCTGGTGATATCAGTCGTTTTGGTGGTACTGCAAAATATTTATATGAATTTGGTTGTTTGCATAACGTTTCGCAGATACAAACATATGGTAGACCGAATACTTACCCGCGGGCTGGATTGTTGCCTTGCTTACCTTTGATGATAATTTTTACATCTAAAGTTGCAGTTCCTACGGAATTCCTGGCAACACAAGTGTATTTTCCTTTCCTTTCGTAGGTGATCTTTTTTAACTCAAGACTCATCCCTTTGCCTCGTTCTGGAAACAACCGTGTTCCAGGGAGAGTTTCGTTGTCTTTCATCCAGATCACAGAAGGAAGAGGATAGCCGATGGCCGTGCAGCTCAAGGTAAGTTTGTCTCCCTCGTCAATAAATCTTGTTTTTGGTGGGTGAGAAATTATCTTTGGTGGAACTTGAAAAAGGAGTTTTATGAATAAAAATTCTTATCACATATGAGTAATCGCGATGGTTCATTTGTGTAGACCCTCTTTTTAGTGGTCGTGTGAAAATGCGGTGTTGGTAAACTTCCGAATATCCGGAAAATATCCTCAGCCATCCTCAGTATATTGCTAAAACACGTGCCACGCACTAGCCGTAAATCCACAGACACTGTATAATTGCTGTTACCTTCAAATGCCTTCATGAGATCCCCCGGATCACCTTTCACACCACGTGGGCCAGGTGCACCTCTATCACCCTTTGTACCATTAAATCCTCTCATACCACGGGGACCCACAGGACCTGTATTGCCTTGTGACCCCTTCTGCCCTGTGAATCATTTAAGGTAAACATATTAGTAAAAATTTTAATAAATATCGCATGTGAGGCGATGTATTATCAAGAAGTCGTAATAATACCCTCTGTAGCAATGCACTTACCGGGCAGACAGACAATACTGTTTAGAGTATCACTATTTGTTTTGTTTTGAATCTATATTTAAAAAGCGCAACGTTTACTTAGGAAAATGTTCTACCATTCTAAAATCTATAAATGCAATCTGAGTCAAAACAGATTATTTCAATCATCAACATCATACCAATAAATTTGATTCTTCCAACAGTTTCATAAAATCACGAACAATCTTTACGCAAGTTTGATTTTTTGTTGATCCTGAGCCAAACGCTCTTCTATTCCTCTTATTCTTGTCTTTTAGTGTGTGGTTGAAAACCTTGTTTCCATTCTGAGTTGATCTTAACACATCACTTTCGATTTCGTCTGTGTTTGTTAAACCGCATCTCGATTGTTTGAGTTCCTTAATTTCATTTTGTAATTCACGCAAGGATAAAAAAAGATATAAAACTCCTCCAATACATAGGAGGGTTAGAAACAGATGAAGTGAATAAAAGACTCCGACACTAGTCGAAGAGTGTGACGCTTTTGGCATCTTGCCGCGGACAAAATTTTTCACTGAATTTCTGTTTTGATAATGAATAAATTGCCTAAAGGTTAAAAGCAAGGTCAGATTACTTAGATTCAGGTATTCAATATCTTAGAAATATTTTACGAATGTTCAGAAATCACCGTCTTGCCAATAAAATTACACGTGAAGCCGAATAGTCCAAACCGACAATCGAAATGTCGTGTAAACAATACATCTATTTTTATTGATCGTTGTTTTAAATTTGCTTTACTTTGACCATATATATATTGCTCCAAAAAATGCATGTGTTTGTTTGCTTCCAAATTAATGAAATAAAAAATGGGTTATAAACGTTTTTGATAACCAAACAGTGCAAACATATAGCATGTATAAGAAATATATCAAGCAAATATAGGAAACCTTAGTGGTATAACTTTTAAACATATAGTTTTAATGCATGTATCTTTATTTTACTGCATGTGTTGTCACGCCTTATTACTGTTTTCATACTTCGGTAACGGCTAACGCTGTAAAAGTTCTGGAAACTTGTATACTTAATTCGAAATGACTGAACTTTTGTAATGCGTTGATGAACGTCGATATACGCTATTTTGGATGGCGTTGATTTTAGCTATATATAGCTAGCCTGTAGACTTAATGTGAAAATTTGGCTTATCGGTGTCTTATCTTATCTAAAATTTGAACAAGTTTAAAAAACGTTTTGTTGAGCCAAAAATATTTGTTAGTTTGTTATTTTTTAAAAATTTCGCTCAAACGTTTTTGTGGTAATACGAAATATTCTGTGAGTCTATTAAAATCGGATTACTTAGTGGTAGTTCCGTTGAGATGTTTTAAAAAATTAGCTAAACTGACGTATAAGTCTTTCGCCTTAATTTCGTTCGATTCGGCACTGAATAGCCCTTGACTAAGTTTTAATAACTAAAAAAATTACCGAGTATATAAGTATAATATTTTCAACTGCATGTTAACTGACTACATCCAGGAAGACCCCGTGCATTTACACTCTCATTCATTTTGTACTGTATAAAAACTGTAATTACCGTGGTGCATTTGCATGCATGGGAATTTATGCAATCTATAATAACAATTATTGGATAAGGAAGATAAGGTTTTCGTGATATGTGTTCTTGCATATCACAAAAACCGAGTTCAAAAATTTGTTTCATTATACATTTGAAGAATAGTAAACATAGTATTAACGAATGAAAAACCTTATTTAATAGCAACATCAAAAAATACATCAATTATTAATACATAAATACATTCAAATGAATACCGCTTGTTAACCACCGCAGGCTCACTTGCAGAAAACTCAGTTATCTGTTAGCAGATAACTGAATTTTGCGTGATTGCGCGATTTATCTGTCAACTATTAGCCAATCAAATTGCTTTTACTACCATAATGTATAATAACAATTGTTATCAACTAATGTTATCAACTAATCGACTGTTAGCCGCAATAATTATCGTGAAGTTAGAAGCGTTTAGTTCTTGCTGGATTCCAATTTCATTACTGACTTTATTCGACCCAGTCTACAATGGCGGAATAAGATAGTTAACCGCATTAGGTACATCTTGTGATGGGACAGGACCACCAGCAGTACCAGCGGCCGACCGACTATTTATTCTGTATCTCTCAATTTCAGCCTTTAATTTCTGGTTTTTCTTTCGTAAGCTCAACATACGAAATTCATAGAACATCTTCTCGTCACAAGAAATCTCCATTTGCATTTTATTTTCTTGTTTGGCTTGGTGAATTTTGTCTCTGTAGTACTCCTCTTGTTTCTCAAGTTGAATCTTTAACTTCAAATTCTCTTTCCGCAAACTTATGCACCTTCTCTTTAGTTCGTTAAACATTGCGGTTCCATCACGAAAAATCTCTACTTCTGCTTCACTCGTATTCGGAGACTGGTCCATTTTCCCTCCGGATGCTCGTTTCCTTCCTCGACTTTAGCCTCTGGTTTCAAGTTAAATTCTCGATCCTCTTCTTTGGCTGATCAATGCACGGCTTTGTGCATGTGCGGTTGAACACAAGGCTGGCAAGGTCATATGAAAACTGACAGCCAACGTTTCAACCTAATAACATGGGGGTCACGGTTATAATTAATAAAGCCGATTTCTTTAAACGTTTACGAATATATATTCGATCTAATAAAGATTTCCTTAAACGTTTACGAATATATATTCGAATTAATAAAGATTTCTTTAAACGTTTACGAATATATATTCGAATTAATAAAGATTTCTTTGAACGTTTAGAGTCACTTTGAATATTTAAAGTAGTTCGCATTCTTTAATATAAAGCATTTCATATATAAGGCAATCGAATTTGTTCTGGCATTATCTTCAGACTTCCACGCTCCCGTGTGCTACATAAAGGTGTATACTATGGTACTACTCGTTGATGATTTATGATTTATTTCTATGTCTATATTTTGATAAAAGTTCGCTTCTTGAATTCAGGGAACAAAGTTCAGGGTGGTAGATTATGATGAATTTTTCGTGAGTATGTTGGTCATACCGAAGGCCGATTCAAATCAAGAAATAATTGTACACACAGTGTACATTTGGCGTGACGTCATTGTACGCTAATACACGCGTAAAAATATCACATCTTGTAACAAGTCTGCAAACAAGTTGTCAACAAGTTGTGTTCCCATTGCTTGTCCCAAGCTGTCGACGAGTATGGGAAGACTTGGTACAAGTTGTAACAAACTTGTTGAATTAAAAGACTTCTTAGAAGCCTGTTCAAACAAGTCTGGTACAAACATGATATAAGTTATAACAATATTGCTACAATCTAGCTTGAATTGCTAAGTTTGTAGCAAGTAGCAACATTGTTATATCATATCTGTATCAGACTTGTCAGAACAATCTTGTAACAAGTCTGATAATGTCAACGGACTTGCTACATGTTTTTAACAGCTTGTGCAAAACTTGCTACAACAAATTGCAGCAAGAAGTGCGAACACAACTTGTTTGCAGACTTGCTGCAACTCGTTTGCAGAGTTGTTACAACTTGTGCGTCTTTGCGTGTGTATACATCACACTTGTTCACGTGAAACTATCGTATATCCTCACATGATGTTCACGTGGCAACCTACTGTGACGTCATTGGCGGCATCCCTTTCATCCGTATAATTTTATGGGGGGGGATTATTATGTATATACATATTTGAAATTTAGTTTTTGTAATAGACCAAAAGAGTGCATGCTCAAACCAATAAAAGCAGAGCAAATATAATACTTAAATTAATTCTTTAATGTTACAATAAGGCCGTCGCTTGCACGGTGTTTCACGCTAAGCTATAGAAGGAAAGCGACTTATCTTATCTAAAATTTGAACAAGTTTATAAAAAGTTTGGTCGAGCCAAAAATATTTATCAGTTTGTTATTTTTTAAAAATTTCGTTCAAAAGTTTTTGTGATAATACGAAATATTCCGTCTCTTAGGCCCCCTTTACACGAGCCCGGGCTGGCTGCCAACCCGGGTTGGCTCAACCACCGGTTGGGTCAACCCGTCTGCGAATAAATTACTAGTTGCGTTTACACGATAGCCGGGTTGGGGCTTCACACTTCGCCAACCCGGGTAACCCTTCTCGAGACCCGGGTTGGCTAGGTGTAAAGGTGTGAAAATTGTGCTAAACTCCTCATGTAAACACGGGTTGGCTTGAGCCGGGCTCGTATAAACTGCGGCTATTGTACGTCTTTTGCCTTAATTTGGTTCGATTTAGCTTAATTTGGTTCGGAAATTTTTTTAACTTTAAGTACACAAATTACCGAGTATATAAGTATAATATTTTTAACTGCATGTTAACTGACTACATCCAGCAAGACCCCGTGCATTTACACTCTCATTCATTTTGTACTGTATAAAAACTATAATTACTAGTGCATTTGCATGCATGGGAATTTATGCAATCTACATATAATAATTGTTATCAAATAATGTTATCAACTAATCGACTGTTAGCCGCAATAATTACCGTAAAGTTAGAAGCGTTTAGTTCTTGCTGGATTCCAATTTCATTACTTTATTCGACCCAGTCTACAATGGTGGAATAAGATAGTTACCCGCATTAGGTACATCTTGTGATGGGACAGGACCACCAGCAGTACCAGCGGCCGACAGACTATCTATTCTGTATCTCTCAATTTCAGCCTTTAATTTCTGGTTTTTCTTTCGTAAGCTCAACATACGAAATTCATAGAACATCTTCTCGTCACAAGAAGTCTCCATTTGCATTTTATTTTCTTGTTTGGCTTGGTGAATTTCGTTTCTGTAGTACTTCTCTTGTTTCTCAAGTTGAATCTTTAATTTCAAATTCTCTTTCCGCAAACTTATGCACCTTCTCTTTAGTTCGTTAAACATCGCGGTTCCATCTGGAAAAATCTCTACTTGTTCCTCACTCGTATTCGGAGACTGGTCCATTTTCCCTCCGAATGCTCGTTTCCTTCCTCGATTTTATTCTCTGGTTTCAACTTTCAAGTTAAATTCTAGATCCTCTTCTTTGGCTGATCAACGCAATATTAAGTTGTACGGCTTTGTGCACGGACGGTGAATGTCTTGAATTACAGGTTGAACACAACTCAAGGTCGACAAGGTCATGAAAACTGACATCCACATTTCAACCTAATAACATGGGGGGACCACGGTTATAATTAATGAAGATTAAAGATTTCTTTAAACGTTTTCGAATGTATATTCGAATTAATCAATGTTTCTTTGAACATTTACAGAACGTCATTATCAAGTCAATAAAAGTTTTAAATTGTTTACTAAAATTGAGACAGTATAGAGTGGTTAATTAGAATCAAAATTAATGTGTTGGTCATACAAAAGGCAAACTCAAATAAAGATATAATTGCCACACTAGCTCATTCAGATTAAGTAAATATAGAAATGCAACAGAGTTGAGTAAATAGATTCACCCAAAGTACCTTTACATACACAATATTATGCAACGTGAAACTATCGTGTACATTTGGTGTGACGTCATTGTACGCTAATACACGCGTAAAAATATCACATCCTGTAAGTCTCCAAACAATTTGTCAACAAGTTGTGTTCCCACTGCTTGTCCCAAGCTGTCGACAAGTATGGAAAGACTTGGTAACAAGATTTACAGAAAAAGGGGGTAAAACGCGGAAGCGGAAAAAAGGGTAAAACGCGGAATCGTTCAAATGTTCTGCTATTTGTTGGCGGTCATTATATATGTTGCCATTAATGTTGATTTCTGCAATATTAAATGATCTTCTACCTTTGCCTAATAAGTTATTTATCAGTGACAAGGTTTTTTTCATATCTTTAGCTAGAGAAAGTTCCTTAATTTTGTTTGATAATAGACTGTTTTGGCCATTTTTAATTCCGAGTTGACTTTACTTCTTTCGGATTTATATATATTCCAGTGAACCTGAGAATTATATTTCTTTGCTCTCTTTTTATGAAAGTCTCTAGATCTGATTAGATTTTTGATGTTAAAATTTATCCAAGGGACAGAGCTTATGCTTAAGACTTTTGTCAATTAAGGGTGCATGCCTGTCAAGAGTTTTCAGAAAAAAAAATTTCCAAATATGCCAACTATCGTTTGGATTCATGCACTGAGTGATTACGTTCCAAGGTATTCTAGATAGTTCGTCAAGAAAATCGCTTTCATTAAATCGTTTGAAGTTTCGAACTTTCGAGTGGGTTTGCTTATATTTTCGAACAGTGATTTTTTTAACCGCATAAATTAAACTGTGATCTGACATTCCTAAGTCAATTCCAATGTGAATAAAATCTGCTTAAAGTTCTAATATATATACCAAGGAGCTATGTGACAGCGTCTTAAACAACGTCACATCGAATGTGGTATACATCCGTCTGAAATAGAGAATCCCATGTAGGTTTGTCACAAATTGCAGTTTTTTCTGCAAGTAGGAACATGCATGAATTTTCCGAAAATGTAAAAAAGGCTAAAAGCCAAGATGCATGGCCTAGCTCACTCACATAGTTTTATAGTATAGCTGTTACTTGGCTGCCTAAGGTGTTCTGCGCAGTGCATGTATAGTTTCCTTCATGAGAAAAGTCAAATGAACCTATAATCAATTCAGCACGTTGTTCTTTCGTGACATAATGTCTCTGGCCAGGTTCTGTCCACGTGACGCTCGGGACAGGATCCCCCATTGCAGCACAATCAACTATGACCCTTTCGTGCCGGAATACACCACGTGACGATGGAAGATCTTTATTCGGAATGTCGGTCGAACTAAAATTGAAAAGGTCTGAGTTCTTGGTGTTATAGATAAAACATTGTTGTTTCTTAGTTGACTTTTCATAGTTGGCTTTTTTATCCCCTGTTTTGTGTTGTTCGATAGTTGGTTTCGATGCTTTACTAATTATTTAAATTTTCTTTACTTTGACCATATCAGTCCATAGAATGCATGTGTTTGTTTGCCCGACACCGAGTAAGCCTAATTACTTCTAAAGTCGACCCTAGACAAGACGGCGTATAAAGACGCCGGTTCATCAACGCATTACAAGAGTTCAGATATTTGAATTAAAGTAGACAAGTTTCTAAAATCCAGAACGTTTACAACGTTACCGAAGTTTGAAAGACGCAACAAGGCATAAAAGCACAGTAAAATAAATTAAAACTATGCTTATATATGGTTTCCTCTATATATAGCTTGATATTTCTTACACATGCTAAATGTTTGCACTAAATGGAAAATTTGAACAAGTTTTAAAAAATTCTGTCGAGCTGACAAAGAATTTATCAGGAAAAATCACTTTTTATTTTTAAAAAAATATCTTATGAATAAAAAATGAGCTTGTTTTTGCGTTCACTGGCGTAGTAGGTAAAATGTCGGTCATATTGAATCACCATTGTTACCATAACAACGGTAATGACGTCATATTTGTGGAGAATTTCTTTATCATAATTATACCTGGAATATTTCAGGAATCTCCGGTCATGTTGTGGAGAGAGAGACGCAACTTCGAACGAATATTTATCTTAAAATCCTAAATATTTGGTCACGATTACCGCATTCTATTCCATAAATACCTGAAACATACCTGAACAAAGGGAAGTTAATTAAAAAAGAAGTTAAACTGCCAACAAGGCAATATTGGGATTGCCATGGGGATTACTCGTGCAGAAGAATTACACCTAATTCCGTTGAGATGTTAATAAATAGCATTAAATTACTGATGTCTATATTGACTATAAGCTTAAATAACGAAACAAATTTTTGCTGCTTGCCAAGTATAAGTATAATATTTTTAATTGCATGTTAATCAACTGACTACAGCCATTGTAGCTTAGGACACTGGAGTTAGCAGGAACTGCGCAGTATGAAAGTAATGAAACGCTTCTACCTTACGATAATTATCACGGTTAACAGTCGATTAATTGACTAACATGTTCTAATCCTTAGACGTGCATATATATTTCCAACACTAGTAATTTGCTATAGTTTTTAGGCAGCACAAAATGAATGAGAGTGTAAATGGGTGTAATTGCAGAATAAGTTTCGGCGCATGTTGTGGTGTCACGGGACCATCCGCAACCAGCAAACCATTTACCGTGTAACTCCTAAGTTTAGCCTTTAATTTCTGGTTTTCCTTTTGTAAGCTTAGCATACGAAATTCATAGAACATCTTCTCGTTACGATAACTCTCCATTTGCATTTTATTTTCTTGTTGAGCTTGGTGATTTTTTTTTCTGTGATACTCCTCTTGTTTCTCAAGTTGAGTCTTTAATTTTAAATTCTCCGCCTGCAAACGTATGCACCTTCTCTTTAGTTCGTTGAATATCGTGGTTCCATCACGAGAAATCTTTACTTTTTCTTCACTCTTTTTCTGAGACTGGTCCATTTTATTTCTGGAAGCTTAGTTTCCTTCCTTGTCTTCGATTTTAGCCTCTGGCTTCAAGTTAATTTATTGATGCTTCGCTCAATTTGCTTATCAAATGAAAACTAGCTATTCAAATGTCTTACCAAAATTAATGTATGATGTTTGCAGTAAGCCGCTAATCTGCATGCATGTCAGTTATTGACATACCGTCCGTGACCTATCTCTCTAATGCTTGGTTTCCATAAAGTCTTATATGTCGTTAAGTATTGTCAGAAAATACATCGTCTATATAACTACCAAGTGGCCTGGCTATAGGAATGAAAAGTTCTTGCAACACTCTAAAATGCTAGTTTTTATTTTTTTTTCTATATATATAGTGAAGTCCGGTTTTTGACCGGCTGGAATGGCTTTCATAGGTTATAGGCTTATAAAATCAACGTGCTGTCAGTCAGTTAAGTATCGTTTATTAATCCGTTGGCCAAGACAGATTAAGTGTGTAAACATTGCGGGCCAAGACACAGTAGGATGTTAATCATAACTTGGGATGTGAACTGACTAGCAGAAGTCTGGAGAGAGGAAGCCTGCATGGATCACGAGGCAAGCCGCAAGGGTAGATGCGAAAGGACATTTATTTATAGCGTAAGAGCAAAAAGGATTCTCGCTCTGCTTTCCTCTGTAACTTCAATTTCATTGCGTTGTCTTTCTTAAGTTCGGTCATAATGATCAAATGAAACTAAGCGTAAGCAAATATTCATTTATATGGCGAAATGTTTGATAAGAGCGCGACTTTGTTTAGTTGTTACATGCCGGGAAAGTCTATTGGCTACCGTTCCTGTCTCTCGGAATGTATGACTAGTTTAAGCTATATAACCGATTCGTATGTCATTTATACCTTTACTAATACTCCCCAGCTGGCTTATATGCATGTATACATCACACTATTACTTAGTCATTATAGCCACAATTATATAGAAACTGATTTTAGCGCAATTTTGAAATAAAATTTCACACAAAAAAATTGAAGATCTTATTACTATCGTTCAGTTGTTTTCTCTATATACTATGTTATGGCATATATACTATGTTCAGTTCTTCACTTTTCTATCGTCAATTGCTCATTTCTTTAACTTGCTGCCATTGATACTTGATCACGTGTGCATTTACTTGGTCACATGACGTTTTGCATCGTGGGTGTGGTCATCAAACAGTGGATCACGTGCTTTGATACTTCTGCAAAATGTAAAAGGATGGACAGTAGAGATATTTTATAATCTAAATAAAGTAATGGCCGTGGTTATGAGATTTTTACCTGGCGACATATGGTTCCAAATCCTGTATTCGTTCTGTCGTATTAAGCTCCGGGCCAAAGTCATTCACCTTGGTTGATTTTGTGAAGCCATCCAATGGCAATGACATGACGTGACCATCGGTCCGACCAAACCGAGCATCGCCTGTTGGATTCCTGTCTTGGAACCTAGTGAGAATAATGCATCTCCGTACAGTGCTAACTTTGTATGATCAAACTACCCTGTGATAAATAAGATCACACTGCGCCATGCATATATAGCACAGAGTCAAGCATATATCTTAAGTTCTTGTGATTTGACCATGGTTAACCAGGTCATCAGGCATGATGGTTCTGTCCAGTGTTCAGGTCGTTTCACGGTAGTATTCACCATATGTACCACCTCTACATTACTCAACATCGCGACTTAAGGAGTGAAGGAGTGACCCATACACACGAGCTGCATATTTTTTACTTTAATAAGATATAAAAAATAACTTACTGGACATCATAATGTGTCTTGAAGCGACTCAGCGTCGCTGGAGTTTCAAAATGTTCAAAATATTGGCAGTTATTTTCTGTGAAGCCTGTTAGCTCCTAAATCGGAAAGCCAAGAAAAGTCAGAAAATCAACTGACTTTTGCATAATAGACGAACTTTTGATTTAAGGGACAAAAAAGGAAATTTCTGAAAACAGCATACCAGTAAAATTAATGAAAATTAGTAAAATTGCCATGCTTGGCTGCAAAATATTGTAAACTGATAGGGAAAATATAGCTGGTTGAAGTTGGCAAATTTTGTATATATACATTTGTATTACGGGGGCACGTTTGTAACTAGACTACACACTTTCGCCTGTAATATACAAAAGTTTAAAAAACCCGCCTACTTTGCATGGCTATACTTTTCGTACTACTCGACCAATTTTAGCATGCTCTTTTAGTGGTAATTTGTTTCCTTCTTGTTGCCTAGATCATAAGTTAATCTATTATGCAAGTGGTCAATTCAATCTTGTCTTCCGACAGTATATTTCACCTTGTTTCCAATTGTACTGTTGCCAAGACGTTGTGCCAAGCTTGGGTGGTTCTGCTGCAGGCCTGTGAAGGTTTTACTTGTGATACTAAATGGGATTAAGAAACTTATCTTGATTTAACGAAAACAATGGCAGCGAACATTATCACAACAAAGAAGATATTATACTTTTTTATCTTTGAAATTACGGTTGCCGTTATGAGAATCAGTTATGAGAATAGTATAGTAACTAATTAAAATATAAATTATATTGTTAACGACATCTCAGAACTGCTTTCCTTGCGCCTGTCCTAAAAATTAACCTGACTTTATTCGCTTTTTTAACATATTCCGACTGATAGCAATGCAACGCAAAAATTGAGTTTAGTTCGAATTTCCTTCTGTTTATTTAGAAATTGCATATATCGTCATCAGTTCAGGTTTTCTTTTGTTTCTCAGTCCAGGTTTGCTCAAATTATCCTCACGAGATCTGTGTACAAACCTGGATTTGTTATTTGGATTTGTCAAATTCAAGTATTCAGTTGGATGCCCCTTTCGTATGCGATCCTGCACCAAAGGTGGGACATCATTCAATTCCGTAAAAATCTTTAAAAAGATATAGGAATGTGTGAGAAATGGTACTTGCAAGATCAACTTTATTCATTATAAACTATCTCAAATGGCGATAATCTTACGAAGTTACTGTATAGCAGAGAGAGAGAAAGAGAATGCTGTCAATTTTGTTAGCTTCATTATATAAGATTGGGCACAGACCTTTTCTTTATTCGGTATATAAAAAGCAGGCTTGCCCATAGCTTCTCTCGTAAATCCAGTGGCGCGTTCAGCATTGCGAGGCAATACTGGCAATCTTTCTTTACCCTGAAATGCGCATGTAAACATATATGTAAAATTTTACACCATGTCAAATTTACTTCTCCAATCGTTATATCAAGACTAACACCAACATCATATAACCACAACGGCCATTATCACCATGCACTTATCGTCATTATCATGCACGATCATTATCATGCGAACTGGCTACCACGAACAGTGTGTCATTCTGTCAGTGTCAAGATATGGTGAAAAATAATCCACTTACATCACAGAACACAGAAGGTAAAAATGACGTCTTCATAACACTCATTCCCGTTGGTCGTGACAACGAAACGAGCTACAAAAAAAGATTAAAACTATAAATAAGGGAAAAGAATATATGTCATAAATAAGGAAAATGCTTAAAACCTATCCTTTTTAACTTATAATCAATATCTAAGCTCAATTTTATTGAAAAAAAAAGCAAAAGAATATGTGTCTTTCTAGACAGCATTGGCATTGCGGTCTTTTTTTAGGCATGCATATACAATTTCGGATCTATAATTTCTTAGTAAAGTTATTACGGTGCATACTTGATATGTGGTGTCATGAGCATCTTTTGGACGATGTGTGATTGGTTCGTCGTTGTACGCATGCGTAAATCCAGAACCTTCTTTTCTTCCAAGTGTCTTTCCTGATGTGTTTACTAAAACAGAAACGTGCTTCAACCATTAGTATTCAATTTCCGATATAAACATTGTGGTAAACAATATTGTTTTCAGTAGATATTGACATACAGTAGCAGCCTTCATTCAAAGGTTAACTTGAAAAAGCAAAACCATCCGTTCAAATTCCTCCCAAATCAGAGGACGTTGAACACAGTATCAAAATTTTTATTTGAAAGTTCAGGGCCTCTTGAATGTGCATCATGTAATCAAATACCCGGTCTGTCGAATTGCCAATATTTCAATGTCAGGCCTGTTTCAAAGTTCAAACGTCGCCATGTGCTGAACCAAATGTTGATGAGCTAAAGTCTTTGCTAATTAACCTTATAATATGCATTTGATTCAGCACATAAAAAGTTCGACGCCTAAACCTTATATTATCGAGCGTAGAGCGTTAGCACGCTCGTACCACAAGAAACACAGTAACCTTGAATTAACTGGAACACGTCAGCCCTGGCCCGCGAGGTTTAAAACTGTATGAAAAAGAACTCAAGGAAATGAAATGTACTCATACACTTACTGTGCATATTAGGCATTGCATGGTATCTTGAGTGAGTCTCTGTTGACATATATCTTGGACCCTGAGTGCCAAAAGAAACGATTACTCAATATAGGTGAAAATTTTACTTTTCATTGAAATGCAGCAAAATGTTATCAACTATTTAACTCGCTGATATAAATTATCAAAGTGAATCTGAAAATCAATGAATCGTGATATTGAATTTACGCATTGCCATTGGTCTGACCACAGTGAAATATTGTTTGAGCAAGAACGAAGAAAGTGTTTGTTAAACAAACATATAGACTGCAACTGAGATTATTATGCCCCTCCAGATGGCGGACTGCATCATTAATTCAATAACATCTACAGTATTGTAATTTATTAATTGACCGGTACAAATCGAAAAAAGGTTTCAAGCAAGATGCCTGTGATGTCCAAAGGGCTTTCAGAGGGAGGGGGAAAGGGAAATTTGCTCCAGGCCCCAGGTTTAAGAATGCCGTCGTCTGATTTTCGTCCAGCTCAGTGGTCCAGCTCTCAAATTTCTCAACCTCGTTCCCAAAAAACCCTGGGAACGAGGTTGCAAATTTCTCTGGAAGGACTTCAAGGGAGTAGCGTGGTAGTTTGTTCATTTCATTTGTAATCAAATGGAGTTCAGCAACTACCTGATGTACAAGCTGAAATTCGTTGATACGTCGATACGTTTTTTCTTGTATATCGCGAACTCTTTTTGATCAAAAAGACCATCAATGAACATCAACATTTTATCAATTCTCATGGATTGGACACCAAAATACATGCGGGTTCAATTAAGTGACAACTTAGGACCAAGGAGGAGTGTTGGGGATTTGGGCGCCAATGAATCGTGAAATAAAAGACTAAAAAAAGTTTGATTGACCGATCTATATACGTATCACATTGACCACACAGCGCGTCACTTTGCTGTTGTATTTAAAAGGTTTTTCCCACCTGTTTCAGCTAGTTTTATAGCTCTTTGGAAAACGAGAGAAAGCATAAACCTCAATTTTGGCAATGAAATGGCTACATTGCTTGGTTAAGTTGGAAAAGCGCCTAAAAGTTGGGTCCATACAAATCTGGAATTAGATTAGCTGAGTTGTCACAAAAATATCAAGTATGATTTTTCCCAATTCAGAAACACTGCTAATTAATATAATCATCCTTATGCAGTGTTCAACAATTTGTTCATAATGTTGTGTTGTCAGATTTTGCCACAAATTTAATAAGATATGCATTATGTTAGAATGCATAGTTTTCTGTCACATAAACTGAATAAAATTAGTTCATTAAATGAATGAACACCATTATTGCTTACATGTCCAAGGTTTTCTAGAGATATTGGATCTTTTGGCTGAATTTTTTGTAGATATGGAACTTGTTTAGGGTATGATTTATTCACAAACACACTTGAAACCTGAAAAATAATTAATAATCACTATTATTATTGCTATCGATCATCATTACCACAACCACCATGGTACAAGTATACCTCATGTGATCTTGGAATGGTCACCGGTACTTCTTTTATAAATCCAGATGAGCGCATCACCATCTCTCTTGCAAATGGATCTCTACCATTTGAGCCACAAACAGGCAGGAAATGTTTTGTTGTTACTGATGCATAGTTGTCAGCAACTAGTCGCCTGTTAAACATATTATAAAAAAAATTATTATTAAAATATTATATATAAAATGTAAGGTCATAAGCTAGTCTCTAGAATAGTTCTCAGTCGGATGCTAATTATTAATTAACATTCCAAAGTCAATTATGACAAAATTCTAGCACTAAAATTTCTCACCCCATTGCTGGATTGTCAAGCTCATCCAGGCGTCTGCTGTAGTATACCCCGGGACGGAAATTTGACTTGTACCCAGTCCCTTGATGTTTCCCAACACGTGGGATGTACCCTTCGTGGGCATAATTGGTGGAATATTCTGTGATGTAAAATTTATGCAGGTCTGAATCTGGCCCTTTGCTTTGTAAGATGTGTGCATTGGCAGGGCCAAACGAAAGACATTTAGCTGACATCTTGTTAGAATGGGTGATACCTGGAAAAAACCAAACAATTTAAAAATGAATGTTCAATTTAGGAAAAAATACGTTGACACCATATAGACTAACACATGAATCAATTGATTTATACACCCCCACTACATCCACATAATGTTGGCGCAGCTAATATGTCATATGATTTCTAATTTTCTAGAGTGCGATGTCTAGAATTTGTAGCTATACGATTACTCTATACGATCTGCTTGAAACAGAATAGCAATATTATATATTTGTTAAAAGGATGTATTTAAAAAACAGACTCAAATATACCAGTAACTTTATTCATAAAACCCATCATAATTTGTCTACAGGCCAACTACAGGCCTGATATAAACCCAAGACTTGAATCTGTAGAAAGACCGACGCAGTTACAGCTTGCGCGAAATTAACACATCGCCGCTAATTGTGTCAGAATGCATACATACCTTCAAAATAAGCGTATCAATATGATAAATACGTTCCTCTACATAAATGAAACGTTTTTTCGAAGGAATTTATTGTCTAATTGAGACTTTTGGTTTGATTAGAACATCATCACGACGCGTTGTTATGACAACGTAATTAAGTGATAAGCTGCCTGAGTAGAATCAGGCCAGAAATCGTAGGGTCGAAGAAAAATTCGGGTTTTAGCCCGCAGCTTAATTAATTAAAGGAAAAATTCAGGCATGCGAAATTTCAGGGCAGAAATCCAAAATATTCGGGCTGTTCAACCCGCAACCTTCTCTTGGGCTTTCTCTACATTTTGTGGCAAAAGGAACAAGGTAGATTTCAAATCCGTTTGAATCGAGCCACAAAAGCAAGCCAAAATGGGCGAACAAATGACTCTTCGTGGTACGTTAAAAGGGCACAATGGATGGGTAACTCAAATAGCCACGACACCTCAACGTCCCGACATGATTTTGTCCAGTTCCAGAGGTAAGAAAAATTGGTTATTTTTGTTTATAAAGTTATATTATATACCTATATATTTTGGTGTGTGCTATGTCTTTACATTTGTACAAATAATTCAGACATGGTTTTATCCGTTGTTTGTTCGTCAAAAACTTGCACGAAGTCGTTAAACATATATTTTATTAAATACTATACAGTGATCTAGTCCATACATTTATATATGTACATTATATTTCTCAGCAAAGTTTAATAGTAGGAAATAACCCATAAGAATTTCTATTAGGGAATATTTGTTTCTTCCTTTTATCCTATAATGATCTTCACCTTCCAAGTCAATTGTCTGAGTCAAATTAATAGAAGCAATAGCAACTGAGGATAATCTGAGCTGTGTTACCAGTGTTGTAGTCTAACATAGACTGCATGAAATATTTGAAGAGAACTTTGATGTTTTGAGCAAATGCCTCAGAGCTAGCAGGCCTTTGCTCCAATTTTCAAGTTCTCTCTACTTTGTAAAAGATGCCAGTACGGCAATGTCTACACTAATACACCCCACTATTAACCAAAAATTAACTACGAAATCTTATAGACAAAAGTATCATAATTTGGCGTTTAACGAAAGAGGACACAAATTATGGTCATGCTGAGCATTCGCTTAGGGGACATAATCACTTTGTGTCAGATGTGGTTATATCATCTGATGGTCAGTTTGCTTTATCTGGATCATGGGACAAGACCCTTCGACTTTGGGACTTGAATGCGTAAGTAGTGCGTCTATAATAACAGTTTGATTCTTGAATTGGGAAATTTGTTATAATCACAAGTAAATGATTTCCCTCTGTATTGAAACATGTGTAATGAATAGGAAAGCACTACAATCAAAGTAGGATATGGTACACTTTTATTGAAAAGCTATTTAAAATATTGCAATCGGTCTTTGGGATACCTGGCCTCTGATGTCTTCCCAACAGTATTTCCAATCTAACATTGAACATTTTAACATTTCTTAATAAATTTCAGACAGTAATAAAATCTGTCTTTTCATTTGTGTTATTCTGACAGTTTCTATAAATTTCATAGTTAACTGGACAGATTTATTTGATGCATGGGAAATTATGAATTGAAAAATACTCTACTTTTGCAATGTATAGGTGTAAAACAACCAGAAGATTTATTGGTCACAACAATGATGTCTTGAGTGTGGCTTTCTCTGCAGACAACAGGCAGATTGTCTCTGGATCCCGAGACAAAAGCATTAAGCTGTGGAACACACTAGGTGTCTGCAAATACACTATTCAGGTACTTTTTAGTGGTAGTGTTCCACATCAAATACATGATAAAGCAATGTATGATATGTTTGACAATCTTTCTTATAGGATGAAGGACATTCAGAATGGGTTAGCTGTGTCCGATTCTCACCAAACACCCAAAATCCAATTATTGTTTCATGTGGTTGGGACAAATTGGTCAAAGTGTGGAATCTGACCAACTGTCGTCTTAAAACTAACCATATTGGCCATAACGGTTACCTGAACTGTGTAACAGTCTCCCCTGACGGTTCTTTGTGTGCTTCAGGTGGAAAGGTGAGAGCCTGTTCATTTAGCTGAATGTTTTATGTATGTAGGTCATCTCAAAATGGAAATTCTACAGGGTGTTTACTGAATTATGGATATTAAGATTTTCTATATATCAAATCGTCTATTTTAGATATCAAAAATTGTTGCAAAAACAATTGTTGCTGTTGAAATACAAAAATCTTACAAATTTCATATTATCTATTTTTGCTACATCTTAGTTGAAAAAAATATTGCTGAAATATTTCAGGACCTTTGCAACTATACAATATCTTAGTGTGCACAGTTGCTCACAATGTGTGGTAGGTAATTAAAAAAATCAATCATTCTGTTATATTAGGATGGCAGTGCAATGTTATGGGATTTGAATGAAGGCAAGCATCTGTACACATTGGAAGGTGGCAATATCATAAATGCAATGTGCTTCAGTCCTAATCGTTACTGGCTCTGTGCTGCTACTGGTCCAACTATTAAGATATGGGTAGGTACTCGGATAACAAGTTTTTTAAACCAAAGGGTTGGTGGGGGGCATGGAAGCAACAACTTCAGTCTGCAAGTAGTAATGCAGTATTCCAAGAACATTTCTCGATAATTTAACCAAAGGGCCTAGTAACCATACTAGTTCTTCTGACAAAAGGTGCTTTGGCAGTAACATTGACAGAATTTTTTTACATTTTCTTACAATTATTAACAAAAACATAGTTGGATCATTTTTGTCTTTTTGGGTATTCCAATTCCCAAATTTTAAATGGAATATTAATATTTATTAAAATGAATTATAAATCACGTAGGATCTTGAAGGAAAATCAGTTGTTGACGAGCTAACCCAAGATGTTGTTGGAGCCAGTGGTAAAATACTCGCCCCAGATTGCGTATCCCTCGCCTGGTCTGCCGATGGTCAAACGCTATTCGCAGGATACACAGACAATGTAATACGAGTGTGGCAGGTCACCCGCGCATAGGACATTTCAGGAGTGTGTAAATGTGCATGAATTTTGACGTTATTGGAGTTAATAAAGAAAATGGGAACGAGAATGAGTTGTACTTGTTTAGGTTTGATTGAATGCTTTCTTTTTGTAAATCAATTATAAATTTTGGCACTTCACTCGATGCAGGTAAATTTGAGATGAGATGAGAGCATTGCACCGGCATCGCAAAAGCGTAGGTTCGATTCCTGCCGGAGGACCGATAGTTGACTCATTTTTCCATCAACTGTTCCTGGCTTGAATTTGAAGTGTGTATAATTCCACTCGAAATTAAGACCCTTGAAACCTCTAGAGCTTTCTTTTTGTAGTCTATCCCAGGCTACCGCACTATCTGTTTTTATTCAGTGGTGGTTTTTTTCGGCAATTGAGGTAATGATAATTGCGGTTCCCAAACAATCTTTTACGATTTTAAACAACGATTTTTAAAACAATCTAAAACAACGACTCCAACACTCGCTGGAACCTGGCAACCCGGTCCAGAATGAATACTAACTTTCTTTTGATTGAGGCTTGTCTTTATTTAACATTGAATTGGTCTATGAAAAGCGATATTCCAGGCATTCTCTGTCATCTTAAGGTCGCTTTCATCCTCGCATCACTTCATGCCTACAATCATTGACATAATTGGAACGATGTCTTACAAGATGTCTTCACGAAACATTGTACGCAGATCAAACTCACATTGCTTATACACTGAATTAATTCGCTCGGATTTAACTCGTATCCTGATTCCTGTTCATGCAATTTTTCAGCTTTTCTATACACAATCCTGTCATTTATTTCATTGTATTACATAATTCCATATTGCACAGAAAATTTACCTGACCTGACCTTATTTTTACCACATTGCGGGAAAATTCGCCCGAGTCTCAGTTTATAGTCCGAACATAGCTGTCTTAACCAATAGACAATAGATCCCGTACATAAAATTCCATGAAATCATAAAACAGATATCTGACATAAATGGTTTGATACGAAATTGATATTGTTTTGATTATGTGCCCTAATATCCTGCCAAAATCGTCGGTTTTATAATCTATGATTTTCAGATTATAGTTATATTACGGCCATTTTCTAAGCTCGAATACTTCTTTGCCAATTCGACAACGTATGGGTATAATACGACATTCGCGTTCAAACCCATAACGAAGTCAACATGGTTGAATTCCTCCAGGTACTTATTGTAGACCAGAGATTTCAGTCTTGGAAGTAGTAGTTTGACGTCGGCTGGATCCGAGAGAGTGTCGTGACTTCCCGAGAAGACCGCAATAGGCACGGTGATTTTGCTTACATTGTATTGTGGCGGTTTTGCCTAAATGGAAATGTTGGGTTAGAAACTCAGGGTTGAAAATGAACAACGTTTCCTTATGACTTCATATATACTATGTATAGGGAACTGTTTTTTGTAAGGAAATGACAATTAACATTCGTCAAAGGTTAGCAATAAATTTCCCATAAAGGTACGCTCGTTTATAAGAATGACTTTAAATAAGAACATTAAAGTTGAATTTTCCTGGGTATAAAGTTATGCTGTACATGCAATACGGTATGAACCGGGCCAAAATTCATAATAACAAGCTATCAGTGAACATTTATGCATGGGCAATTTAGTCTTTATAGTGCAAACATAAACACCGCAGAAATTGGTGTTTATAAAGTTTTAACCCCAAAATCTAATCACTGGTTCACAATGTGCATTTCTGTATCGCTATCAAAGAGAAAGCTATTGAATAAGTTCGTCATAAATAGCTTATCGTACACATCCGACAACTGTGAAATTTTGAGGCGCGCTTAAAGTATTCACACGGTTATTAATTCAGATGTTTTGTTTTTACTGTGTCCAAGCTTCAAATCTTCTGTGCAACCGCAAGTCATATTTTTTTGTGGATTTATAAATCTTTTTGCTCACCAAATTTGAAGTCTAAGTATTAAGAATTGCGACTAAGTCTAAACCTTGCAATTTTCGCGATGTAGCACTGGACATATCAAGGGAACTGACCTGACCGTAATGAAAATAGTTTTCAATTATACCATAGTCAAACATTTGACATTTTCCTGACAGAAGCAACTTTAACATAAAAAAGAAAAAACATTAGGTTTTCAATCTTTCCCGTATACTGAAAAAGATATTTGGTAAAAACATAACAACCTGAGCAAAATGAACCATGTTTCTTAGAGAGGTTCCTGATGGGAAATTGTTAAGAAATACTGGAATACGACTCTGAAATGAACAAAAACAATTACTCACATGCACCAAATATATATGTTTACACTATTTGTGTACCATGGCTATATATGGCTTTACTTACGTAATTCACATTTGTCGGATCATCACCGACGACAAATTTTGCGACTTGATAACACAATTTCTCCTCTGTGAGACCGTTACAAAATCCTTTTTCAACAAACTGGGTTCGCCATATGTCTCCCGGGAAAAATGGGGCATCAATTAGTGGTGCTACTGCCTGAAAACGTAAAATATAAAACCTATATACATTTCAAAATTCAAACACTCAGTTTAAATTGCAAAACATTTTCCTATATATATATATATATATATATATATATATATATATATATATATATATATATATATATATATAATATTATATATATATATATATATATATAAATACCTACATCAATAACTGTGACGACTTCAGCCAGTGTTCTGAGAAAGGGAACATTGATATTACCAATAGTGGCAATAGGCGCTAACGCAACGAACAGCTTTATCTTCTTTGCCAATTCAGGGTTCGTGGAAAATGCTGCAAATGCTATCAATGTTCCTTGTGAATGACCAATATAGACGAGTTTGTCCTGCTTTGTCGTGCTACGAATATAATCCACTGTCGCAGGCAAGTCGTATTTTGCAAGATCATCAAAGCTAGTTGAAGATAAAATTATTTACTAGTTCGAATTTTGAATGCCCCCGTATGAAATACAAATAAAAGTGAAATGAGGATGGTGTAATAACGAATCATTCCAAAAAAGTGTACGGAAATTTGATCTACTTTTGATCTTCATTCCCAGTAAAAAGTATACAATCCGTCCCCCTTGATATATACAAGAACACTATTGGTAAAACCTTCGACCATCAGGCATGCCCGCGGCTTTACCAAGAAAGGTTGAAGGGGGTTAAAACACCTCCTATATAAACACTCTCATGTGTCAGCAAGTATCTACCTAATCTACCTAATATGAACGAGTTTTGCGATTGGCTTTTTGTAACAATAGTGAATAGTGTTTATGATTCGTTTTTACGTACCAACCCCCATATGTTGCAGTTGCAACCAGAAATTTGATTTAGAATCGCACTGCCTACTTCCTCGAAATCCATGCATACCAGCGCTCAAAATATAAGTGATTGATCAACAAAAAATACTTACGACCATTTCCAAAACTTCAGGCATTCAGGGGATAAGTGTGTATTTCGCCTCGCGTATCTGTTCCCTCGCGAATTTCCAAGCCAAACATCGAATCCATTATCTGCCAAGATGTATGCAAGGCTGTCATCAGGAAAGTTGAAAACCCAACAAGCACTGTCGGCAAGCAAACCATGTTGTAAGAAAACAATTGGTTTCGACTCCGTTCTGCTGTTGTTCTCATTCCGCCCATGCGGAATGCGTTGTATATTTAGTATGAAGTTGTCTTCGGTTTCGACAAAATGCTCCTCACACGGATAACCATTTGATTTTATTAACTGGCTCTATGACGAACATATTTAACCTTAGCCATGTACAGTTTGATACCCAACCAGTTGAGATTGCGGTTATAAAGTGAGTTACTAGGTTATAAAAAAACTACAGAGGAAAAATTTAGAGAGGGAGTTAGGTAATGGGGAAAAGTGCTTAAGTCTAAACTGCAAATCCCATTAGAATCAGGGGCGTAACTAGAACGATATTTGGCGTTGGGGAAAAGATCCTCCTCTGCTCCCGTGGCTCTGGTGCCCTGGAGTGACGCGAGGATTAGAGATATCGCTTCGCGTCTGAAATCCGATGATGTGATTGTTTTTTCAAGAAATTCGCCGCGAAGAAGTACAATCGCTTTCTATTTTTTATACGTTCGCGCAAATAATTTCGCCCGATGGAAAATTGAAAACGGGCTATAATTGCTTATTACGTCACATGTCACTATCTTTCCGCTTGCAGAGAACTATATGCCTTTGTTTACAAAAATAGAGGGCATTCAAAAAACCAAAATAAAAAAAAAACGGAAATGGAAAACACGGACATTGAAAATACGGACATGGAAAACACGGACATGGAAAACGCAGACATGGAAAACACGGAAATGTGTTTTTGGTATTAACAATATTTTTAAAAAGCAACATTTACAACATTGCATTGCAGTACTGAAGAAATATATTTAATCAGTGCCAGTATGACAACAAATCATAGCAGGTCAGAATGGCATATATCCGCTATAAAACTCTCATTTATTTGTTTATTTAAAAGAAAGTGGAAGGACACGGTAAAATGTAATAAATACTAAATGTTTTCCATGTTTGTGTTTTCCATGTCCGCGTTTTCCATGTCCGTGTTTTCCATGTCCGTGTTTTCCATGTCCGTGTTTTCCGTGTCCGTGTCCGCGTTTTCCATGACACGTTTATGTCTATAATTTGTATATTATTATAAAAAAAATATTTACATTTTTTACACAGTAATATATTCTAGACGGAGTCTAATCACGGACTGAACTATTAGTGTTAGTCACATAGAACAAAGAATTTTTAACTCTCTGCTTAAGAAAAGTTTTGAGAAAAAAATCATGCGAGAGTTTTCCACGTAACCTCAGTTGTGACCTTGGGTAGGTCATGTGAGAAACACATGCTATATATAAAGTTGTAACTTTGGTTGTATTCAGTTCAATTTATTCATAGAAACTAATCATACACATAGCGAGCGTTCCTGGCTTCCTGCATGCTGAAATTCCGCTGTTCCAGGCTTCCAGCAAGTAGAATTTTTCGGAAAATTTTAGAGGGACTAAAAATTATTAACTAGCTCTAATATCCGGTCTTCGTACAACCAGCCCCAGGACTCAGGAGTTACATACAAAACTGACGACAATTCCAGCAAACCTAATAAATATTGTGTTCTTATATGAACATGCTACCTGACCACATCTATTAATTTATCATCGGGCTCCGAGAACGACGACCAATTCCTCATGCAATAAAAAAGTAGAAAAAATAGATTTTCCACCATCGATCAGCTCAAGGATGTGTCACAAAATCTTACCACATTTCGGTAAACATCCTTATCTTTTGGCACTGGGCCTCGAAACTTGCTCAAGTCGAACGACTTCTCAATCTCAAGGAAAAATCCATTAGAAGTTCGCTGTAACGCACAAAAAATTAAAACGAAATGTATAAAATGCATGTTGGTGTCTGGAATAATCACGTATGATTACTATGATGTTGATATTCCAATTATCCAGTGTTGTGTAATAGTCCGGCCGTATGTTGTTGGTTTGTCTTCACATCGTGAAGCAATTAAGCAAACGGAAGTGCGCTTTAAAGTATTTGCATAAGTTGTTTTGATGATTAACCATCATGCAGGGCAGCAGTAAACCATTAACTAGACGCTCGCTAAAAGTAAAAAGTAAATAATGTCGACTATAAATATATAACACATCGCGCTCGGTATCAGCCTTCTGGAAAATGCAATTAATGCCAATAACGATGGTACGTACGTTTTAACAAAAATGGGTTTTATCGTTTTCATTATACCTGACGCTTACATTATGTTATGGTCAATCTACATATACTGTGATTTGGCTGTCGCCGCTGTCGTCTCAGTTTTTCTGTCTCCTGGCCTATAATAATTGGGCGAAAAGTTAAAACATAAACGTATGTTGAGCTGTTCGGGGCCGTCGGGCGTCCTGTCAAGTTCATCCTCGATCATTATAGAAACATGCAGCTCCCATGGCAACGTCCTCTGTAAGGCATCGCGGTTTTCGGTATATATTTTTTTCTTATTTCATCTAAAAATATATATTTGTTTCTCTTTTCGCTAGCGGTTCGACAAATTGAACGAAGAAATATTTTCAGGTTTTGGCCCCTGAGCCTCATTCTCGTGTTATGGCTTATTTCCACATTTATTGGTCATAATGAAAAATTCTTTCCGACGCATGTGTTGAAGAAGGATGGTTTACATCTTTGCACATAGCTCGTGAAAGTAAAACTTGAAATCCATCTCATTTAAGGTGGTTCTAAACTGGAAACGGCACTGACGTTCAAATACTGGAAGGGTTTAGCCAGTACTGAGCCCAGTTGAGCCCAGATCAGTGCTCCAATGGATCAAAGACTGGGCCCAAGTGAAAAATTAAGCACTGCGCATGCGCTTGTGGCGACGTGGCCAAAAGTTTTAGAAAGATCGAGGAATATAATTTGTGAATACTTATTTTTTATCGTTAAAAAACAACGAACATCGCAATCGATTGCAACAAAAGGTTGTGTTATTTGAAAGTGCATCAGTGCTTGGTATTTGTCGCATTTTAGATCACTTCTGCGTCGAAAAGATGTTGACAAAATTCGAGACGAAATCGGCTCGTGTCAAAGGTAGGAGTTGATTTCCTAATAAAAGGACATTGTAAGATGCTCATTTTTTAGTGTCTTACAATACTTTACTGGTGCATGCAATTTTCTTTCAAAAATCTAATAATCCGTCTCTAGTTAATTTTCTCGTTTTTGAGAGTTTAAATTCGGACAAGAAGATCGCAAAAGTTAGGTGAGACCGCAAGGAATGATCCCTATGAACTATGAAGTCGTCAAACGACTGTGGTTCTACAGCCGAGGTGCACTATGATTGACTTTTTTATGCTCTTCGCACATCAATACCACACTGAATTTATTGGCACAGCATAGAAATAACCTCTATTACCTACACCCCTTCAGGCCCTTCACCACTAATGTAAGAGTAGATTTCAGCAAATACAAGGTGAGCACTTCATATATCTGGTTTTTCTACTAGGTGAATCATTTCATGTGAAGCGGCTCATTAGCAGTGCACTACTATACCAGGATAAAACCCAATTTCATATTAGAATTTTTAGCATATGCTTCATAGATAGTTGATAATAAACCTATTGTTAATTTTCCATCTCATTAGCCATTTTCCCTATACTTCTATGCATATTTTTAGGTATAACATTTCACCCAAATCGACCTTGGATTCTTGCCAGTCTTCATAATGGTGTCATACAACTTTGGGATTACCGAATGTGCACATTACTTGAACGATTTGATGAACATGATGGTATGTGGAAATTTTTCTTTTAAATTGCAGTGTAGAAAGAAATACATCATTACCTGGAGTTGCTTACAAACAATGAGAAAAATTGTCAGCTAATTTCATAGACAGTAAAGAATAGTATAAAAGTAGAGAAATATGAAACCAAGAAAATTTCAAATGAATAGTTTTGCTCTCTATTTAATCATTAGACAACGAGTCTGAGTTGTCTATCAGCGAATAGTCAATGAAGGCGAAGCCAGAGGGATATATCTTCCCTAGGGGGTAATATTTCGTCAAATTCCCCGAGCGGAAGGTCTATAAATTATATATTATATCGAAACAACGTGTAGGTAGCGCAAAAGCTGGGTGAAATGGCTTCCTTTGCCTCCATTTTGAAATTGTTGACAACCTCGAGTCGTGTGCGAGGCATCCACGCGTGGTACTTTTATAGCATAATGTGAAAAAATTCGATGGAACTCCATGATTAATTTACTGATCACGTGGTACAAATCGAGCTTTCTGATTGCATGATTTACAGTTGAGATATAATATTTGTTTTAGTATATACCCTGTACCTAGATATATTAATCTCGAGAAAATAATCGATACACCGCAATTACACCGGAAAAGAATTCAATTTTATACGGTCGCGCAAGCGAAATTTCCCCAAGGGTGCACCATCACGAATAGGCAATGGTTGAGTAGCCAATCAGAATGTAGGATTTGTAATAGACAATAGTCGGGTGTATACTAATAACCAATAGTAATATCTCACTACCCTTAATCTTTAAGAATATAACGAGTAAAGTAAATCAAAGCTAGTACAACAAGTTTTAATAATTTAATGTGATTAGCAATGACCATAAGAACTCATCATTAATATAAAAATACTCAGGGGTGCTGGAACCACAGGGGCAGCAGGGGCAAGTGCCCTTTGCTTACGAGGGCAAGCGGAAGCAACTCTGTGCCCTTTCCTACCATGAAATAGTATCATACATGATACATATACATTAATGATGCCTACTCTTCACATTAAAACAAACCGGTAATATTATTCTAAAGATGCCTTCTCCTATGGATTTGCAAGTTTGCATGTACTTGTAAATTTAAGTTTCCTATTTGTGTGTTTGCCAAGGTACAATGAATGTGCCCTTTTCTAAAACTCTGCCCCCGCTGGGCTCTGAACTGCTTTGGTGCCCCTGAAAATACTTATATTACTTCTTTGTAATGTAATTTTTATAATTTACATCTTTATAATAATAATAAAGTTCATTCGTAATGAACTTTATAAAAATAGATTATATACAGTGGTAATGTCAACAAACACTTTATTTTTTGAACAATGCCCATGATGCACTTTTCAACATAGGTCCAGTACGAGGGATTGATTTTCATACCAATCAGCCACTGTTTGTATCAGGAGGTGATGATTATAAAATAAAAGTCTGGAATTACAAACAGAAGAAATGTTTGTTCACTTTGCTTGGACATTTGGACTACATAAGAACAACTTTTTTTCATCATGTAAGTACATTAGTGATTAGTGGCAGGTACTGTAGCTGCAATATAGTAGTTGTACATCTTAAAGCCATGTGAGTTTTATATCTATGTTGCTTCTAGAAACTCTGAACTCTTCTAATATAGTGACATTTTAATATATACCAATATAAGAAAAAATACCAATGCTCAATTTGAAAAATAAACTAAACAGGTATATTACTTAGCATCCAATGTGGTATAACAACTGCCTAAAATAGACAGAAACACTTCTCAATGTTTCGACCAGAGGGCCTTTATCAGGAGAGTAAGTATGAAAATAAATATGGGAGAACACATGTGTTGTATGGGGGCAAAACACATGATAAAAGTGGGCCAATAGAAAACTAAAGATCAAAACAAATTGGAGTACATTACGTTGCCAAAGAGATGCCTGATTGTGATAAACAGATATTAGCAAAAAAACCCGCATAATGATGTTTTGTTTTCGATGTGGCATAAAGTTTAAAGTGTTTGATAAAAAAGTTTAAGAGTTTAAAGTGTTTGATAAAAAATATTTTAGTTTTTCTACAAATTAGACTTAAATTATGTTTAAGTTGAGTAAGGCAAGCATACAATGCATTTGCTAAAAACTGGTTCCCTAAATGGGCAACATATTAATTTATTTCAGCTATACTTGGCTTGTAAATTAATCATGCAAGATTTGAAACTGCTTTTGGTGATGCCAATCTTAGCATCGAAGCTTATGAAATTGTGAGAAATTAAGACAAACTTTCTTTTAGGAATATCCTTGGATTGTTAGTTCTTCTGATGATCAAACAATAAGAATTTGGAATTGGCAGTCAAGAACTTGTATATGGTGAGAATTGGATGGTCATTGATTTCCAAGTATATTAACTACAGTACCATGCAGTTGACTACAGTAATTATGACTACAGCAGTACCTGCAGCATAATAGCTCTTTTTAGTTTATGAAACCAACCAATAAATGTGTTTTTATTTTTCCAGTGTTTTAACTGGTCACAATCATTATGTGATGTGTGCTCGCTTTCACCCCAGTGAAGATCTGGTTGCTTCAGCATCACTTGATCAAACTGTGCGAGTTTGGGATATATCTGGTGAGATACCAAATAATAATATACACTGCATTATTTTTGTTTAGTTATAAAAGGCCATTATCATCACTAAGATACACTATTAAAGGTCGCCATCTCTTTATGCGTTAGCGCTGTGTCAGATGATTTTTCTGCTCATTTTCTAGGGCTTCGTAAAAAGACAGTCGCACCAGGATCGCAGGGGATTGAAGAAAGAATACGCAGCGTTCATCAAACTGAACTTTTCGGACAATCAGACTCGATTGTCAAACATGTGCTCGAGGTAGGCTTCAGCTGTGTTTGAAGATTGCTATAGGCCTTGAAAGGCACACCAGTTTGCCCGTGAGTTTCATGTTAACAGTAGATAGAGGACAACTCATAACTAGTGCTTTGGAAGAAAATTTATTAAAAGTAGCAGATTCTTTTTACAAAGTAATACAGTAAAATTCAGTGTTCGTTTGAATTGCTGATGGCACTCTACGTGGCACTCGGCGTTGCACAAACAGAAATAGATGTATGTAGACCTGGAAAACACGTCGTTTTTGTGATAAGCATTTTATTTTCCATCTGTACAGGGTCACGATCGTGGTGTAAACTGGGTGTCATTTCATCCTACCATGCCTCTGCTTGTCTCTGCTGCAGATGATAGGCAAGTGAAGCTGTGGAGAATGAATGGTAAGGTCTTGTGCTATTTGGAAATGGAGGACTTAGAGATACTTCAGAAATACCATACCTTAGAGACATTTGGAGTTGGCTATTCACCATGACGGGATATGTATATATTGCTGCAATGATGATAGACTGTAAAATATTTCAACATGATCACATCGTTTTCCCAGAGGTCAACTTGAATGTGCGGCCGTCGTGCGTGGGGGCTACGGGCAGTGGCCGCCCCCCCTGTTGGGCCATGGGGCTCCCCGTGGCCGACCTAAATAGGCAGCCATCGTGTGTGGAGCTCCGGCACGGTGTCCGCCCGTCTTAGTTGGGTCATGGGGCTCCCCGCTGCCTAACACAAGGGCGTAGCCATCGTCTGCGCGACCCCCATGCACTGTGGCCACCCCTCCTAGTTGACCCATGGAGACAAAATGTGACAACATGATTAATATTACATTTTACGCTATTCTGAGCTGCAATTTGTATCCTGTTTACTTCATTTTAGTCAATTTTTTGTGGCTGGTGAGCTTATGATGATGTTTGTATCACGGGTGTTAATAGAGTACATAATGAATAATGATCAATGTACATGTATATGTATGTTGTGTCCACAGATTCCAAAGCTTGGGAGGTAGACACATGTCGTGGCCACTACAACAACGTCTCCTGTACTCTCTTCCATCCACGACAAGAACTCATTTTGAGTAATTCTGAGGACAAAAGTATCCGAGTTTGGGATATGTCGAAAAGGTGAATATTCAAGAGCAAACTTCCAGACAGTTTATTTTATTTATTTAATGATCCGTACTCTTTTGTCCAATTGGTGGACTTCCCCTTCGAAATTTACTCTGGAAAAGGCGAAACGATTTTACATCTGATTGAGGCTTTATAACTGACCTTATATAGAACTGGAGTTCAGACATTCAGAAGGGAACACGATAGATTCTGGGTTATGGCAGCACATCCAAGCTTGAACCTCTTTGCTGCAGGTATTTATGCTTTTATTTACAAACTCTATCGTTATTTCATTGCTCCACATGTTGTCATATTTAACTGAATTGTATACAAGGAGGAATTAGTACGATAAATAGCTAGGAAATAATTCAATTAACTGCTCTCCATCAGGTCATGACGGTGGTATGATAGTTTTCAAGTTGGAAAGAGAGAGACCACCCTATGCTGTGCATGGCAACACTCTTTACTATGTGAAGGTAAGGGGATCATCAAGGATGTTGGAGGTATATCCCTCACAGATGATGGTTATCCCTCAGAGGTCTTGGGAATATCTGTAAAAACAATACGTTTACTCTGTGTAATAATATGCTCCCTGCGAGCGAATGTAATACTATGAAAGTTTTTGTGCTGAAAATGCAAAACTTTCGAAAGAGCTGAAAATTGCTAAAATGGCGGATTGTGGCCATGCGGCGGAAGGCTGATTTCAACTTGAGATTTAATCAAGGCTGAATAATTTTATGTCGATGTTTTTGAAACATTAGTTTTTTGAAGATGTTATAGTCATATATCCAATTTGGAACGTATAATTTAAACTGGAATTCGTTTAATCTATCTTTAGGAACGATATTTAAGAATGTATGAATTTGGTACATCAAAGGATGTCGCAGTTGTTCAGTTAAAGAGGTATTGAACAATTGTATTAATCTTGCTTTCCAATTATTGACACTTTGACAATTTCTACCATTTTACACTTAACACCCCCTCCCCCCTAACCACCCTTAACGTGTTCTACGTTGTCGTTTGTTTAATTGTTGTCTCAGAGTGTGAGATATTATAGCAAACGAATTCCATAACACTTTTTTAATAATTAATTCGTTTCTTTTCTGTTAATCCAGAGGTTCCTCAAGAACACCATATTTCAGTTTGTCTTATAACCCAGCAGAAAATTGCATTCTGCTTGTTCAGGTGCGTTGTGCTCCTTAAATATAATTTCTGTTAATTTCTGTTCTTCATGCTCTAAAGCACTAAATGCTCCAAGAGATCGCATGAAATATACAGGGAAAACTATAGGTAAGAGGGGGCGAACCGCAATCAACCAAGCGCTAACTGCGTGTTTCTTGTTCAAATTTTGTAGTCTTCGTCATCAAATTCTGACAACAGTGCCTATGAACTCCATGCTGTACCTAAAGAGTATGACAGCAGCAATCCAGATGGTATGTTTTGTCCATAAAATTGTGACCTTCTCCTAAATATGGTCTTACAAACAAACCACTGCATCTTTGTTTCCTGATTTTCGTTTAGTATCCGAGGGAAAACGCTCCGCTGGTATTACTGCCGTTTGGGTCGCTAGAAACAGATTTGCTGTCTTGGATAAGACGCATACGGTAATTATAAAATCGTATTGAATAAATAATCGTGCCATCTTCTCAGAAGGAAAGCAGTGTTTCTTAAGGTGGACAAATTAAAAAAACAACCCTCGTTAGTCGCCTCGGCCCTCGAAAATGGAGAGAGCGCGTTTACCAAAGCATGTAAAAATGGTATTACTTCACTCGGCAAACAATCTTTGATTTTGCTGAATGTGTCAAAAAAGCTGTAATTTAGAGAGTTGGAACCATTTCCCCCATACGGTGACGTGCTTTGGAGGCATTTCTTACCCTTGCTTTCTAAATATCGAAAACATTGTTTTATTGCAAATTTTATGGTGGCGATAAAGCAGGCCTTACTGGGAGACTGTAGCTCGTTTCCCTCCCCGTTAAGTAGTGGAGCATTCTTGCAAACTATTTCGGTTGACTGATATTTCAGTATCTAATTTTATGATCGTGTGATTAGTTGTTAATAAAGAACCTAAAGAATGAAGTTACGAAGAAGATACCAACTCCTGCGTGTGATAATATATTTTACGCCGGCACTGGCAGTTTATTGTTGAAAGATCCTGAAACCGTCACTCTTTTTGATGTTCAACAGAAGAGGTAAAAATTGAATCGTGGATATAATCATAGTTTTAGAACGATGGTATGCTGCTTGCCTGCTCGTGCAGACGATGCTGTATACATTAAGATGACTATTAAATTAACGATTGAAATAACGAATCGTATTTGATTTATCAAGGTCTATGGGTGTCGCCAAGGTTGCGAAAGTCAAATACGTCATTTGGTCATCTGATATGGCGTATGTCGCTTTAATTAGTAAACATGGTTAGTATGGTTAGATACTTGTGCAACCCTCGTAGGATATGATATTCACGACACTTTCTGTGACTTTTTCTTATATTTTGCCAGCCCTAATATTTAGTATATCTTCGAAAAAAACGGCTAGTATTACTATACCATTGTAACTGTTTGCTTTTACCTGTTAATATTTGTGAAGGTATTCCCACATTGATTCAGTGATATTTCAGAAGACCGCTTTTGAAACTGCTTTTGTTTAAGATGACCGAATGAAAGACCAAAAGGAGCTCATTCCTAGTATTATGAAAAAAATTCTGTCAGTTAAAATTTTTACTTTTCTTATTACAGTTGTGGCTATATGTAATCGCAAACTTGAATCTCTGAGCACAATACATGAAAATATCCGCGTGAAGAGTGGAGCTTGGGACGAGAATGGCGTGTTTGTATACACGACATGTAACCACATCAAATATGCTTTGTTAAATGGGTGAGTTTGACCAGCTATAATTTATTCCATGACGTTTAACGTGTGAATTCTGATCAACCTTGAGCAAGTAAAAATACTTTTGAAATGGGTTTGATCAGATGTGTTCTGCAGTTTGCACACAAAGCACAGCAGATTTTTGTTGTACATTACTAACTCTGCACTGGATCAGCTTAAAATATAACATGCAGTTCAAATGCAATCAATGACATTGTGTAATACTCTACTATCTGCACTGTTTTACCACGTAATGCCTTTATATGTTACTCTTCCAATTGATGTTACATTGCAAATTGTAAATTTCAGTATTCGCAGAGATTCTTGCTCTTTGTGAATAGAAACAGTTTGCTAGACTAAAATCCAATATTACTCACCATTCTGACAATATAACATGTCATGATTGGTCTTTCTATCTGGTACATATTTTAGCCTTATATCATGCAGTTCTGAATTATGAACTGTTCTTCCTATAGATACATAATATATATTACAGCTATTGGAATAACCTGTGTCAAGTCTGAAGCGTTTTCCCGAGAGCTTCCCTATATAAGGCCCATCTTTGATGGTTTGTCTCATTCAAATTCATTTTCTTCCAGCGATCATGGTATCATTCGTACGCTCGATTTACCGATCTACATCACAAAAATCAAGGTATTTCTAGATAATTTTTCAAAGATACAGCCTCACATGTGGCACGATCGGTCTTGTGGAAGCGTAGAATTAGGCAAAGTTTAGTTGGACAGTGCTCTTTGTTTTCCTAAATTTGAACAACGGTAGATAAGCAGATCATTTCAGTTTATCTCAAAGTTGTGGTTTAGCTGTATTAACATTTGCAAACTATTGGTCTTATTTCCAGAGACACAAATTCTCTGTAAATATAAAAGTTTGCTAAATCAAAGTCCAATATAACTACCCATTCTGACAATTTGATAAGTCATGGATGGTCTTACTATCTGGAACATTCATCAATTAGATTAAAGTACATATAATTACACAAACCCTTCATCTGTATAAATTATTCTCCCTGGTGATAAGTTGATCTAAAGCCTGCGTTTAGAAAATGTGACCACTCTGAGCGTTGTATTCATGTGTTTTAAATGATCATTGAATGTTTGTCTTCTCAGGGAAGCAGTGTTTACTGTCTGGACAGAGAATGCAAGACTCGAGTCCTTGGCATTGATCCTACTGAATACAAGTTTAAACTGGCGTTGGTCAATCGCAAATACGATGAGGTTAGAATGTACATATGTTAAATACTACGATAGTAGTTGATATTACACTAAAATTTATCCCCTAAAGGATTTTTGGTTCAAATAGCTCCAAAGCAACTGTCATCTCTTGTTCATCTCCTGTTCCTATAGATGAGACCTCAATTCTGCTATTTTAAACTGTTAACCCTATATAAAAAGTATAGAAGCGTCTTCTCTTGCTTTTTTACAATAAATAAATGCAAGTTGTAATATCAAATATTTCTAGGGAATTCTTTCTCTCTAAAAATGTAAACAATTTGCTAAATTAAAATCCAATATTACTCACCATGCTGACAGTTTGTTATGTCACGGATGGTCTTTCTATTTGGAACACTTAACATATTTTCACTCAAACAAACTGTAGGCCTTCAGCTAGACTAATGCCAAATATTAGTCTTGTCCTTTCAAAACTTTTTTTATGAATTCCAATACATGGAATTATGCTTTTAAAACTTGATAATGAGGCGAAGCCAGCGCAAGGTCTTTTTAACAGAAACTGCTTGATAGTAAATATCATAGAGAAAACCCTGTCTAAACTAAGTTTGTAGTTACTGGCTCCGCATCCAGTGAAAAACACGTGTCTCTGAGGTCCAGTGACACTGCGAGATAGCACTGGCGAAACTACCCGTGCATGATAAGGCTAGTCAGTTCGTTAGACATTTAGATCAATCACTATATGCAGTGTTAAGTAATGTGATTGAACCTATTTTATCTTTGTTGTACGACAGAAATGTTGAGAGAAATGCAAGAAGAGTCGGTTCGTTCTCAATATTAATCAATCTTGTGTCTTCAATCATATAGGTCCTTCATATGGTCCGTAATGCGAAGTTGGTTGGTCAATCGATCATTGCTTATCTACAGCAGAAAGGTTATCCCGAGGTAATATGATTTTGGATTATCTTTTAGCTTGTTGATTTGACGAAAAACTCTCTCATTCGTGAAAACAATTATTTTTAATTTTTGCGTATTTCGTTGCCAGGTTGCACTACATTTTGTGAAAGATGAAAGAACAAGATTTGGCCTTGCTTTGGAGTGTGGGAATATCGATGTAAGATGAAGATCGGAGATTCACTAATTTGATATCCATAAAAGAAACTAAATATTGTTCAATCGTTCTAAGAAACGTCAAATGAGTTAATCACCTTAAAGAGGCTGCAATTTTATGTCGTAAAAATCTGTTGTCACAAAAAACTGAGTCAAAAAGGAATTTTAAACAACATGACGTTATTTCCTCTTGTTAGGCGGCGTTAGAAGCAGCCCGAGCATTGGATGACAAGGGATGCTGGGAAAAACTTGGAGTTGTTGCATTACGTCAGGGAAATCACCAGGTACTGTACAGTGTACATTTTTCTTGTGGATCCGTCAGCCGTTGGACATAATTGGCAGCACTAGTTAACACAAAATGTTTTTTTTAGATTGTGGAGATGGCTTATCAGCGAACAAAGAATTTTGAGAAATTGTCGTTCTTGTACCTGATCACGGGAAATGTTGAAAAATTGAGAAAAATGATGAAAATTTGTAAGTATTTAAAACTTTTAAGACGGAGAGACTGTACGTCGACGTGTTACAGGAAGACTGGATTATCAACAACTTCCTCCATCAACATACTGTATCCTACACCTGAATTGATTTCTACTGTATTATTCCTTTTTAGCTGAAATCAGGAAAGACGTAAGTGGTCAATACCACAATGCATTGTACGCAGGCGACGTCGAGGAACGTGTTAAACTTTTGAAATCACTTGGCCAAGGTAACGAATATGCACTGATCTGAAATTTTATGACTCAAGTGGACTATACACGCACATGAACTTCATAGCAGAACCACGACAAATCTATCAACGAGTTTTAATTTTTCAAATTTGTATGGCTAAGATCATCTTCAGTAGAGTAAAAGTGAACAGTGTTAAGGATATTTACTTAACCTTTCTCGCGTAGGTTCTCTGGCATATTTGACTGCCGCAACTCATGGTCTTGAGGAGGAGAGTGAAAATATCAAGTCTGAATTTAGCCTGGACCCTGAAAAGGTAAATTAATCATTGACAGAACTTTTTATGATATTTGTACATAAACAAACTTTCACATGCCCACTGGCAGGCCAGTATTTTTAAAAAAGATAGACTAATATAACTACTGCACACTGAAGGCTTAAAATTCAATGTTAAACACACAGATGCATTGTGATGTTTCATGTCTGTTCTCTCTTCAAAGGTTCCTGCAGTTAATCCGAACGCTCGCCTATTACGTCCAGCCGTTCCTGTGTTACCCAACGAGGCCAACTGGCCCCTGCTTACTGTATCAAAGAGTGTATTTGAGGGTGCCGTGAGCAAAGGTAGGATCTGTAGTTACGGCGATGTGTGCGTGTGGTTGAAATTCCAGTTCCACTCTACCAAACACTGCTAGGTTTTCTTCCTTTCATCCCTTGTCAGTATTTCAGGGATGGGTGATCCTTACTTGGTCTATATATTACCTCAATTCACATATTTCTACTAAGGTGGCGCGGCTGCAATGGACGCAGATCATGTGGTAGATGGGGATAATGAGGGATGGGGATCAGATGCTGACCTTGATAATGAAGGTAGTACATGGACAGTGCGAATCTCGTCTCCTGGATAATAATATATGATAGCGTTCACAGCCTCCTTAACCGCGATCTTTATCTACTATTTTAGATGATGAATTTAAGGATACTATGCCGGGTGATGAAGATATAGAGGGTGGTGATGATGGACCAGGGTGGGATGTTGACGATGAAGATCTCGACCTCCCAGATTTGGTAAGTAACTAAAGAATGGTAATTCCAGGTACCATTCAAGATGTTTGTTTTAATATTTCGTCTTTGTTTTACAGGAAGGACCACCGGTTGAAGCTGAGGGAGAGGGTTACTTTGTGCCACCAAACAAGGGCACAAGTCAAGCTCAGGTAGGTTGTTCTACGAATTACTAAAGCCTGCTTGTGTAGTGCACTTTACTTCTTTGTTGATTTTTGCCATGTTTGCCTGTTGCCGACTTTTTCAACTCTTGTCGATCCCTACAATCCATATTGTATCCCATATTCTTAAACCATATTGCGTATGAATTTATATAAATGCGAGAGTATAGAGGCGAGAATAGATCAAAAAGAGAATGGTGTGGAATGAAGTCGCTTATTGAAATTTGCTTTGGAGGTATGTTGCGTCTTAAAAGCTCTTGTTTTACTTAAAGGTTTGGTGCAATAACTCCCGATTGCCTGTTGACAACGTATTGGGTGGAGCTTTTGAAAGCGCTATGAGGGTATGATTACTGTATTGATTATCTATATAAGTTTGAATTATCCTTAACAAAACGAGCCCCCCCCCTGAAAGTCTGATCGATCTAACCAACCTATTCTTTGGTTAATTTTGTAGCTTCTCCATGACCAGCTCGGTGTTGTGGATTTCGCACCATTTAAATCATTGTTCCTCTCAACATACTCTCGATCGCGTGTAGCTTACACAGGCCTGCCTGCCTTGCCAACCATCTTTGTCTTTCCTCATAGAAACTGGTATGAATGATTGATTTCTTATTCACCGCCTCTATAACATTAGGCTCAATAGTTTGTGTGTGTGTTTTTTACACTTCCATTACCAAGGTTCAAGTCTCGTAAAAAGTTCTTAAATCTACGAAATTTGCAATAACAGCTTAACCGTATGGCGCAGTATAGTGCCCTATGGCATTCTATATTATGAAGAACCATGCAATAAATATGCCCTACTTGTGTCAAAAAGGTATTTTAACAAAGCGCTTTTTTGTCATGCAGGAAGGAAGCTGGTGGACGCGCTGGCCTCCCTGCTGTTGGTGTTAAACTGAATACGCTCGTACAGAGGCTTCAGACGGCCTATCAGCTCACTACTGGTGGGAAATTTCAGGAGGCTGCTGAAAAGTTCCAAGATATTTTACTTCATGTTACACTTCTTGTGGTGGACTCAAAACAAGACATTAGTGAGGTAAGAGTTGACTATTTGTGCATTCCTTATTACAATTTTTATGGAATCTGTAATAGATACGACTGCCAGTCCTAAATTAATATTCGAGATGTCTATAGAGCAGGCTAGTGTCTAAATATGTCTGATGTTTATTCATGCATATAAATCTTTTTTAGGCTCAACAACTGCTTGGGATTTGTCGAGAATATATACTTGGTTTACTGATGGAAATCAAACGTAAAGGTTTACCTAAGGTATAATATTTTATAATTTACTGTAATTTTTTATTCCTTTTTGAGGTATTGAAATTGGCTTTTGTAAACTTGTAAGCGCTTTGCATTACTTTAGGGTAATTTAGAGGAACAAAAACGACATTGTGAGATGGCGGCGTATTTCACACACTGTAACCTTCAACCAGTTCATCAAATTCTTACACTAAGAACAGCGCTGAACCTCTTCTTCAAGGTGGGTCTCCTTGGTTCGTTTCTTTGGTCATTTGGACACACGTAAACCGTTTTTAAAAAGTGCACTCAAATTGTTCTGACTTGCATGCATCTGCACTAAAAAACACTTCATCATTCCCGACTAATAGATCTTACGTTCACTTTCCTTCACTTTAGTTGAAGAATTACAAGACAGCTTCGTCATTTGCGAGACGTTTATTAGAGCTAGGACCTCGACCAGACGTTGCTACACAGGTTTGCACCTCTAAATATTACATTTGATCAACATCTCTTGTGCTTTGGGGATGAAAAGCGTGCTATTTTAGAACATCAGCGCCCTTTGTTACGCTGTTGTGTTTCATCCATTGTTACTATCCGTGTTACCCTTCTTGTCCCTTTATTTACTCCTATTATTCCTCAACTCACCCTTCCCACCTCTACTAATATGAAAGCTAGGTAAATAAACTAAAAATACATGGTTAATTTTTCTTATATTTAGACTCGAAAAATCCTTCAAGCATGCGATAAGAATCCTACGGATACACACGAACTTCAGTACGACCCTCAGAATCCATTCACGATCTGTGGAACGACATACAAGCCGTTGTATAGGTACACTCAAGCTATATATGGCATGTTTATTTGAAGTCTTTAACGCAATACTAAACTTTCGCCCTTTAATGTAACAAAAATAAGGGGGAATGAAAGAGATATTTAGAAAGAGAGAAAGGGGAGAAAAAGCTGAAAAATGCTTGACCCGCCAAGATCGAGCCTGCGCCCATTAGGGACCTTGCGATTAACAAAATCTACGACGGGGATGTGACATAAAATCAGCTGTTAGTATTAGGAACCCAGTTTAATAAGTGTTACATACAGCTCTGACCTTGTTTACCAAAACGAGCCCGTAATTTTTATCCCTGTTGTGAAGCTTTGGAAATGAAGACATGCAGTATTATACTTCACGTTCGCGTCGTAGATTCGGTGTATCTTAAGGTCCCTAATGCTTTATTGTCCCCAGACGCGACGTTTTTACGGATGACACGCATGCTTCGCGCAATTGGTGCGCGAATCCAGCAGAGTTGTGACTCTCATCCTAGATCACTTTAGCTCAACAAATGACATGCAGTAACGAAAGAAATATATTCGTTATCTTTCAGAGGTAAACCACAAGAAAAATGTCCGTTGTGTCAAGCCGCGTATTTCCCTGAGTTCAAAGGACGTGTCTGTGGTGTCTGCAAGGTAAGGCGGTACCACACTGACCTTAAAACATGACCATCCTTGACAAGAGAAATTGAATACAAAGAAATCGACCTGAATAAGCATGATTTACTTGCACATGATTTACTAATCAATTCCCATGAGCACAACTTAACTTAATATTTTATCGGGGTTATTTAATCATTTATTTAATCATTTAGGTCGCTGAGATCGGAAAGGATGCGATTGGGCTAAGAATTAGCATGACTCAATTCCGCTGAGAATTTGTACAAGAAGGACTTTTAATCCTACGAGGAAACGCAAGCAGAAATTTAAACACGCGAAGAAGTCAATCGAAGCACGCCGGAAGCGAACACGCACTTATCATCGTGATTTACCATTAAACAGAAGACTATCATAGGTGTCGTTCTTCCGGTAAGCTGGCGATTGACGATGCTTACTAAATATTAATTAAAGTAGAAATATATTTGCAATTCAATTTTATTCTATATTCTGGTTTATAGTAAGAGCATTTCTTAGTATTTTTCGGTACCCACTTTGTTTGCAGTTTTGTGTTTACCATTGAACTAAAATAGAGTATCTATTTTATATCATCTATTTTAGTTCAATGGTGCATGTTTACCAGTTCATAACCATGGTAACATGGTCATCCTAAGGTATTCGAGCATTTTAGTGCTTGGCAAAGCCTACCTATTGACCCGACCTATACGCCTAGGGAAAATTCCTTCCCCCCGTCCTATGATTGGTAATGGATGTAAGCATCAACAATTATACCCCTACATGTACACGCTACGCAGTTTTGTGCCCGCTCTCAAGGTAGAGAATTTGATTTTTAGACGCGATTTTCTTTCGTTTGACGTGAACTAGTAGAACCAGGAAAAAACAAAGCAAAGGATTGGCATAGTACCTGCGGAGTTAAATACTCCCTTCCTTACACGTTTACATAATATCAGTCACACAAAACAAAATGAATATATTTTCTACAATTTTTACATTTTAATTCGATGCTAAGGTAATATCATGTTTTGTTTTTGATTGTTTATCGTTCGCCTCTTCGAAACTTGATTGTGTCATCGGATTGTTGAGCGTTGCATTAAATGTCCTTTTGAGCACTGAGTGAGCGAACTGAGGGCTTAGCTATAGATAAAAAGTATATAATCGGTATTAGATGAATATATTAAGATGACACGATAGCTTGGATAGATGCAAGATGCAGACGTACTGGGCAAAGGAAAAGAGAGAGTGATTTATAATTTACCAATATGAACGTCTTGACAATGGTGAGAATTTGTCCGCCACGGAGAAATATATTTATAGATATAGGTGCGAATTTAACCAGCTACAAATGACTCGCAATAGTTTGGTTTTGTTATAAAATGGGTATCTGGGCTCAAATGTACATGAAGATTAAGAATTGTGGTTTGTGTTACTACAGTTCTTCTCTGTTCTTCGTGCATGGTTGGTAATTGCTGGTTGACGTAGTGAAACAGAGATGTCTGCATCTTTTGTACGTCTGCATGACTGCGTGCTGCACGATGCACAGCCTTCATTAAAGAACCCCATGTCCCCTCAAGAAAAGAGGATTTTAGGGATCTGTAGGGATCTTACCTCATAGTTCCCAGGACCGGGAACTTCACTCTTTTGCGGCCTAAATCGGGTATCTTTCGTGACCATCAATCCACCTTGTAGGTTTTGAGTCGAAGGTATGTCGTATTCCCCAGGCCCAGGGGTCGTCCCGCGCTTTGTTCGATCAATACCGTCCTTGAATCTCGTCGAGGAGGATAAGAATGCACCCCTTTTCTGAGAATTTCTGTTCTTCTTTTGCGAGTATGGATACAACACACGGCCTAGAGTTGACGTGAGATAAACAAATTTAGATCTTAAGTTGATATGTGTGAATGAGCGATCAGATTGATCTTGTTGTGGTAGTGATAGTAATATTGCAAAATTTCAATACCTTGAGTTTTGTCATACGATTTTCTAACCTCATATGAGCCGGGTGGGGGAATTTCCTGCAACACACAATGACATTCAGAAATTTTACTGGAATGTAAGTATTTTAACTATTTAACTTTAACTAGTTAAAGTATTTTAACTACTGGTATCTCTCAACTGGTTGAAATATAGGTTGGAAGTTAAAGAATTATCGCCTTCAAACAAGGGACGTTTTTCGTAGCTTAGTGGCGAGAGAAACCTACAATCAAAACGCAATTACACGTTTGCCTAATAATTTAAAATCCCAGTTTTATTTAGGAAAAAATATATAAGTAAAATACCAAATACCACACTGTTTCATCAATAAACAAGGCATTACAGTAATATTGCAACAGTAACATTTAGGAGGAGCGTTCTTTCAGCCGGAAACAGTTTTGAACTATTGCAGGAGGAGCGTTCTTTCAGCCGGAAACAGTTTTGAACTATTGCTTGAAATATGTTTGATGTTTAATTGTCTTACTTTAACGATGGGAGGTGGTGTGTGCAGCCTGTCTGTCATCGAAGCAAACGTGGAGGATAGTTGAGCATCTTGCGTTGGTTTCTTGACATTCTTGTCGGTGTTGGTATAATGTGCCGGTCCTGGGAACAAGTCTTCGTCTGTTCTTGTGATTGGTGCTGTTCGCACTGAGGAACTACCAAAAGCTGCTTTCTTCTTGTTGGTCATGCTGAGAGAGAGAGCGGTAAAATCAATAAGGTAAAAGTGGCTGTTCGCGCACTCGGGGGAGGGTGGAACAACACGTTTATAGGGCTGTTTCGGGGGCAAATCTTGGGTGCAAATATGACTACCACGAGACTACTTCAAGTTAGAGTAGAACTAATATGTGGACACCGTTTGTTCACTTTGTTGATATCAAGAGCGAAAAATACCCTTATAGAAAATCCAAAAGGCTCTCCGTACAACTCACTGCATATACGTACACATTTTTTTTGATAATGTTCGAGACATGATCTGGGACATTGTATGAACCAGGACCTGTAAAAATTCAAAATGGCAATGTTAATATAACAGCTCCGACAAAGTACTAATCATAGAATTGGCTAATTATAACTTGGGAGCCCAGGTGAAGAGGTGAAAGTCAATATGGGATTGCATTACCTGGTACACTTTTACTATGTTTGTTATCGTAAAATCTGATCGATGTTTGACCGAACGGACTTGCTTTGATGCCTTTCACCCTAGCGAACATAACAATTGTTAGCATTTCTTAAACAAGTTTTTAGGTATAAATTCATTGATACTAACCTTTTCAACGTTTCAAAAGCTGTCCTGGGATCGTTGTAACTTCCAGGTGCAGGGAATCCATTCGAGCTACCATCAAATCTCTGAATTACAAAAAAAATTCAATAATGTGATAATGTGTTTCTGTCTCTCACGCCTGAAAGTCTCCGCAACATTTTCCTGCGAATTGTCGCATAATTAGAACTTTAACAGCGCGATAAAGCTAATGATTGAACTTACTCTGGCTTGTGAACCAAATGGGGCGACCAACGCCGTGTGGTCTGTCTCAGACGTCGCTTTTTGGTGTTCAAATTGACTTTTGATTTGGTAATGACCTGGAGCTGGTACACCCTGGGAAAAATAGATAGAGAGTCTTGAACGGTGACGAGGCGCGGCCAACATAACCTGCTAATACCTCTACGGGAGACAACCATTAGATCTCGCACAAGGATGGCAGAATTCCAACCTTGAAAACTATCCGGTTGACAGCGTAATGTCTTAGAAGTAGAGTAATAATAATTCACTAGAATAACGCAAAATGTTTCTTGCCTTTCTTTGTTCGTCCTTGGGAATAAGTTCATGATATCTGGGAATCTATAAATGCATTTATTTATTGCAAAGAATTAAATTAATTGCAAACAATCGGAGTATAGTCCATCATTATTCTGGCTAGACTTCATCATTATCTGGCTAGACCACTATTATATGTCGGGCCTATTACAGTATATCCCTATGAAGTGTTGGAATAAGTGTCATGACATTAACCTCCCATGTGTTAATTAATATACGTGTTATCAATCATAAAACATTTTAGTTCATTGCACCTTAGCTTCAAAGAATCTTTTGTTGTGTTCCTCTATTATCTGCAAATAAACAACAGGTTTACCAGTAATAAATAAGTAAATAAATCATCAATCAATACACGATAATTACTGACTGTTAAAATAATTACCAAATCAATCGGTGCTTTATTATCCGGTGCATCGTAAGGATTATACGCGCCTGGCCCGGGCCCCTGACTGTTTCCTGGAGAAAATCAAAGGAGACATTTATGATTTATATATGAAAATACTTGGAGATAGCTGGTGATGAATGTAGGCAAAGTTTACACTGGGAAGAAAATTGAACCATATTTCAATAGTGAACTAACTGATCTTATCAATCCAAAAAATATTTTAAAAGCTGTTTTCCACTTCAATCGTACTGTAGGAAAACGTAGCACCTCATTGTTTTGAAGTCATTAGTTCAGTAGAATACTCCCAAAACAAAGAAATACTTCATAAGTTGAAGTGGAAAACAGCTTTAAATGAAAACGTTCGTACATGACAGGGGAGTTTTGCTTAGGGAAAGAAATTATGTTTCTGGTGTTTACCTGACTTATTACTTATTAGTATTACAACTGCAAGTGGTCAGGTCATGGGTTTTCTGTGCATATAGGACCATTATTAAAATAACACGTAGTTGATATCAATATTTTCACAAAAAAGTCTCCTTTAATAGCCAATGAATAGAAATATGTAGAGTTGAAAAAGCAAGCCACATCAATTCTTCATTCAAAGCCAGCATCCAGAATAAAAACACAACTTATTTTGCAGGTTTAATAAACCTATAGGTATGCATATATCAATTCTATAGTTGATGCTAACCCTTGAAATTATGTCGTTTTGAATCCTTCTTCCCAAAGAAGACTCCTCTATAATTACGTGATGTCTGCGTATCTCTCTGGGGGAAGAAAGCAAAAGTAACTATATATTTAAGATTATTATTCTACCACTTATTCTGCCTGGTACATTGCTGCAGAAATTGAGAGGCCTGTAAGAGATACAAAGACATTAATACTAACATGATCTACATTGTAGTAAGCTGGTCCCATTGATATATCTTTATCTGGCATTTTCTGAGGTTTGAGGGACCCATCTGTTGCTTCCTCGTAGCCATACGATTTTCCAGGAGAGGGAATGGAAGGGGGGTCAATCTTCCTCAGAAATACTATACGCCTTCCTTGTGAAATATTCTAAACAATCAAATTTTATTTTAAACATTGTCAATACAAATTAATTCAAAGTTGACGAGAGCCTTGTAGAGAACATGGCTCTACGAGGTTGGAAACACTTTTAGGACCTGGGGTCGGTTGTATCAAGCCCGTTTAGCTTAAACGGCGGATAAGTTCAAAATAGAAATCAAGTCTATCGTTTTATTCAACAAGCAAACAAAATGTTTTTAACCTTATTACAAAGATACTGTTTACAACTACATATTCAGAGCATAATATTCAAGTTGACTCGTTCAAGAGGGATGTAAGAGTTTTATTTAATTTTGACTTATCCACCGTTCAAGCTAAGCGGGCTTGATACAACCGGCCCCAGAACTCCAATTCCTATTTGGGCCATGTATTTTGTAAATTGGTGAGTGTCATATATCATGCACCTCCCCTCATCCTTCTTATTTGCACAACTTGTTATTCAGAATGAATTTACAATAAAGATGTCATATTTTATTTCCAAGACAATCTTACCTCTTCCTGTTGCACAGGTTTTTGTGGTACTTGTTTTATCCAATCGGAATGCTTAGATAGGTTATATGTCCCAGGTCCAGGGATTGCCTCATTTGAATCACCAAATCTTTTGGACTAAGAATTTTCAACTCTATGTTAGACAATATTGTGTGTGCTATTGAAAAGCTATGATTTGGGTTTGTGTTTCTTCAGATTAATTAATATTCTCAATTTTTTGTCTACCAATAAATGGTATAAGCACTTATTTAAGAATATATGATATCAAAAGTATATGAATATATGATTTGGCCTAGCTTAGTCTGTGTTATATACCTATTAATTATAATTATTTCTACTTAGGTGAAATGCTATTTTTGTCATGTAAATCGCTTACTGTGTTTGATAAAGACTGTCCACCTTTAACACGATCCAAATTTTTCAAAAGTGGATTGTATTGTCCAGGACCTGGGGCAGCAATTGTTTGGTCATTGACGTCAAAGAATGTTTCTCGGATTGTCATAGAACCAAAGGGTGCATAACCAACTGAAAATGCAGAGTAACATATAACATCACAATAGAATAATGATAAATATAACGTACATTTAAATCAATAGTTGACCATGACATGGCAATAGCAGGCATCAGTCTAATATTAATAGAATACAAATATACAATACGGAAACGTGTACACCACAAGGAAAGTAAACTTTTATAAATCTTTTCTTTGCTAAATGCTAATAATATTGGAGTCCGAAATTAATATCGAGACAACCAGAACCCCAATAACAGGGGGTGACATAATGGGAACAAAAAAATTCAAAACAGTGCTTCAATATTTTTTCATGGTGAAAATAAATGAATTTGATCTGTGCTTTTATAGTGCTTTCATGCTTACCTGTGTCGCGCTTTCTGCCATGTAAAAAGCCTGGTAGTTCATAACTTCCTGGGCCAACAGTGTCAATTGTTGTATTAACAGGCTTACTAAGATCTCGGCTCGAACGATCATACATCTTCTCAGTGTAACTAGCTTGAAGAATGAAGACAGTTGACTTCAATTCTACAGTCAAAACATGATCAAGGTCGATGCGTTTTCCATGTTGTTTAGATTTCAGTTACTATGACAACATCACGTTCCAGTGATAGATTATCTCATGAAGCTCAGTGAGTCAGTGTAGATTGATCTCGAGATTTTTTAGTAAAGAGAAGTTTCGAGTTTGGAACTTAGAAGTCAACATTTTAGCACAAATTTAGTTTTCATCCGATCGTAAAATTTGTAAAATGTTGCTTTTACAACATGACGCACACATTGAACTGTAAAAAACCCTACAGTTTATTTACCTACGGAGGTCTTAATTTAGTTGACTCATTTGTAGTGTGTATAATTCCACTCGAAATTAAGACCCTTTCAACCTCTAGAATTTACCTACATCGAGTGAAGTGCCAAAAATCATAATTAGTTTACCTACAAAGTTCAATGGACGCACACGACTTCAAATAATGCTGGAGGCGCATTGTAAGATGACTGAGAATTAACAGGGGCAAGGCCAAGGGGGCAAAGATGAAATTATCTTGAAATAAAAAACACGATGATACGAAGTTAAACCGATGTTTGTTGATGAATGTTTTGCAAACGTTCTTTATTATGCGCCGCTACAGAAGAGCTTTCACCACGATCTGCCCCCCTCCTTGTATTTTTAAAATTATTTACATATATGCCAAATTTTTTTGAATTTGTAAAAAAAGTAAAATTATAATTTTTTTTAATTTTCACGTATTATAGTATTTTTAAAATTTTTAAATTTTTTACATACATCCTAGTTTTTTAATATTTTTTTGAAATTTTTAGAGGTTTTTACAGATACTAGATTATATTAAAAATTATAAAAAATTATATTAAAATTATATATACATATTAATTTTATTATACCTACTGTTTTTGTAGTTTATATTTACTAAATTTTTAAAATGTTTTATGTATACTTTAACGATCATGAATATTTTTTCTTAAATATATACAAAGAACGCGAGAATTAAATTATTCCAAATGCCTCGAAATGGTTGAAAACTAAGTCGAATTACATTCTTTGATGAAAACAATACATTTTAACACATAAAATTATAGTTTAATGATTTTCAAAATTTCAAAAAAATCAGTAAGGGGGGACGAAAGGAAAAATCGTGATTTTTTTCAATTTTTTGAAATTTTGAAATTTTTGAAAAATCGGTTCCAAATGCTTCGAAATGGTTCAAAACATTGACGAAAATCACGATTTTTCCTTTGGTCCCCCGTTGCCGATTTGCCTGAAATTTTGAAATCCATCAAAGTATGTATTTATGTGTTCAAATGTATTGTTTTCATCAAAGAACGTAATTCTACTTAGTTTTCAACCATTTTGAGGCATTTGGAACCGAATTTTTAAATTTGAAAAAATTGACGAAAATCACAACTTTTCCTTTGGTCCCCCATTACCGATTTTTCTGAAATCTTGAAATTCATTAAAGTATGATTTTACGTGTTCAAAGATATGGTTTGGATGAAAAGATGTAATTCTACTTAGTTTTGAGCCTTTTGGAGCTATTTGAGACTAAATTTCGAAAGTTCAAAAAATTGACGAAAATCACAACTTTTCCTTTGGGCCCGTTACCGATTTTTCTTAAATTTTGAAATTCATCAAAGTATGATTTCATGTGTTCAATTGTATTGTTTTCATCAAAGAATGTAATTCTACTTAGTTTTCAACCATTTCGAGGTATTTGGAACCGAATTTTTCAATTTCAAAAAATTGACGAAAATCACAATTTTTCCTTTGGTCCCCCGTTACCGATTTTTCTGAAATTTTGAAATTCATTAAAGTATGATTTTACGTGTTCAAAGATATGGTTTGGATGAAAAGATGTAATTCTACTTAGTTTTGAACCTTTTCGAGGTATTTGGGATTAAATTTCGAAAGTTCAAAAAATTGACGAAAATCACAATTTTTCCTTTGGTCCCCCGTTACCGATTTTTCTGAAAAAATTAATGAGAGTTTTACCCCGAGCAAACAAAAGGGGTCGATTGGCTTATTCTATTGTTTCATCGTTCTATTGTATTGTTCTCTATAATTATGAATATATATGCAAAACGCTTTCGTAGCTTTTCTTAGCGAACTAAAATCCTCATTCCCCTTACTTTCTTGTACAATAACTCAAAAAGTCATAAAACTAACTTGATAAAATGTTCATGGCTTGACTTTTAAAGACATTGGGTCGGAGGTGGACTAAAAGTGAAAAATTATTTATTCGAAGTTCAGCTCCGAGAAAAAATAGAAGGAAATAAAACCACTGATTCCGTCGTTCTAGCGTTATGACCTAGTTGGTTGTCGTGTTTACAAAATTCGTCTATTTTCCAATATTGGATGTGTCTGGGTAACAATAGTGATTGAAGATTCCTACAATTATGTTCTGAACAGATTTTTATGTTTCAAGCCCTGGCCATGCCAAAAAATTAGCCCGAAAAATTTCGGCTAAATCTGGAAGAGTTAAAAGACCCTGAGGACTTTAGGAAAGAGTTAAACTGTAAATTGAAAGAAATTATGGAAGTAAAACCCCTGAAAAAAAATTCCAGTCAAAAAAAATTAAAAACATGTTTCTCCTGAAAAGACCGAAAATAAAAAAGTCAGGCGTAAAAACTTCCAAAAAAATTTTCCCGCATTCAGAATATTCACTTCACTTAAATTGATTTTCTTTCAACATTTACACGAAAATTTGACAGATTTGATTTTCTCTTAAATTTTTTTGGCTCTGAGTCGCGACACAGTCACCCAAGACAAAATGCTCTCGGCCTCTCGCGTCCTAAAATACGGAGATAAATGAAATTTTATTTGTCTTGGCTTACTGTGTCACGACACAGTAGCCCAAGACAAATAAATTTCATTTTATCTCCGCCAAAAAATTAAAGAGAATTTCGAAAAGGTGAAAAATGTAAATTTTTCACTTTTTTCTCTTAAATCTTTTTTGGCTCTGTGTCGCGAAACAATAACCCAAGACAAAATACTCCCGCGTCCTAAATGGCTAAGACAAATGCATTTCATTTATCTCCGCCAAAAATTTTAAGAGAATTTCGAAAAAATGATAAATGTAAATTTTCTCAGTCTCGAGAAAATAAGACGGAACTACTTATTTTGAGTTCCAAATTTCGGGCTGAGCCTGCATTCCCTGCGTTGACTGTGGGCCCCGATATCATTATCCCAACAACCCACGCTCGTAACATTGGTGTTACATTTGATAAATTTCTTACAATGTCTATACATATTAATGAGATATGTAAGTCAGCATTTTATCACCTACGGAACATCTCTCGTGCTAGAAGATACCTGTCTTTCCATACTACCGAACAGCTTATTCACGCTTTTGTGACTATTAAACTAGATAATGGGAATGCACTGCTGTATGGTCTGCCTAAAGATCAGATTGGAAAGTTACAACGCGTTCTAAATTCAGCAGCACGACTGTTAACCGGATCTTACAAGTATAATCGCATTACACCTATTTTAATACAACTGCACTGGCTGCCAGTTGAGCAACGGATTATCTATAAGATAATTTTATTGACATTTAAAGCGTTAAATGGACTTGCTCCGCAATACATTGCAGAGATGATCAGCCATTACGAACCTTCTAGATGCCTTAGATCCTCTAAAGCTAATTTACTTAATGAACCAAGATTTAATGTTAACAGCTATGGCGGTAGAGCCTTTCATGCAAGTAGTCCTAGGTTATGGAATAAACTACCTGCCTCTATCAGAGCATGCACAGATTTTTCAATTTACAGTCTGCCCAAAGACCTGGGAGTCCCTTAAAATGCCATTTTAGAGCATATTTTGTTGGTTTTTGGAACATTGAAAAAGTCGTCAATTTTAACCAAAATGGTAAGGCTTACCCTTACCATTTTGCTCAACTTTGACAACTTTTTGAACGGTTCAAAAACTCTCTTAAAATGCTAAAAATGTTTTCGAAAGACCAATATCTTCCATTTTAGAGCATATTTGGTTGGTTTTTGGAACAATGAAAAAGTGGTCAAATTTGCCTTGCCATTATTTTATGGTTAGTATCAACTCACTATGCGATGGCCTAGTGGTTAAGTCCTACCTGGTTGTGAGTGAGTGTAGGTTCGAATCCTGGTAGGGAGAAGTGCAATTTTTCCCACCTAATTACAACTTAATTTACAACCTAAGTACAACTTAATTTAAAATACTGCGATTAGGAGTAAGTCAAATAAAGAACGAGGGCTTTTAATAAATGATGCCGTGGCCCAGTGGTAAAGGCTACGGCCTAGTAGGTTGTAAGCCTAGGTTCGAATCCTGCATGGGAAAGGTTCGATTTTTCCCACCAAAGCTATTCTTTAATTTAAACTTCATCGAAAAGGATTAGGTCAAATAAAGAACAATAGCTTTCGACAAATGATGCGGTGGTCTAGTGGTTAAAACGTTCGTCTTTCAATCCGAGGACAAACGGTTCAACTCCTGACAATGCAAAAAAATTGGTCTGAAATATTTCGGTGTGATTTGAAAGCATCAAAACCATTAAAGAGCTACTCTTCGGCCGTTGCAAAGGACTGTAAATTGAAAAAATTGAAATAAACAAACTGAATAAAATTTCCCGGTTTAAAAAAACTAATGTTTACTTTCCTTCATTTTTTTCACGAAAATTTTACAGGGTGATTTTCTCGAGACTGAAAAAAATTACATTTTTTCACTTTTTTGAAATTCTCCGAGATTTTTTTGACGACGAAGTATTTTGTCTTGGGCTACCTGGCCTGACACAGTGGTCCAAGACATGATACTTCTTTGTCAAAAAAAAATCTCGGAGAATTTCAAAAAAGTGTTATTTCTTGGGCTACTGTGTCAAGCCAGACATAGTGGCCCAAGACAAACACAGTAGCCCAAGACAAAATACTTCTTTGTCAAAAAAAATTTTGAAATTCTGCGAGATTTTTTTTTGACGAAGAAGTATTTTGTCTTGGGCTACCTGTGTGACAGACACAGGTAGCCAAAGACAGACACAGTAGCCCAAGACAAAGTACTTCTCTGTCAAAAAAAAATTTTAAGAAT